TTAAATACAACATTCAATCTATATATAGTAATAATATAGTTTTTGAATTGGACATTGGACCCGAGAACACGTTTTGTTATTCATAATCTTTTGCGTGATTTACAGCCGATTAGTAGAGCTATCGTGAAACTACTCTTCATATATATAAGTTTAAAGTAAAGTCAATACAGTATACAGATGTAATTCCCCCATAAATTGCGGGGAGGTTCATTTTTGATATGGTTGATAAAGAATTATTACTGGCCATCACATATCCCACTGGCACCTAAAACCACGAGTCATCCTTTATTGCCAATCTGAAGTGGAGACATGAGGAAATTATAACCAATTAGTTAATATCTAACGGCCTGTCTAAACATGTTGTGTAACATGGTGTAAATATGTTTACAAAGCGAAACGTATTTTTTCTCTTGACAAAGCCGATATCGAAAGAAAAAATATTCGCACATTTTTCACTGGGGCTTCATTCCCATTAATTAACTATTCATTTTGCGCTTATTCGTAGATGATTTTGAAGATTACACTCCGGCTAGTCCAAGGAACTTGGTTGTTCAGGAACAACCAGTTTCGACTACAAAGACTGGTAAGACTATCCTTAATTGTTGGAAAGGAAGTATAGCTTTTATTAACATTCTGTTGTGAATATTTTTCATGTTTTGCTGAAAAATAATTGTATTCTTTCAACTACGTTGCGATGTGGACTTGCGTGCTCTGCATGAAGATGTTTTACCTGAACAGTGCAGCTCTTACTTTGTCTACTTTCCTGAAATAAAAGTCCCAACACTGAATAAAATTGTCGATATAAATTTTTAATAAATTCAATTCAGCATAGCATACTAGGGAATGTCTTCCACCTTCAACTATCGACATTTGTCGTCCAGTCTATTAGCCGATTCTTCCCCCACAATTCCATTCCTCAGTTAGCTGGATTTTCATATTAATGGAATATTTTATCGTGATGATGTATGTAATATGTCTTTTTCAGTCATGATTCTGTTCGACTCTCAATCGCGGGAATTGAAAAGTTACGATCCAGAAACGAATAGTTTGAGAGCAATTACTGTAAGACATTTTAATACTAAAACAATAGCAAATAAGTCCATCACAAGTTTGCACGCCATTTCACTAACAAAGAAAAGTTAATAGCCCGGCTCTGATAACCTTTTTTATTTAATATGAAAATATACATATGAACTCCTGTCTGATAGTGATAATATAAATGTACATTTCGATAAGACAGTATGTACGTGCGACAACCTAACAAATAACATCAAGAGTCCCAAGGCTCTTTGAAATCGACTTGAGTCAAACATTTCTGGCGGCTAGTCATTTGAAATCCTGGCGAACCTCTCTGAATTGTAAACATTTTATATTGCTACCATAAACCTGAACCTTTTTATTTAATATGAAAATATAGACATCAAATTTCTGTCTAATAGTGTAAAATTATTCATGCCTTCAGAATTCAAATATTTATGATTCCAAATTGATGTGAAACTGTGAAAGCCAAGCTGATGCAAAAAAGAGTTGACAAGGATTGACTTTCAATTTTTATTACCGCGTTTTGAAGTACAATCCATATATGTGAATGATTATTCGTCTAAAATTGCCGGATTATTAAATTTTAGTATCACTATATTTTTGAGTAGAAATTCAGAAAATAACTACTCAATTAAATAACCATATTGTTCTATTTCAGCCTTGTACACCAGAGATGAACAGACGCCACTTATCAGCAGTTGCTATTGAACAATTTGTTTATGTTCTTCAGAATAAAATGGCGTGGAAATTAAATGTTGGTATTCGCCATTCAAAATGGACTAAAATTCAAAATCTGGATGAAAATCATGGAGAATTTCCTCCTGTAGCAGCATTCAATGGTAAGAAGTTAACTACCTTTTATTCGAACCACATCCATCTGAAAGCATATGAGGAGTGTATTTCACTAACAAGTATTACATTCACTCATAATGAATTACGCGTTACACATTATTATATGTCGTCAAGTGTTGAACAGATGAAGAGCCTGGATGGTTATCGATCATTCCCCGAGAGATGCCGGTAGAGGTGACAAGCCCATCGATTTTTGGAGTACAAGATGTAATGATGATGCTTGATTGACAACCAGTTCATGTATGCCCGGTGCCTTAGGATGATTTCCTATCATTTTGCAGACTTTGCTTCTTGATTCTTGATTATCAGATGATTGTTATTTGTTTTATTTTTGTACTAGATAATATAAGGATGTTGTTATCCATTTATATTATCGCATTCTCGTTATAGGATTTATCCACGTTGCTGGCGGCGAAAGCGTCTCCCCACTTCGCACAGCATCGAAACAAACATGCAGCAAATACAACCACAGCACAAATTTGTGGGAAAAACTCCCTAAGATGAATTCCAAGAGAGCTCACCACGCATTTATAGGTTGTCAAGGTATAATGTTATCTCTTGTTGCATGGCAAGATACCTAATAAAAATGTGAAGATATTCAAAAACAAATTTGTTGATTGTTATTGAATTTAAATGTTTGCACACCGCTGTTCATATGGAAGATAACCTGATGGGATTCTCATCGTTTTTGTATTCACCAGGAGCAGTAATAAATGCAAAGTGCCAAGTTAAATATTTTTACAAGGAAAGGGCGCATAAGTTTTAAACTTTAATTTATAATGAACTCACTTATTAACAATTTTAATTTCTCTAGGGTACCTATGGTGCATCGGTGGAAAAGACGGAACAAAAGTGCTTAAGAACTATGAGAGATTTGATCCAAATGATGGAACCAAAGGTAGCTGGGAATTACACAAATGTCCGGAGGATTTGCATTACGCACCTGCTGCGGCAGCGCACAACGAAAAAATATACGTTTTAGGTATGCAGGGTTATAATTGTACAAGTGCTTGATCATTCGGATAGGGTTTGCAACGTCATATACATACCAAAAATATCATATACAGCCAACCAAATATACACATACGGACAATTGCGTGCACATATACAACCAACTTGATATGCATATACCGGAGATGTTCATACACAGACAATTAATTTTATATGCACGCATGGACATGTGTTTTCTATCACAGCTTTACTTTTTAATGGATATGTAGTCCTTCACAACCAACTCGACCAATTCCGATGCTGATTATCCCGGAATTTACGGTCGGTGACTTGAATTACCAATATGTCTCTCCAACTTTGTTGCAGGTGGATCTGATGGGAGAAACAGGGTTAAAATTGTTTATGAGTTTAACACAAACCGAGACCAATGGACGAAACTATCAACATTGCTGCAAGTACCGAGAGCATGTTTTAGAGCATGTGTCATTAATTCTGTACTGTATGTCGTTGGAGGAAGTACGAGGTATGTAATATGTCGGAAATTCGTTTAGCATTTCACAATTAATCGATAATATGCATATTAAAGGAGAAGGTACTGTCTGCATCACTTTTTCAACACAACATATAAGTGTTGAATTACAGTTGGATTACCTACGCGATCAAGCAGAAGCAATATTTTAAGGATGTTTAAGACATTATACTATGTTGTGATATTGTCAAAAAGCTAGGTTACAAGCGAAGGAATGAACAGAGCATGACATATAGTAAACAAATGATTTGAGATTTGAATACCTCTTATGCCATTTTCTTGTATATTGTGTGCAAATACTACAAGAAAATGATATTTTGCATAGACAGCCATATATTCACTCGTAGAATTATAAAACAATGGGACTCGCAAACAATTTTGCAACTTCTAATACTCGAAATTCTGGCCGCAGGCCGTTTTAAATGATTTACTGTGAAAGGCAAAGCCGTAGCATCACTATATTCATGCCGTTGGTGGATTGTCATTGTGTTCATGAAACTTACATTTATATATTCTTATTCAACTTTTCTCTATAGTTTATCGTGTGTTTTTAAAGTTAAATAGGCTGAAAAACTCGCAGTTGCTTTTTATTAGAACATAAGGTGGCTATAGATTAAGTTTCTTGAAATATGGAAAGACGGTGCATAGTCTATTCCATTTTTAGTAGGATATTATTCATTTTAATCGTGATTACTCCAAAAGCTATTAGGAAATAGTGTATCAATTGTGAATTCCCATTTGTATTAATTTATAAAACAGGGATTGCGAACTTTTTTAATAAATAGGTTACATTTGCGAACTATATTTTTATCACGGCAAAAAATATGTGGGTCACATAGGTTTATTTTATAAGTGTTGGCATACATGAGTAACTTTTGTTGTATCTTTATTGTAAATCTTATTATATCCTGGGTTATTATTTGTAGTTTTGAGCTTCACACACAATATGCCAAGGGTTCTGCCGAATTTTATATTTGAATTAAATTAAAAAATACTAGGAAAGGGAAATAAAGCATACACGACAACAGACATTGCGAAATAACAAGTTCGAACGATTTTGATAATACAGGCAAGAAATATCCATATATATATATATATATATATATAATATGACCAATTCAGAACAAGACTCACGTCCATGACGGCGGCGTGCGACCCCAATCGTTTCCTGTCAATAAATTACAAATCGAGAGGGAAAAGTGAGGAAAAAGTCAAATGCAAACCAAAACCGTACCCATAAATGTTCTATATCCCAAAGTGATTGGTGTGTACACACATAGGATATGGTCATACAGGCAAGTTGACATCGATTAAAAATGTTGCTAATTTTTAAGCGAGAACTTTGTGATATAACCAAGATCACTAGGGTTGATGCGACAAAATATGCTACTTGGGGAATCAAGTATTATATTTGTTGATATTCAATATCATCGACAAAAGGTCATCGACAGCAGTTGCGCTCATCGGTGACTATACTTCATCAACGAAATGCATTCAAAGCGATTTTCAATATTTTATCAGGCATTATTTAGGTCGTTGATCAGGAAATCCGACGTACAAGCATTGAATAGGCATTATAGAATTTAGCGTATCCGGGTAGCGTATTCGCGATGCTAATGGAAAGAAAATCAATAAAATAATTTATCGTTTGCAAGATTAAACGAATAGTTCACGATGAGGCCAGATTTCTATATATCGATATTTTTATGTATTTTTGGAGTTTCACGTTCGCAACAACAAGAATCGCTAGGGTCGTCTGGAAAGCTTGAATCTTGTAATGTCGTTTGCAATTGTGGAGTAGGAGATAAGTCTCCCGAAAACGGCGGAACCTATCGGGGAGAACCTGGGCCACCAGGTAAAAAAGGACCACCTGGAATATTGGCCTACGAGGAGAGAAGGGCGATCAGGTAGGAAAGTCGATAACTGTTTGTATACCAATACAATATTTGTGCATTCAATGTTAATTTGAAATGATGGCATTTCTATTAGACTCTTGTCTTCAATTTATGTAGTTCGGCCTGAAGCCTCACTAATTGAATGGAAATTCGATGCTCTTTCGACTCAATGTGTCATGTGTAAGATCGCAAAAGTTTACAGTGTATATATATATATATATACTATGGTATCAAATCTTAACACGAGTCTTTTAGTTGAGCCTATGAGCTTGATATTGAGCGCTCAATCACTTCACGATATAATATACAAATAATCAAAAGTTCATGCTCAAAACCATATAAAAAATTAAAGGGACCAATTGGAATACCAGGCTATGACGGCACAGATGCCAACGAAAAAAGAGTGAGAACTGATGTTTTAAATACCTTGGGTAAGTATTTTAATTTTTATATGATCATATTAAAAACTTGGAATCAAAATATTTAAATATATATTGATGGTATGTTATATTACATGATTAATATATTCTACGGCATCAACAGTTATTCTTTTTCACAAAATAAACATTGTTTGGAAGCTTTCGGTTGGCTACTTACAGCTGTTATAATAGTCGAACCTGCACCTCTATCCAGGTGTTGGCTCGTGTTATTACTTTAAGAAATCTTCCACACAACAGATGTAAATAAACTATATATATTTGCGGCTAATAGTCCGTAGCACTCGTACATTACCAGGAAATTTTATTTAAAATTTGTTGTAAATCGAAGATGCCACTTGAAATTTTTCAAATGCTCCAAAGGTCTGAAGTCATGCAAAGAACTGGAAAGAAATGGCATTCTCAAGACTGGATATTATCTTATGCGGGGTCCTTCAAACCACACCTGTGTTCAACTACTGCGATTTTCGAATATATTCGGGTAAGGTATTACGCATGATAGGAAGAATAAACTATTCTAATGTAATTGTATAAATCAAGAAGGATCGCAGTGCTTTAGTACCGACCAACGTCTCGAACTAAAAAAGCAAGCTTTATTATTCCTGAATTCGACCCTCAAATATAATCAGTTTAATATCCACAATAAAAACAATTGTTGAAAAAAGTATATCCTGTAAATTTAAGTGAATATTTTCATTGCACGTTGAGTTTGGGCCTAACTTTGTTCTGGCATTCATTATTTATGTGTTATAAGTGAATTTGTTCATCGATTAAATAAGAAAACAACAAACCCAATTAGGATTTATTTCTGAAGGTGTGTGACTGCTTTCAGAATGTTACAAATTGTAACGATCTTTTCTTCACGGCATACCATCTTGAACTCGGGATTTTATAAGTTCGGAAGAGCTTCAGCAGAACAAAGCAATTTCAGATATTGTGAGCCGGTCTTCAGAGGTAGGAAATGGAAATCAATGATGTAATTGTTGTGGACTGAAATGTATATTCTAATGTATATTTTGATATAAGTTTCATTTTAGGGAAAGCAAGCAAATATGGCTGCAAGTCTATGTTTTCTTATCTTTACAAAAAAATAAGAGCATTATTAGGCTGAAAACAGTTCATCAATTAAATTAGCACATTTGGTTTTTAGGGTTAATAAAGTTAGGGTTAATCGAATAAATGAATATGTGTAAAATTGAGAAACTCTAGCCTTCCTCAAATTTACACGAATTCATTTATTCAATCGTATTCAATTTTTTATCTTTTAAACGACAAATATTTGGGAAAAGAATTACCAAACAAGTACTAATTTTATGTAAAATATTTCACCGAATTTATTTTGTAGCAAGTTTTTAATAAAGCCTTAAAATGAATAATAGTTCAAAATTAAATGCTTTAGCCTAATTTGCCTAATGGTAGTAAATCTGGCCCCGACCACATAATTGACATTTCATGGAAAGTATCTTTAGTAATTCTACAAGAAGTTGATACAAAATGGAACGTGAAGATTTGCGTTTATGCATAATTTAGGTGAATGGGCGGTTTGTGGAAAGTGTTTACGAGCCTATATATATGTTTACTAAATGTATAAATTTGATTTATTCTGTAGTAGCGCTGTAACTCCGCTGGGGACTCGTGGGCGAGATGCCATGCCACAGAACTGCTATAGATAATTGAGCCAATGCTTAGCTAAGCGGTTCAACTTTAAAATCGTTAATTAATAACTGTTTTTCTTCAATAAGTTGGGGTGGCAGGGTGAGCAAAAAAAATGCAATAATGATTGACTTAAATTTTATTTACAGATAATTGACCTGCAGAACTTCGTTCTACCTCATGGAGTCCAGGATTCGGGATATTATTTGTTTGCTGTTGAAATGGCGAAGGATTTCGTGTATTTTGGCAACTTTACTTCTGAATGGAGGTATATTTTAATATCGTGTATAGTTTTAAAAGTCACTACCATTTCTTTAATATACATTTGGTGTTTCGTTATTTAATTTTTTCTCGAATGATCAACACCACATCAGTTTATATCGAGCTGTTATATGCCATTCAGCGTTACTCGGCCATTGCTTGTTTCTTGTCAATAATTCCCGGTACGAATTCCCTATGTTGCAAAATTACACTTTCCAGTGCTGCGAGTCGATTGATTACTTCCTTGCGCTGTTTGTGATGACTTCGATGTGCAATTTTTCTGCACATTTCAATCTACTTAAAGCACGTTTGCAATTTTTTACATTTCAAATTGAAGTTTTGTACATTTTGCAAAATTAATTTGATTGGTTCGTTTGATTATTGTTCAAGGAAATCATCAACAGTTTTCATGTGAGTGATATTACCTTTTCCTCGCAAAGCGAGAAACTATTACTCTCACAAACTAACGTGTTTGTAATGTAAGATATTCTAGCAATTAGAAACCACAATGTTCAACATTTTATTGAGAAATTCCTTTATTACAGCTATGACGGAAATCAATCATGATTCCATGGCTGAGGTGTCTATTCCAGATTGTGAAGATCCGGGTTGCTATGCACGACAGCCGATTTATAGTATTACTAGAGAGCAAATACACGAGGTCATGATGAATTCAGTCAATTGCAAGCAATATATCAAGGTCCTTTAGGTTTAAATATCTTTGTGCAATAACATTCTTAACATGTATTTCGCGAAATAAAAAAGCAAAACATTTAAAACAAGAGACCGTGATTAAATATATGGACACGAAAGCCAAAACGAAGTAATTTCAAATTTTGTACAGCACTGTCTGGCCATTGAGATGTGAAAACGGGAACACGGCACAGTACGCACTTTTTAATTTGATGATGCCATCAAGCAAAACTTCGAAATGAAAAGCGAATCTTATTCAACTCACAGATATTATATGTTAAAATAAATTAAAGTAATAGTTTTCTAGCGACAATAACAAGCTAGAACACTAAAAATTTTAAATTATTTGATCCCATAGTTGAAAAATGAAGTGATTTTTTCACAAAACAACATAATAACAACGGTCCATAGATCCACTTCGTTTCCAATAAAGTATTCAAGTATTTAAGCGTTTTAATACGGTTTTCCTCTATTAAGTTGCAATGCCAAGGAGTATTGATGAGTTGGCAAGGTGACCCGAGATCTTGGTGGGTATCACGCGACGGAGTACAAATGGGATACTGGGGAGGAGCGACGTCTAGAAGAAAGGGATACTGTGCTTGTGGAGAAACAAGTAGGCTATGGGTTTTATCACTTAGAATTTAGCATGGTAAAAACAACAAGTATGGTACTCCTGAAGTGCGCGTGCCAAGATGTCGCATAACCTGAACCCTAACCTGCTACACAACCTGAGTTCAGGTTGTGCGCCATCTTGGTGCGCATACTTCAGGAGGTATGAATAGCCTAATAACTTTTTTCGTGAACATTTTGGTTAGGGAAGTACAAAACTGCCAATTCATTTGTAGGTGAGTTTTACGAAAAAGGTCCGTACAAATAATTATCAAATATACCTGCAATATTATTGATTCTGAAAAGTTTTTAGTTCCCGTGAAAATACTCATTATATCTTATATTTCTAATTGGTGGCGAAATAAAATAGTGAACATAACAAGATATAGGCAACTCATACATTTCAAGAAACGAGTAGAGAAGTATGTCTCCAGTCACAGTAAATTGGCGACAAACTAAAAATATGTTCATTCTACAGATACATGCATCGATAAGTCGAAGAAATGCAACTGTGATAACAACTCTAACAATCTTGTGACGCAGGATGAAGGTTATATTACGGATAAAGCATCACTTCCCGTGAAAGAAATTAGAGTGGGTGATATGGGGGATATCAAAGAACTCGCTTGGCATACCCTTGGACCTTTGGTGTGCACTGGCCAAGGTAAGCATCGAGAAAATATATGAGATATCTTATAAAATCAGGAATGAAAGAAAATTTGGAGTATGAATTACAACCCACTTGAATACGGTGTAACATTTATTTGTTAATCCATTTTTACAACTATTTTTAGTTTAAATGTCTACACGTTTAGAAGAGCAAAAGAAAACTTTCGATGATATTTTGGTGTCCCACACACAATCAGTTCAGCAGACCAATGACATTATTTAATGTCATTGAGCAGACCAATGCCGACGGATAAAGTTATAACTATATTGGTTGAAAAAACCAACAAAATACGATTTAATTTTTTTTTCACAAATACGTTGTTGGACTTTAGCAAATATATATATATATATATACGAAGTTATAATAATCACTTGTCACAAATAAGGGGAGCGTAAAGTATCGTAATACGCAAAAGAAATGTGAAAAACGAATCCTATGGATGTTTACCCGAACCCTAACCCAGAAAAATTCTCCTTATATTTTACTATTGCAAATTATCTATGCGTTTTTGAGAATGTTTTAAGAAGTTGGCGCTCACAAGTCACAATCTGGTTTACATCTTTGAAAGGCAATGCTTACAGCCTTACACCATCACATGAATATATGTCTGAGCGACTTCACAATTTGCGATTGTTACGTCATTGTTAACTCATTGCTGATTAGTCACTGTTACGAAAATCGATGCCCGGGGAAACATTCATAGAGCCCACAAAAATTTTTTGAAATAAATAAAAGAATTAGCCTTCTTGCGACAACAATCTTTAACCACCAATTCGAAGCAATTGAACCAGTAATTAAAAAAAAAAACATTTTTTTCACAAGAGGAAAAATAAAATGAATACTAACAACAACAATTTAACAAAATCGTCATAGGTCTACTTTGGTTTACAATAAACTCTTTGACATAATACAAAGATTAGACGCCAGAATACGCAGTATAGGCACGAAAGTCAAAGTGACAAATGTGTCAGGGTATACCATGGCCCAAGCTCGTGACAACAAGCACATTAAGCCAACTCGCTGGTTTTAGTCTGTCGTTGAAAAAAACAATCAACACGTCGATTTTGGGAGAAATCTACTGATACAATACTGATATCCTGTCGTGAATAATTCCGGGCCATTTTCACATAGCCTGCGAGCCCTTGGCCCCGTTGACATTTACTCTAGTCTAAATAGTATATAATGACGTTTATACTTCACGATGTGAATGCATCATATACCAGAATGTTGTGACAAATCAGCTACAATGTAGGTTTGATGCACAATTGAGAACAAAATATTTATTGTGAGTATTAGTATGCAATATAAATAATAAATAACCAATAACGTATTAAACTAAGAAAACAAGTCAATGCTTGAAAATTTGTGGGAATGACAAAATGCAAACGATTCCTTAAATTTTATTTTTGTTCACAATTGACGCATTGCTGATTGGCTATTCCAGTGATACCCGAACTTTAAAAAAAAATTTCCATGACGGACCAGTTGCAATTTTTGACATGATTCGCGGCCTTGTGCACTAATATAAAACATTGAAAGATCACAGCAAAAAAAAATAAATGCGCCTTACGGTATATTGAAGAACATCTCTTCATCTGCGTTTCTCACGATAAACCCTAGCTTTACATATATATGATTCGTCGTATCTCAATTTCGAAAGGCATCTTGAAATTAATATTACAGAGTTGAAAACGTAAAAATATAGGCCGACTGTTACTGTATGTCAAAGGCTAAATTTGACAGATAAAAACTAAAACTCAGTGCTTCTCTGGCTACGCTCTACTTACCTAACGCTATCTATCTTTCAATATAAATCGTAAAACAACATTTAGAAGTGGACTGTATGGTGACCATACGTCCTCTTTTGGAGAAATCGCCAGGCTGCTTTTTGTTAAAAATCTTACGTCCTCCGAGGACGCTCCAAAATAGTTAAAATGTCCTCCTTTTTCACGTGATCGAATATTTTAAATTCTCTTATGATATAATGAAAAGTTTTTGAAGTGTTAAACATTTTTTAAAGTAAATCGAGACTTGTAATCAGCAGTATACATATGACAACTATTGCATTGCGCTGTGATAGCATAATGGGTTACTTCAGGTTAATTTAATTTCAGAACTTCAATCCAATTCTGTAAACTCATGGCACATGAAATATAGACCTAATATATATTGTAAAACCTGCCGCGCCAGAAACTTTTACAGCAAACTGATAAAGTTCGCATAATATTACTTCAGCATTCTTGCGCATAACGCCAACGTTGAGCGCATTTTCTCTTCAATGTAACCACAGCGGTTAATTAAAAAAACGCGAAAACTTTCTATTTGAGCCTATTGATAGTATACTCACGTTAGCGTACAATTTTATCGAAATTTCTTGCAGCCAGTTTTACGATATTGCGAAAAATAACCCGGCAATGTTGACGAAGATTAAAGAAACTACCGTGTGGTCGTGACTTGACCTACAGACAAATAAATTGACTGTTCTGTAGATGTTTTTTCTAATAAAGACAAAAATGAATTATTTCATTGTCGCCGCTTCTCTATCGTCACTTCTATATTTATTCCTAGAGAAATTAGTATGTATATACCGTATACCTCAGGCACATGTAAAATATGGTCCTACCAAACGATGTGTCCTCCTTTTAGGTTTGAAAATATGGTCATCCTGATAAACTGCCTACTGTAACTCCCTCTTATACAAACAAGCGTGCAAAAAGACAGCGTCAGCTACACCTCTGCTGTCAGTTAACTTTTAATGGCATCAAAGGTTTACAAGCCGAGTAGTTTAAAAAAAATATATACGTATCCATGTGCACATTTTAGCGCAATGAGGATAAGATTTAATAGTAACATCTAAGATAGTGATGTGATAAATACTTATACTTTGATTGTTTTCGCCTTACACACCGTATTGTTTACATCAATTAAATTATTGATTTGATTAATATGTGGCTGATACAAATGATGAAAACAGTCCAATCATGCCCGTTTGACGATGACCGCACATTAGAACCCACGTACATTTGAACCCATGCGTATATCCGCGGTTTCAATCTTTATGCGGATGCTAAACCCATGGGTTAGGGTGAGTATGGGTTCAAATATCCGTAAAACAAAAAAAATTCCATAGGTGCAATAGTATGCAGGTGCAATTGTCATGGGTTCAAATGTACGTGGGTTCAAATGTAATGGACCCCGTTTGACATAAACTGTTCTAAACTTAAACCCACCATGTTTACGGTGTGTTTTTGTTGCATAAGTTAGGAGCCAGGTCGATACACGTTTGTGTTTTCATTCGATTTTTTACTCATATTTTCAAACCTGATTAGAGGTTTCGCTGATTTTCCCGATGTCGCAATCTTTTGTGTGTTCGTAGTTATGTTTTGCTAGAGAACTCGAAATAATAAACGTGCCCTATACTATACTTGCAATGATGTGTGGGTTCGCGTTAACGCGTTTTTTGGACTGGCGTGATAATCAGCGAACCCTTTCTTGTTTTTAGTTTGTTTTCGACGTTAAACAACTGCAGGCAGCAAATGTGTTACGTGCAGTGTGCAGTGTTACGTGCAGTGTTACACCGAGCAAATGTTTGTTTTACTGAGCAAGAACATTTTGAAGCTGAGAAGAGTCTTAAATGATTTACAAAATTTGTGAAATATTAGCAGAATGCGAACAACATACACATTTAACTCAAAAAAAAAAAAAATGATTGTAATGCGACACGGACCAGCGCTGTAGACTCGACTGAAATAGCTCTTTCCAGATGATTAAAAAAAAATCAAGGTACGTGACGTAACAGACACGTATGTGACATCACAATTAACAGTCGCAATAACACGTAAAACATTGAACGGGCATTCTAGCCAGGCCACCGGTTCTCAAATCATTGGACTGCTGGACCACACACACATTTACAAGGGGGTCATAGACCTATTAAAAATTGCTACTAGAGTTGTTGATAAATTTAGTCAAATTTGATGGTGTTAGCAATGAATGATGATGCTGTTTTTGTTACAGGTGGCAATTTTCTCCTAAATATTATCAAAGTGAAAGTGTCTATTTTTGCAGAAAAAAATGATTACTTTTTTGTTTGTTTTTTGATTGTATGGAAAAGTTAATGGGCCACAGAATTTTTGTGCAACGAAAATGGGCCACGAAATAAAGAAGGCTGAGCTGGGCGTTATAAAATATGACGAGCCACGCTTTGAAAACATACTGTTGCAAGTGCGCGAAAATGAGATTTTCATGCGCAAATCGCCTTGTGTTACTGCGCAATAGCGCACCTTAGAGTTTAACCTTGGTTACAATCGTTGCGTGCACCGCAGCTGACGATTACGGAGGCGCAGTTCTTACCACTTCATGGCAGCTCCTGCCACGAACGAACCGCGGCAGCTCTTGCCATGGTTTTATAGCGCTATTCAGTATTCAGTAATCAGTATTAACGGTATATTCACAAATTAATGTACCAGATTTTAATTGATCATGTGGAATTATATCTACTTAAACCCTAACCCTAACCCCAAATCAATCAAAACTGTATCCATAAGAAAAACGTTCCAACTTACCCAATATTTGTCACCATAATAGACAGCCCTGTCTTTACGGCCCACCTGCCGCGGTTACGGCAGCAAAATTTTACCTGCCATTGGTTTTCAATTTGCTGCCGCGGTAACGGCAGCTCGAGATTGGTTTGTGGCAGCTAAAAAGTCAGTTGTCATGAGTTTGGCCGTAGCGGCCATGGTATGGAAATACCGCCAGGGTTTTGCGGCAGCTGCAGGTGCCACAGAATACTTAAAACTGCACTTGCGATTACGAGTGGAATGGGGTGGAGCCGATAAAACGGCTTAATCTTATGGCGAACCACGTCCTCTCGTTCGGCATGTTGGGTATGGGATTAGTTAGCCAGGTATTTTTTTCCGAGAGCATGGACTTGATGGTGAAGTAAGCCGTACCGTAATCGAACAGAGGTTACGTGAATATCCGTACGGCAGCGAGGAGTCCAGCAATCTTCTCGCACATAACCAACCCGCATGGGATTCGAACCTGCGAACCTCGCAGGGTAATCATAGGTGCGCTGGCGAGCATATTCCTAACGCTCCGCCACACCGCCGCTATTGTCCGTTATGCTGATTATGGCGCGCTCCCGTAGTATGTGAACCACAATGGCGGACACCTGAACATAAATCGTTTATATCGAAACTGAAAACTTTTTAGCATAAGCAGGTATAATTGATAATGATCTTTTTCATAAAACTCACCTACAAATGAATATGCAGTTTTGTACTTCACCAACCAAAGGTTTCTTGGCTATTGTAATATTATATTTTCATAATTTTTCGTTTGGTAATGCAAATTCTTAGTGATAAAATCAATAGCCTACTTGTTTCTCCACAAGCACAGTATCCCTTTTTAAGACATCGCTCCTCCCAGTATCCCGTTGTCCTCCGTCGCGTGATACCCACCAAGCTCTTGGGCTACCTTTCAAACTCATCAATGCTCCTTGGCCTTGCAACTCGATGGATCTTTCCCCGAGCATCGACTTCCTTTTTCATTTGTGACATTGGCCAATCAGCAAGATGCAAAAAGTGACGTAACAATGTTCTCTTTTCGCATCCGCTCAGACACTTTTCTCACTCAGACAGATTTTCGAGCGTGGTCGTAAAAAAATATTACCTTGTTTTCGCGTTTTTAAACTCTATTCGTTGGTTTTCTGTTGTGTTTCGGAAACTTAAATATAAATCAGCTAGTTCAATGATCACTCTGTCTTCCTATGAGTTAATTTAATTGCAGTAATGAAAAATTAGTGTAGAAATAGCTGTGATAGACCGTAGTAGTACATATTTACGGATAGACTAGGCTAAAATTCTTTACCGGTACTTTCAAAAAACAGATTGTTGTGTGCGATGAATCATAATGATGGTTTGAAACACATACCCCATTTTACAGGTGCCAACTTGCAAGAGCACTCCTAAAATAGCCCCGAAAATTTTGCAATGGTAAAGTATAGGAAGAATTTTTGTCCATAGAGGATAATTGAAACCGGTATGTTGGTCGTTGATTAAAACGGAACACCTAAATACTTTATTGGAAACGAAATGGATCTATGAATCGTTGTTATTATGTTGACTTTAATTTATTAATATATAATATTCGTGGGTTAAATAAGATTCGTTTTTTACTTCGTCGTTTTTGAATTCGATACAAAAGAAATCCTGTACTGTACTTACTTGAATCTCGTATTGGTTCAATTCGAACTTTAACCTGCGCGGCCGTTTGGCGGTTTGACAGCTCGGGAATTCCCCTACGAATGCTGCGTCTGATCATCGATGGTCAGTTTGAGTGTTCTGTTGGAATCCTGACCATTTTATTTATAAACTCCTGGAGCCAGAGACAGCAACAAAAGACTAGATTATTATTTTACAGTCTTCCTTTTCAAAGTGTATTGAAGTTTGCAAAAAGAATACACGAAATGGATGATATTGCATACTATGATTCCCAAGTGCAATATCAGAAAAGAGTCGGAGAAATGTAAGTTTAGTACCGTAGACTAGAATGATATTTGAATGTAGATTGCATATCTTGATTAAGTAATGGATAAAACTTTTCAGTATATACGAATTTTTTATACATGCCAAAATATGGAGTCTAGTATAGTTTAGTACCACAAGCACTTCCAGCGGGCGTAGCGTAACGAATATCGCATATGTTATTCCTAAACCCCACCTGACTATGCCATCCAAAAATTACGTCACCATCACGTCAAATGACATCACCCGAAATGGCATCTGCGCGTTGATAACGAACTCGCTAAAGCTGGCTATCTCTCTCCTATCGTGATCATTGTGACGGGAAAACGAGAGAAATCGCTTGCTCGATTTCGAGTGATTGTCTGCGCGTTTTGGACGATCATTCGCATACTTTGGTAGGCCTTAATACGCCACTGTGACGTCGAAATGACATAATTTTTCGGTAACGGAGTAAGATGGGTGGTTAGGATTGACATATGCAAAAATTGACCACTGTGAATCCAGCGGAATTTCAGCGGAAAAATATTCTGCAGCTTTCAACCAGTTCCCATGCGGGAAATAATCTCTTATTACAATATTTATAAGGGATAAATGGATCCTATTTGAAATAATATGTTCCGAAGGGAACAACTCACACTAAAATATAAGTTTAAGCACATTTAGCTGGTAGTGGTAATTACAACATACATAACTGTATATCACATAAAACAGAAAAACTAAAACGTATTAGAATATAATTGCAGAATGAAAAAAAATACAAAATAAAAATAGGCTACATTTGATGGGAACACAAAAATATCGGACAATATTTTTTTCAATTTTACATGCAAACTCTAGGGTTCGAGACCAAATGCGAATATGATCCGCAAAGTGCCGACAATTTTTAACAGTAATTTTGAATAGTACCAATAGTGATAAGTATTATATATAAAAGTTGAAGGGAACAAAGCGGGACTTTATGATTATTGGGGCTTCGAATACAGGCCAAAAACAAGATTTTCTGAAATTTAATGTGTACTCGACATATCAATGCCGAATTCGAATATGATCCGCAAAGTGCCGACCATTTTTAACAGTAATTTTGAATAGTACTAATAGTGATAAGTAATATATATAAAAGTTGAAGGGAACAAAGCGGGACTTTATGATTTATGGGGCTCCAAATACAGGCCAAAAACGAGATTCTCCGAAATTTAAGGCGTACTCAATATATCGAGGCCGAATTCGAATAGGTTGCTCAATATGCCGACAACTTTTGACAACAATTTCGATCACATGTATAAATCAAGTGTCTAACACCAAAGTATGATCAACAGCGGAACAAAACTTAACAAAATATCGCCCTTCAAATATAGACGAAAAATTAGATTTTGCTGATTTTCGTGCGAACTCAATGATTCGATGCCGAATTCGAATATGATCCGCAAAGTGCCGACAACTTTTAACAGTAATTTTGAATAGTACCAATAGTGAAAAGTATAATATATAAAAGTTGAAGGGAACAAAGCGGGACTTTATGATTTATGGGGCTCCAAATACAGGCCAAAAACAAGATTTGCTGAAATTTTATGCGTACTCGATATATCGAGGCCGAATTCCAATATGTTGCTTTATATGCCGACAACTTTTGACAACGATTTCGATCACATGTATAAGTCAAGTGTCTAACACCAAAGTATGATCAACAGCGGAACAAAACTTAACAAAATATGGCCCTTCAAAAATTGACGAAAAATCAAATTTTGCTGTATTTCGTGCGAACTCAATGATTCGATGCCGAATTCGAATATGATCCGCAAAGTGCCGACAACTTTTAACAGTAATTTTAAATAGTAATAATAGTGAAAAGTATTATATATAAAAGTTGAAGGGAACAAAGCGGGACTTTATGATTTATGGGGCTCCAAATACAGGCCAAAAACGAGATTTTCCGAAATTTAAGGCGTACTCGATATATCAAGGCCGAATTCGAATAGGTTGCTCAATATGCCGACAACTTTTGACAACAATTTCGATCACATGTATAAATCAAGTGTCTAACACCAAAGTATGATCAACAGCGGAACAAAACTTGACAAAATATCGCCCTTAAAAAATAGACGAAAAATCAGATTTTGCTGATTTTCGTGCGAACTCAATGATTCGATGCCGAATTCGAATATGGTCCTCAAAGTGCTGACAACTTTTAACAGTAATTTTAAATAGTAATAATAGTGATAAGTATTATATATAAAAGTTGAAGGGAACAAAGCGGGACTTTATGATTTATGGGGCTTCAAATACAGGCCAAAAACAAGATTTTCTGAAATTTGATGCTAACTCGATACATCGAGGCCAAATTCGAACATGTTGCTTTATTTGCCGACAACTTTTGACAACGATTTCGATGACATGTACAAGACAAGTGTCTAACACCAAAGTATGATCAACAGCGGAACAAAACTTAACAAAATATGGCCCTTCAAAAATTGACAAAAAATCATAATTTGCTATATTTCGTGCGAACTTAATAATTCGATGCCGAATACGAATATGATCCGCAATATGCCGACAACTTTTAACAGTAATTTTGAATAGTACCAATAGTGAAAAGTATTATATATAAAAGTTGAAGGGAACAAAGCGGGACTTTATGATTTATGGGGCTTCAAATACAGGCCAAAAACAAGATTTTCTGAAATTTGATGCGTACTCGATATATCGAGGCCGAATTCGAATATGTTGCTTTATATGCCGACAACTTTTGACAACGATTTCGATCACATGTTTAAGTCAAGTGTCTAACACCAAAGTATGATCAACAGCGGAACAAAACTTAAAAAATATGTACTTTCAAAAATTAACAAAAAATCAGAATTTGCTATATTTCGTGCGAACCTAATAATTCGATGCCAAATTCGAATATGATCCGCAATATGCCGACAACTTTCAACAGTAATTTTGAATAGTATCCATAGTGAAAAGTATTATTTATAAAAGTTGAAGGGAACAAAGCGGGAATTTATGATTTATGGGGCTTCAAATACAGGCCAAAAACAAGATTTTCTGAAATTTGATGCGAACTCGATACATCGAGGCCAAATTCGAACATGTTGCTTTATTTGCCGACAACTTTTGACAACGATTTCGATCACATGTACAAGTCAAGTGTCTAACACCAAAGTATGATCAACAGCGGAACAAAACTTGACAAAATATGGCCCTTCAAAAATTGACAAAAAATCAGATTTTGCTGTATTTCGAGCAAACTCAATGATTCGATGCCGAATTCGAATATGATCCGCAAAGTGCCGACAAATTTTAACAGTAATTTTGAATAGTACCAATAGTGAAAAGTATTATATATAAAAGTTGAAGGGAACAAAGCGGTACTTTATGATTTATGTGGCTTCAAATACAAGCCAAAAACAAGATTTTCTGAAATTTGATGCGTACTCGATATATCGAGGCCGAATTCGAATATGTTGCTTTATATGCCGACAACTTTTGACAACGATTTTAATGACATGTACAAGTCAAGTGTCTAACACCAAAGTATGATCATCAGCAGAACTAAACTTAACAAAATATGGGCTTCCAAAATTTAACGAAAAATCAGATTTTGCTATATTTTGTGCGAACTCAATGATCAGATGCCGAATTCGAATATGTTATTTTATTTCCCGACAACTTTTGACAAGATTTCGTTTACACGTATAACCTAAGTATCTAACAATAAAGTATGATCACCAGCGGAATGAAAATTGAAAAAATAATGCCTTTCAAAATTGATGAAAATCAGATTTTGTCATATTTATTGCGATATCAACTATTCGACCCCGAATTCGAATATGTTATTTTATTTTCCGACAATTTTTGACTATGATTTCGTTTATATGTATACCTCAAGTCTCCAACAACAAAGTATGATGACCAGCGGAATTAAAATTGAATAATTATGGGCCTTCAAAAATTGATAAAAATCTGATTTTGTCATATTTGGTGCGATAACGATTATTCGACCCCGAATTCGAATATGTCATTCTTTGTTCCGACAACTTTTGACAACGAATTTCGTAGACATGTATAACTAAAGTGTTCACCAACAAAGTATGATCACCAGCGGAATGCAAATTAAAAAAATACGGGACTTCAAAAATGGGTAAAAATCAGATTTTGCCATATTTTGTGCTATATCAATTATTCGACGCCAAATTCGAATATGTTATTCTATTTTCCGACAACTTTTGACAACGATTTCGTAAACATGTATAACTAAAGTGTCCACCAACAAAGTATGATCACCAGCGGAATGAAAATCCAAAAAATATGGGCCTTCAAAAGTTGTTTGAAAATCAAATTTTGTCAAATTTGGTGCGATATCGATTCTTCGACGCCAAATTCGAATATGTTATTCTAGTTTCCGAAAACTTTTGATAATGATTTCGTTTACATGTATGACTCAAGTGGTCAACACCAGAGTGTGATCACCAGCGGAAAATTTTTTAAATTGACTTGAGAAATGTATAGCATGTATATATAATTCTAGAGTGTTAACACGGATGAAGCCGTTATTTCAAAATATCAGCCAACTGTGGGCTCGGTGATGTTCGCCTGGGATCGATTTATAATTGATAATTACACGGAAGCAGAATCTGAATTATTTAAATATGAACGAGTAACTTCTTAGTATATATTTTTTTATATTATATTAGTATATTAGGTAGAAAGAAAGAACATTTGTAGTTTTCAAGCGGATTTTAAAAGCATACTATGTCGCTATTTGTTCTGCTAATTCTGTTCCGCATTTGTATTAGAAGGTTCCTGACGAGTAAAACAACATAAAAATTCAAAGTCGCTGTATGAATCGAATCATTGAGTTCGCACAAAATACAGCAAAATCTGATTTTTCGTCAATTTTTGAAGGCCCATATTTTGTTAAGTTTTGTTCCGCTGTTGATCATACTTTGGTGTTAGACACTTGACTTATACATGTGATCGAAATCGTTGTCAAAAGTTGTCGGCATATAAAGCAACATATTCGAATTCGGCCTCGATATATCGAGTACGCATAAAATTTCGGAAAATCTCGTTTTTGGCCTGTATTTGGAGCCCCATATATCATAAAGTCCCGCTTTGTTCCCTTCAACTTTTGTATATAATACTTTTCACTATTATTAATATTTAAAATTACTGTTAAAAGTTGTTGGCACTTTGCGGATCATATTCGAATTCGGCATCGAATCATTGAGTTCGCACGAAAATCAGCAAAATCTAATTTTTCGTCTATTTTTGAAGGGCGATATTTTGTTAAGTTTTGTTCCGCTGTTGATCATACTTTGGTGTTAGACACTTGATTTATACATGTGATCGAAATTGTTGTCAAAATTTGTCGGCATATTGAGCAACCTATTCGAATTCGGCCTCGATATATCGAGTACGCCTTAAGTTTCGGAAAATCTCGTTTTTGGCCTGTATTTGGAGCCCCATAAATCATAAAGTCCCGCTTTGTTCTCTTCAACTTTTATATATTATATTTTTCACTATTATTACTATTCAAAATAACTGTTAAAAGTTGTCGGCACTTTGCGGATCATATTCGAATTCGGCATCGAATCATTGAGTTCGCACGAAATACAGCAAAATTTGATTTTTCGTCAATTTTTGAAGGGCCATATTTTGTTAGGTTTTGTTCCGCTGTTGATCATACTTTGTTGTTAGACACTTGTCTTGTACATGTCATTGAAATCGTTGTCAAAAGTTGTCGGCAAATAAAGCAACATGTTCGAATTTGGCCTCGATGTATCGAGTTCGCATCAAATTTCAGAAAATCTTGTTTTTGGCCTGTATTTGAAGCCCCATTAATCATAAAGTCCCGCTTTGTTCCCTTCAACTTTTATATATAATACTTTTCACTATTGGTACTATTCAAAATTACTGTTAAAAGTTGTCGGCACTTTGCGGATCATATTCGAATTCGGCATCGAATCATTGAGATCGCATGAAAATCAGCAAAATTTAATTTTTCGTCAATTTTTGAAGGGCCATATTTTGTTAAGTTTTGTTCCGCTGTTGATTATACTTTGGTGTTAGACACTTGACTTATACATGTGATCGAAATTGTTGTCAAAAGTTGTCGGCATATTGAGCAACCTATTCGAATTCGGCCTCGATATATCGAGTACGCCTTAAATTTCGGAAAATCTCGTTTTTGGCCTGTATTTGGAGCCCCATAAATCATAAAGTCCCGCTTTGTTCCCTTCAACTTTTATATATAATACTTATCACTATTAGTACTATTCAAAATTACTGTTAAAAATGGTCGGCACTTTGCGGATCATATTCGAATTCGGCATTGATATGTCGAGTACACATTAAATTTCAGAAAATCTTGTTTTTGGCCTGTATTTGAAGCCCCAATAATCATAAAGTCCCGCTTTGTTCCCTTCAACTTTTATATATAATACTTATCACTATTGGTACTATTCAAAATTACTGTTAAAAATTGTCGGCACTTTGCGGATCATATTCGCATTTGGTCTCGAACGCTTAGAGTTTGCATGTAAAATTGAAAAAAATATTGTCCGATATTTTTGTGTTCCCATCAAATGTAGCCTATTTTTATTTTGTATTTTTTTTCATTCTGCAATTATATTCTAATACGTTTTAGTTTTTCTGTTTTATGTGATATACAGTTATGTATGTTGTAATTACCACTACCAGCTAAATGAGCTTAAACTTATAATTTAGTCTGAGTTGTTCCCTTCGGAACATATTATTTCAAATAGGATATATTTATCCCTTATAAATATTGTAATAAGAAATTATTTTCCGCATGGGAACTGGTTGAAAACTGCAGAATATTTTTCCGCTGAAATTCCGCTGGATTCACAGTGGTAAAAATTGTTGAGCCAGGCCAACTAAAAGTGCATGTGGTACTAAACTATACTAGACCCAAAATATGTACACATCACCTCTGGTATGCCGTGTTGGAGTACCGCTTGTAAAAAGCTTGGATGTTCCGTTTAGAGTAGTTGTACACTTATCTACTGAATTTCTTTAAGAATAAGGCTGTTATGTCAGTTACCTGCTAAATATTCTAGTTTTTTTATGCGGTTTCGGAAGGTTTGCAAACCTGCTGAGAGATGTTTGGCGTACCACGGTCACTGGCCAGACTGGATTCCATGGCAGGTGCACGCCCGAGGGCGCTAGCGCTCCGCAAAAATGCACGCGAGCGAATTCAATTTTGCATGCCTAAAATTTGCAATTGCTCACCAATGTAAATTGTTTTAAATCGTTTTTAAATCAATAATCAAGTAATATAAAGATGCCAAAGAATTATATATAACTCCACAATTGTTGACTAATACTAGCTTGCAAGATTTGGCCTGATCGAAAAATGCGAAGCAAAAAGGACCATATCGTGTTGAATGATAGGAATCCTGTGAGAATAGTTATAGGCGAAAAGATCGCATCCTCACCGACGCTGGCCAGTTACAGCACTGATTCATCGTATTTTTCATACAATAATTTTACACAGATGTACTGAACAGTACCGGTATTTAAAGTCGCACAAACACTCTCAAAAATAGTGACAAAGTATAGAAATATTGTTTGAGATCAAAGGTCAACCGTCCATTTTTGCTCTGATTTGACAAATTTTTTTATCCATATTAATTCTATGTAAAAACACTCCAAAAATTAATGACAAAGTATGTCCATTTTGCTCTGATTCAACGTATTTTTTATCCAATAATTTTACGCGGATGTACTGAACAGTACCGGTATCAAAAGTCGCACAAACACTCTCAAAATTAGCGACAAACTGTAGAAATAATGTTTGTGGGTCAAAGGTCAAACGTCCATTATTGCTAGGATTCACTGTATTTTTATCCAATACCGCTAATTTTACGCGGATGTATTGAGAGATATCTAATGTCAAAGTCAGTTGCACTCGGGCGCAGTTGTTTTGCACGCCGTGGCCCGTGAGCTATGATTGCACGCCAGGAATTCTTATTTGCACGTCGGAATTTCTGATTGCACGCCCGATTTCTCGTTAAAAAAAGCCATGGAATTCAAACTGGGTCACTGGTTGCACACTGGGAATACTGGATTTGCTCACCTGGATCTATGATTTCACGTCCGATTTCTCAGGGAAACACCGATTTGCATTCCCAATTTTCCTTTGGAAAAAGGCCATAAAATCCGTACTGGCATATCGAGAGATTAGTGATTAAAATTTTTTTGAAATGAACTTCCTATTAAAAAAAGTAAGTTTACAGACATGTTTTAAAACTTTGCAAAAAAAATTTCAAGACACGGTTTATATGATCTTAGCATTAGTCTGTCAACACGCGCCACGGCGCCAGTCATCAATTGAATGCCGACATTTTCCCTCGCGACTCAGATCTCTCGTTTTACATCTCTAATGCGCTAATTATGGTACAAAAATATAAATTAGATGTTGAATAATTTTTTCATTGGATACAGTTGAATATGAAAAGTGCCAAATCAATTGATTGTGTAGTGGGGGTAGCCATTGCCGACCAGCAGTCATGTGAACTACCCGATTACTTTGATTAATTAATAATTAATCTCTTAAAATGCGCCGTTTTTTTCGATTTTTCAAACCATGTTTTTATATTCAGAGAAAAGGAGCGACTACAGCTTGAAAGGGAGATGTTTTCGATGATGAGATCAGATAAAAAGTTACAGAATATAAGAGCAGTAAAGCTAAGAAGCTACTGGAAACAGATATGTGAGAGAGAAGAAAAAGCAAGGGAGAGGAATAAAGAACTTCTGCATGACTTTGAAGAAATGGAACTGAAACTTTCTGTTATGGAAACAAAGACGAGCAAGCTTCAGAAAATGAAGGTAAATCAAGAAGTTGTATTTAGGGATGGGCAATATAGAATACCGAATCCGGAGGATTCGAATCCTCAAGTATTCGAATCCAACAGGATTCGGTTTAAGGATTCGGTTTACACTGCGTGCAATTTTCGTGTTTGCGGTACTCAAATTATCGATTAAACGGCTGACGAAAGTGTTTTCTCGTGCTTGTGCGAGCACGTCGAGAATTCTCTCGTTTATCGGCGCCGGTCTGTCTGCTTGTGGAATGCGATGGTTCATTATTTTATACAATAACAAAATCGTTGATTGTTTGTCATAAAACGCCTTCCAAATAACGCGTTTTTATATAATCGTTGATCTGGTATTCTCTCGTTTATCGGCGCCGGTTTGTCTGCGATGGTTCATTATTTTAATAACGAAATCCTCGATTGTTTGTCACAAAACGCCCTCCAAACAACGCGTTATTAGTAATAATCGTTTATCTGGTGCTTCAAAACCTGATATTAAATAAAAGTATTTAGTATAGGTTTTTAGTCACGATCGTTTCTACAAAGTATTTTGTAGAATGTTACAATCTGTATTTTATTCGATCACTTTCTTTTAAGTTGACCGATGACAGTTGTCTTGCTTTTCGTTATAAGAAGAAACTATATAGTTGCCGCTCGCTAACGATGGGTGATAAGCGCCGAAAGCTGCAATACCAGCTGGAATCTCAGCGTGAAATCGCACCGAAACCGAAATGGCACCTGACTAGGCACTTGGACGTCCATTTGCGCTATTCAGCTCTACTATCAACATATATACTTTCAAGTCGACTTATTACTGTGCTATTAGGGATTTCAATTTCTCAGTCTAGCTTCGAGATACAAAATGCCAGGAAAGAGGAAAACATCTAATGTTTGGGAACACTTTGTTTTGAGGTCTGATGGATTTGCGGTTTGCAATCACTGCAAACTTGAAATGAGCTACTGCAACAGTACAGGAAGTCTTCTGAAGCATTTGAGGACAAAACATATTTTCATTGGACTTGATCAAATGAGTGGAAGTGCTACCGGTACCTCGATTATGCCTGCACCAAAGCAACCGAAATTGTCCTCTTATTTTCAAACTCCGGTCACACCTGCAAAATCAAAGAAAATCACAGAACTGATTTTAAATACCATAGTCGGTGATTTGAGGCCGATTGGCTTAGTAGAAGGGGAGAACTTCAAAAAACTAATAAAAGAATTAGCACCCGGGTATGAGATGCCAAGTCGTCGAACTCTGACAAGAAATATTGAAGAAAAGTTTTTAAATTGCAAGAAGGAAATAAGGAAAGTTCTGAATCGTGTTAAATATGCAGCATTGACGACAGATCTATGGTCCAGTGCAAAAATGCAATCTTTTCTTGGCGTTACTCTCCATTATATAAATGAGGATTTTGAACTCATAAATCTTGTGCTGGCAACAAAAGAGGTGAATGATGTTCATACAGGACTACATATCGTGGAATGGCTGGAAGCTGTCATTGAGGATTACGAGATGTCGCCTCAACAAATTGTAGCCATTGTTACTGACAATGGTGCAAATGTTGTCAATGCTTGTCGTAAACTGAAAGAAAAATATGGTTGGATACACATACGATGTGCAGCACATACACTACAGTTGTGTTTAAAGCAGGCATTTGATATTCCACAGATTAAATCTGCTATTGGTAAGTGATAAAATTATTGTTTCATTATGACCAGTCTATGTTTACTTCATTGTATAACATGTTATTTTATTATTATTATTAGGTGCTGCTAGACACCTTGTTGCATTTTTTCGACAGTCATCAAAAGCCAGCCAAGCATTAAAAGCTGCTCAAGAAAAAGAACATCAGCTGGAGCTTATACTTGATGTTTCCACAAGATGGAACTCCACATACAGTATGTTGGAGAGACTTTGTCGCCTGCAAGCATATGTTCGCCAAGTCCTTTGCAATGGGCTCATTGTAAAAGCAACATCGTCAGCTCATTTGGAGTTAAAAGACAACCACTGGGCACTGATTCAAACCCTAGTTGAAAAACTTAAACCAATTAAGGTACGGTAAGTCGTATGTGCGACTGGGAGAAAAATAACTTGTACTGGGCCACATAATTTGTTAATAACTACATATTATTTATTAACAGATTGCAACAGATTACCTGGAAGGTGAAAAATATGTGTCAATAAGTGGTGTAATACCATTGGTCAAAGGATTGTCACAAAAGTACATGCCATGTGAAGAAGATTCAAGAAGTTTAGCTTTATTTAAGAACAAAATTCTAACTCAATTGCATGAGAGATTTGGGTTCGTTTTCAACCAGAACTCGTGTTATATTCACATGAGCATCGCAACATGGCTGGATCCAAGATACAAAACGAGCTATTTCAAAAAAGTTGATGGTATTCAAGTAAGTTTCACTGCATTGCAACTTTTGCCTTTTGCAGCCTTATTTTTTTACACACAATTCTTATAGATTTCTTTCTTTCTCATAGATTAAAGGCAGTATAGAATCAGAAATGATCGCAATAAAACAACGACAGACAAATGCAAACAGCAAGGATATCGACAACTGTTTTGAAATTGGGCTGTGGCATTGAAAGCCACGACAGCAGCAAAGAAATAGACGAGGGCAATGACGATGAAGTTGCCAGCGTTTCGGAAGAAACGGCCTCGTATTTAAAAACCAAAATTCAGACTACCAACCTAAATACTTTGGAATGGTGGAAAAGTAACACAGCTACACCTGTTTTGAAAGAACTTGCAGTAAAGTATTCATGCATGCCAGCGACATCAGCATCCTCCGAACGATCTTTTTCTAGTGCAGGATTGACTGCTAGTAAATTACGATCACGGTTAACCGGCAAACATGTGGAGATGTTAAATGTGTTACACTGCAACAAAAAATTTTGCATGTGAAGTGCACAATTTTATTTTTTGCAATTTTTCACATTCCTGTTCCACCATCTTATTTTTTGTAATTTTCACATTCTTGTTCCATAATCTTATTTTTTGTAATTTTTCACATTCCTGTTCCACAATCTTGTTTTTTGTAATTTTTCCTGTTCTGATTTTAAAAAGTTTTTCATAAAATAAAACAGTTCCAATATTCCGATTACTAGATTGTGACTTCAATTTAGTATGTTGAAGCTGTTAGTTAAGTTATTGAAACAGTGTAGAGTTCAGTTGAGGCATTTAGCTTACAATGTGGCTGTAAATGAAAATAGAATAGGATTCGGTATTCTGGATTCGATTTAACTATTCTAGAATATTCTAGAATAGTAAATTATTCTACATTGCCCATCCCTAGTTGTATTTTTGAAATGAAATGAATAGGTTTATCATAATTGATTCATTTCTATAACACTTAGTAGGTATATACGGTACCATAACGAATAGAAAAATTAGCCGAGGATATAAGGTATTTTCTTTAGCTATGTTGATAAAATGAAAGCCTTACAATATAATTATTCAAGTTCAGCTATGAAGGGAAATAAGTAAAAAATTAAAATATGAGAACCCGAATCTTTCCATCTGGTGATTTGATGAAAATCAATATTTTTTACAAAGGGCGAATGTTTGTTGCAGAGGCGAAACATAACTTTCTACTTTGAGTCAAGAATCAGTTCATTACACTAGGTTATATTAGTTTTATTGGTTTCTTTCTGTTCTATCTATGTGATTTTGAGAAATAGTAACTGTTAAAGTTGACTTTCCATGCAAATCAGCTAAAAAGCTTTTTTTTTTCAAAGTAATATCTGCTTACTATGTATTATTACAGGTGGAATATGACGAGAAAGTGAAACAAATGTATCCACAATGGAGAAAAGAAGTTGAAGTTGCTCGAGCCAAAAAACAACTCCAAGAGCGCGGTATCCACGTATCACAGACAAGAGAACATACTTTGCCTTCGTATGATGTTGACCATGCATATTCTCACACAGAAAGTCTATCGCCAACTCGAGAAATTCATTCTTCATTATCACTAAACACACCAGGAAACGCTGCTAGTTTAAGTATGAAGAAAGCATCTTTCGAATCTGTATCACCTGAGGATAATGTCAAAACACCGGAACAAAGCAATAGTACCATCAAGATTGCTGCATCACATCCTACACAAGTACCAGTCACATCCACACCTAAGTCATCTCAATCTGCTATAATCTTCAGTGAACAAGGTAATTTATATTTTTAATCTTCAATGCTCTCCTTACATTGTGCTTTACCTAGTTCTTTCAATGGATTTCCATCAATCACTTTATTCTCTACGTCACAAGGGAGAACTATGAAGTGATATAAAAAAAAACTGTTGAATAGCCTACTGCCCTGTGGCTGAGGGTAGTGTTTGAGAAACCATGTATTAAATTAATATTTGTAATCTAATATGATTCTGAATGAAATACCGTTTTTTCACTGAGATATATAGTTACAGTGCTGCGTAAATTGAATATCTGTCAGACTCGACCAAGCAAATATTGTTTGAATAGAACAACAATCTTTTAATATAGATATGTAGTGTAAAAGGTAAATAATAGAAAATTAGGGCTGAAAATAATTTAGAAATAATTCAAATAAATGGACTCATAATTTTTGGTATATATTATTTTCATTATACTATTGGAATATTTATAAGAGTGATCATTATTAGAATACAAAGTGGATATTTTAAGTATTGATTGACCACCATATTTGTAGCCTCGGTCCATGCTCCTCCTGAATCATTTGCTGATACGAAACCCAAACAAGTTGATTATGTGAATGTCACATCACCAATGAGGATGCAAAGCAAAACGAGTGATGTTGTTCACACCATTCCAACTGCAGCTTCTTCTGATGAAGGTAAAAAGTTATTTTTTGCAAAGATGCTTCTGCTATTAACAAGCAATTACATAGACATGCATTTGTGGGAGATGAAAATTTGCGACAGCGTCCTTATTAATTGACCCCCCCCCCCCCCGCCCCTATCAAGTGCATCTGAAACAAATAACCTACTATCAACTGTCTCGTACTCGGCGTGGACTGCATGGACTGGTAACCAGACGAGAGACCGCGGTTTCTCTTCCCCCAAGATAGTTATGAAAATTATATCTTATCCACTTTGACCTGATATCGTCATTTTCTAAATCTGATGTCTTCCGATAATTATGCTCGAGCTTCTCTTTTACCACAGGAAACAGTGACATATCGGAACCATCAATGCTATCTGATCAGACTCCCAATGTAAAAAATGCCTCCAATTCAAAACTGGAAAGTTCTCTGGAATCTCTAGGCAATATCAGACCTACATCACTACCAAAGCCTACATTGCCATCCCCAACACATCTTTTTGCAGCTACTGCAATAAAAGACAAAGTGAGCTATCACTGTTTCTTTTTTTAACAAATGAATAAGAAAATAGTGAGAGATAGAAAATATTTTTGAGTGCTTCTTAATTAAGAATACTATTATTTATCAATTTACCTAATTTGATTATTGTTGAAGTCGCTAATCGTTAGACATCAGTGCTCTCTTGTATAGTGCCTGGTTTGAACGAGAAAAATAAGCGTGACAAAGCGACATATATAAAATGGAGATATTATTGTTTAAAACTTGAGAATTAATATACCTTACTATCATTTACATATAAATTGCTTACCATATGGCCAACTGATTAATATAAATGTAAAGTGTACAATTTGACACCGAAAGTATATAATTTTCGACTTTAAATCGAGTTGGTTTTGATAGGACAATCAATCTGATCAGAATTCGTTTGAAATTGAATCAAGATCTCGACATAATTCTTCAATCAATTCCCCAATCAAATATCAACCTTCACCTGTTTCTGCTGTTGCAGTACATGCAAGTAATAACCACAAATCACCTGGTAAGGATATTTTTGTTGCATTTTTTCGATTTTATGAATATTGAATAAGCTGTTTTGTTTCGTTGTATTTGATGAGATCTTGTATTTGTATTTGGTTAGATAGGCTACTGGGGTTTTCTGGAAGGCTGCCAAGAGCCGTCAATTACTAAAAGATGTAGGCAAATAAGAAAGGACCGACTAATCCCCTGATATGGGGTGTACTAGGGTATTGGGTATTAAACTGCAGGTCCTTTCTTCTTGTTTACTTTCTATTCCGGATCCGTATGTGGCTGTTGCCACAAGGATGCGTGACTGAGATAGTATTATGAAGATAAATAAAAACAACATAATCTCTTTCCACGAAATATCAAGTATATTTATGAGCTTTCGTTAGATCATAGTCCAACTTCTTCAGATAAAACAAGATATGGCTTAATCAAATTTGGAATAATCCCCCCCTGTCAAATAGCGAATAATCCCCTGAGTTGTCATATAGCAGTTGCAAATCGCGTTTGATCGGATCTTCCTGAATACCTGTTTGATCATGTGTGTGATATAACATCAAACTGCTCAGAGATAAATATTCATGACATAAAAAAGAGATTTCACTTTGCATCTTTCAGTGATACAACATTTTTCAAAGATTCTGAATCTTTCTAACATATAATATACTCATTTCATTGTAGTAGACTTGAGGTTTGAACTCGAGACCTTATTACAGGTAAACATAGCTGGATCCAACTCTTTAATTACCAGTCTATCGCCCATGATATAGCACTGTTGTATATTTGTTTCCAGATTCCCAATTTCTTCATATGTATTTAGATGTCAAACCTGGAAGCAGAATGAGCATGAGTTCGTTTGAATCAGATGATTTATCACCGAGGTCAAATTTATCTCCAAGGTCTGATACAACATCGCCAAGATCAAAACCACCACTGACAGGTACATCTTGTATGTATGAATGAAAAAAAAACTTCTTTCACTTCAAAAACTTACCCTATAAGTGTGTAGAGTGTGATTGATGACTAAATGGTTAGAGCAGGGGTGTGAAACAAGTGGTCCGCGGACCTCAACCCGACCTGCCTGTAGCCCTTGTCAACACTCGGAGTTTTCACCATCAAGTGTGAAATACTAATCCGACAGTTTAGGTTTAAAAAGGTGATCACCATGGGTAAAAATACATTATGTTTTTTGTGCTTGCCGCAGTTTTGAATATATGAAAAATAGTTATACTATGCAGTCAAATCCAGATTTACAATGGTGATCAAGAAATATTGCCTATTGTTAATTCTTGCTTCTTTCTCTACTTTCTGTTTGTACTTTGCCACACATTCTGTGTTTGGCCAACCAACGTATAATTGTATCAATTAAGCACCAATTGGTCATAAAATAAAACAAGTTACCATAATGGACCTTTGTGATTATACAGCATACTTCAGCAAACTTTTTTCTTATGTATATCATAATTATATTCTTAGAAAAAATTGTATTTTTCTTATTGACCTGTTTGTAATATTTCACATTCATTTTCTTCCAAAGCAAATGCGGCTTATCAAGCACTTCTCAAACAGCATAGTGGTCCGAAGAATCCTGATTCTATCAACATCCCAAGCATTGATGAAGAGAGTGATGAAGATGACTTGGAAAATATTTTGTCACCGCATGGAACTGGGAAACGGTAATAATTAGTCTGATAATGAATAGATAATGTAAACTAAATATAACTATTGGGGTGATATTTTCTGCCAATTAGTGAATTTTGGTTTGATGTACATTTTTGTGATTTTTAATTATATTTTGTAGGTCAGTACAAAATACTATGAAATCTAAGTTAACTTTTTTGGGTTGGGTCGGATTATAATTTTTTTTGCAGATTAACATATATATTAACTTTTCTTACTTCTAAAACATTTTTCTATATAATATCAAATTGCTCAATTTCTCTTTATAGATCACAATTTGCACCTTCGGAAAATTCTGATTCAGGTATAGTCTGAATTGTTATTTTTTTCAAAATGGACGAGTTCGACTACTATATCTGTTTGTATGCACAGACTTTTATTTTGGATGTCCTGACACATTTGATGTGAAAGGCATTTGTCAACTGATATTTATGGCATGGCCTAATGATTAAAGCGTTAGACTTAACAGTGTTGGCATTGCAAAATCATACATCGCGAGATCAAATCTTATGTGTGGGCAATGCCTGATCGGAAGGATTATGGCCCTTCCAAATAATGGAAACTCTTCGCAGATCTTGAGATACTAGGGCCTGCTTGTGTGAGGCCATGTTTGGACAAAAAATCATGAATGAGCATCGTATAAAAATTTCCTCAAAACAACGAATTATCTCGAATTCAAATTTAATCATTAATGTTGCCGACAAGATGATATTTTCTGGAAATTTTTAGATGAAGATGATTCATTCAGTTCTCGGAAGGACAATGCACCAGTTTATATTCCAACTGCAATGTCATCTGAGTAAGTTTTCTAAACTGTAAGTTTCATTTTCAAAAAGACCTGTTTACATTCGTTGCATTGTATGCTACATTTTTTTATAGATCAAAAGCGAAAGGACAAAATCAACTGACTAGGCCAAGAGCAGTTCCTAAAGGTATGAGTTGCTTTTTATCAGTCCAAGGGTATTATATACAGAAATGGCAAATACATTTTGAAATGGGTGTGTACCACAAGAGAAATTCTTCAAGACGATTGTAAATTCACAGAAATCAAATTTGGTGATGCAGAATAATTGAGATGAACATTTTGTTTTAATTAGTATTCACTTATTTATTTTGTCAAAAATTACTAATTTTTCGTCTATCATGAGATAATAAATGCTTAAAAAGACATTTTCAAATGAAAATGTTCTAAATTATTCTTAAAATCAAGAGTTTACTAAATCGAATATAACCAGATTCGTTTTTGGACATCCCTGATTACAAAGTATACATTTACATTTTTGCTCAGATAAGATGTGAGGGCAGTCAATTTTGTCCCTGTTTCCAAATCTCTCTCACCAAATTTTTCAATCCTGTATTGGGCTCCATAACCATATTAAAACAGAATTTCAACCATGCATGAAAAAAAATTTCATTAAACATGTGACCTTTACTTTTCGTTTATGAGCTGTAGCTGAATAGCTAGTTGTCCCTTTATGCTAACAAACTTGGACGACACCTGTGATTAATTAGCTACCGGTAATATTGATTTTACCTAATTTTGCTGGTGGTAGGGAGTTTTGAAGGACAGCAATCTTTCTGGTTTGGCATTACCTACCCTCTTTATTACATCCGGTTGGTAGACATGGGATTCGAATCCGAGATTTCAACCTACGACGCCAAGGCTCATTTAAATTTTGAAATGGTTAATTAGGAAAATATTAAGTCTTATTGTGTTTAACAGCTCCATGGGATACAGATACTGAGGATGAATTTGAAAATGAGGAAACTTATCTTTCCAACACAGGAGGAAGTTCTAAATGGGATCAGAAGTTACAGAAATACGATGCCCAGGATGATTTTGACTTTTATGATTGATAAATGCTCGAGGATATTGCTGTAACAGCTTACAAAAGAATTTACAACAGCTGTACAGAAATGGAATGACTAACTCCACTTGAATGAATGACATGCTCAAATTTACTTATCATCATAGGAAGATACATAAATCTTTATATTTTTATACTGTCCATTACAGAATTTTATGAAATTCATGATTTCATTTAGTTACTGTAAAAGAGAAGGGTTCTAATTGAGACACTTTCTACATAATTTATAATGAACTTGAATTAACTGATGAGTGCGTAACATTTGTTGATGGCATCTTGAGAGTACTTCAATTATTACGACGATGTTGTCGTGATATTTCAAGTTTCATCAAATTAGTTCTTTGCTATTCAGTGAGTGCTTGGCTGCATTCTGATGCCAAATTTCTGCCTATGGAATGTTAAATTTTATGAGAAGTGATGGGACTCTAGAATTTTTATTTGGAGGTTGTGCGAACAAGTTCATGTTATAGATGTTAGACAACCGCAGCATGGCAAATGAGTAACAGCATTAGGCGATTAGCGACTAGCGTTATATAAGGCATTTCGAAAGTCATGTATTAGATCTGTGTAATGTTATTAATGTACCTAGCTTCGGGACATACCAAATATAACCTTTATTTTATATGTGTAATCTTATGTTGGCGTTCTTGTAATGTAAAATGACTGAAAGCTCGACATGATTTTCAGAAATGAGGAAACCTGTTGTTAGTAAGTTCGACACTAGAGAGAACCTGTTTTTAAAGTTTTGTATTCATCGTGAGCTTGAAATTTTTTATAATAGGCATGCAGCTATATAAGTCTATTTATAATACTTTTTTATAGTCATTAAGTTTAGGTTTTTATACTGAATTCTTTTGTTATACTTGTTTGATACACTGAATAAAAATTATATTTTCGTGCATATTTTAGAATCTAATTTCTAAATGGAAGAAGAACTTATCGTTATTAAACACTGTGCCACTATAGTTTGTAAATCTTCACCAGACGTTTGCTTTGAGTGTTCGAAGCCAATTGACTATGGAGCTACTCCTCCACCAACATTTTATGACTGTCCAATAACTAATGGTCACCGAAATATTCTTTCTATTATTGTAAAACCTACTGATGATACATGGGATGCTGCTTGTAAATCTGACTGTGATCTCCATATTGGCATCACTGATGGCAGTGGGAAAGTTGCAAGTTATGACTGGCATGGGATTGCAAGAGAAAGCAAGGGCTGGGAGGGAAGCCTTGTGATATACCAAGTTCAGACTTCTGACGTATTCCAATTAGAATACATATGGAAAAATGTTATAGGTAAACTTGAAAATGATGGGAATTGGTCAGCCTATGAATATGATGAAGACCAACACAACTGCTTTGATTATGTGTTAGCTTTCTTGGACAAAGTTGAACAGGAATATAAAGTAAGGTATGAATCTAGTTTACCACTTGGTCTGGTGCAGATGAAGGATAGAAGTGAGACAAGGCGGAAATTTATCGAAGATTTCATTCTGCCAAAGATGCAAGAGGCTGTCGAGTATACAAGAATATTAAATGAAGTGAGAAATCACAGCTATGCAATCATATGATTTTGTTACACAGAGGAAAATTGCCAGCAATAAAATCTCATATTTTGGGGATTCAAGTGATTAATATTGGCAAGGCAGGAATTGTCTTGAAATGGATGATCTGACCAACTGCACGGTTCACTGTATTCGCCACTTAAACAGAGGATACATCTCTTACAGAAATATGGTTGCTTTTAATAAAACGTTTAAACGAGGGAATACATTGCAGCAAAATACCTTCAAAATAGCAACTGTAAAACTATATATAGTATTTATATATATAAATTAAATCGTAGTAAAAAAAATAAATGAATATTTATGGAATGATGTACTATTACGGAAGTTGTAATGACACAGCTGTGCCTGTGGGTAAGGTTCTTCTGTTTTCTCGAAGACTATTTCGGAATCAAACAAAATGATTTGATATACAAGTGTCCATAAAAAGTCAGAAACAAATATTTGTTCCTTTGCCGATAATAGGTCTTCAGTACATTTAGTTAGGCATGGGAAATATACATGTGATGCCTTAAAATATAAATGATACGAAGACTTGTTCAGACACGAGGTATATAGATATGTTGAACTAAAACAAACAGCCTGAATATAAAAGCATACAACCACGTTTGTTTAAATATCATAAAAACAATGATGAAAAAGTTTGTTCAGCTTGTTAGAAAATAAATTTTTAAATTGAGGAAGGAAGATCATATCATAAAAAATCGTGGAAGATCTTGATGTTAATTGGCTCACAGTTTAAACTAAATTACAAAAAGGCAAGATGGCTTTATTAATAAAATTATGTGAAAGTTCTTTATTTTTGTATTTATGAGCAACATACAGAGAAATGTTTAAAATTAAGTGTTCTGGAAATTTCCATTGCTGAAATCCAGTCTCAAAAAATACAGATATGGAAATGATGGTCATAAACTTCCATAATTTATCGACAAATCTTCAGCAGCATTAACTAAGAATAAAGGTTACTGCTTCAGATCATGTAAGCTCATAAAGTGGATTTAAATGTCAAATTTAGTAATTATTTATTACACCCCACGTCGCTTTGGAGGTTTTGGTCTTGATTTTATATCCTTGCATCTTGGAATGTGTCGTTGAGCAACATAAGGATCGAACTTTCTGTCACAATATTGACAGTGTACATAGTCTGGATTTTCCATTGGTGGCGGAGGAGTCAAATCAGACAAGCTTCCTCCATTTGCTAGATGGATTTGTGCCTTTTTCGCTTCTCTGACTGTCCTAACAAAGTCTTCATGTTTGCTTCGCCAGTTTGATTTTTTTACAGGCTAGGTATAAAATATGAAAATTTATGTTTTGCAAGTTTAATCAAAAATAGTTGACCTCTATGGTACCTTACAAAGGTTTTTATAACCACGATATATCCCGAACACACAAATTGTATGGACTCAAAAATATAAAGTAAGATAAAATGACGAAATTACTCTTTTTCATATTACAATGATTGTACGGGCACAAAGATTGATTTGATTTAAAGTTCATTTAACAGAGAATTTTCCAGATTTGGCTAGGTGAATCTCAAAGAAAGTCAATACCAAAAACATCACAGAATGCTTTTCCAGATCTTTCAACCCTTGCCATTGTAAAAATTTAAAAATAATGATTCGCATCCACACCCCAATTGTATCATTCGTTTTTGGCTGAATAGCGGAATGTATAGAAAATTGGGTGCTCCCGAAGTACGTGCACCAAGATGGCGCACAACCTGAACCCTAACCTGGTACATATACTATGTTCAGGTTGTGCGCCATCTTGGTGCACATACTTCTGGAGGTCCGGAAACTGCACTGATAATGTAATTAATAGAAAACATAGCCTATAACTCACCGGGGTTCTAGCTTTCGTTACAACATTCTGTATTGCATATTTTTCTATTTCTGTTCCTTGTGTTCTAGCTTTTGTCATATCGAAAACTTTTCTCTTTTTGTTTTTGGATTTTTTACAAACATTCAAATGTTTAGCAAGACGATCATCAGCAAATTTTCGACCACATATTTTACAAGGCACAGTATGTATAGCAACATTCTCTTCATCTGGTTGTCTTTGTGAATATGGAGCCACTGTATTTCTTGGCGATTTTTTCGTTGTTATTAGGGGAGGGGATATAGGAGGACGTGACACTGGTTCTCTCTCTTGTTTCATTTTTAAGTCAGGTGACAGTTTATTTCGTTGACTGTGTTTAACTTGGTGCATTGGTGTGGCGTGTGTTTTATCCTTTTTTGGTGTTCCTCTACTACTTCCACTACTCGCATCTCTTCGTACTAAAACAGGTTTCATCTGGAATCCAACATCTGATTTGTCATCTTCTTCATCGCCAGATAATACATTGTGATTTGAAGGCCTGAATCTTCTTAATGGGACTTTCATAGGTTTGGAACTTGGTGCATTAGAAGTAAGAAAAAGGAGTTCATTTTCAGAATCATTTTCACTTCCTGATGTTCCGTATCCTCCACTGTCCAACCGTGTTCTTTTGTCTACCTCCCGCATTCTGGCAAGATCAAGTTGTTTCTGTCTCATCTGTCTTTCAAGTTCAGCAATTTTTCTTTCATTATCATTTTGAAAACCTTGTCGTAATGGTTCTTGTCTTCCTGATTGTTTATTCTTTTGTTTTTGTATAACAGGAGAAATTGATCTCTTCGTATGAACACCGTTGGTATCAAAACCTCTGTTCGTGGTTTTGTGTTTTCTGGCTGCAAATTGAAGTGGTGGTTTTGCATATAATTTGTTTGATTTATTGAAATGAGACTCCGATGAGTCAAATTCTCCTGCAGAACCAATAACAGGTTGTTGATGCCTTTGGTGTTTTTCAAGTCTTGCCATTCTTTCGGCATCTTGTTGCTGCTGCCACTTTTCAAAATCTGTTAGTTTTCGTTTCGTAGTCTTTTCGGTAGTAAATCCAGGACTGTCTTGTAAATTTGGCCGTTTTTCTTCCAACTTTATCAATTTCCTTTGTTTCAACTTGCGCTCACGAAGTAAACGAAGATGTTGTACATTTGGTGGCGGAGATGCATGGCCCTCATCAATGGTGGCTTGCATATTGTTTCCATTTTGCATATGATGAACTTGCTCTGTTGCAGGTCCCACACTGCGGATTTTAACAGGTGGAGTTCCTGAAGTTTGACTTTCTCTTTCTGTGTGAAAGCTGCGAGCTTTTCGTGTATTGTTGATGGGAGGTAATTTGTGAGGTTTTTGAGGATATTGTTTGTTTTGGGCAGAATTTGTAATTCTTCTTTGATACGCTGTAGAATATCCTGAAGATTTCTCGTATTGTCTTTCATTTGTACTCAAAATTCGAGAATTACTTTCTTTTGAAGGTCTTTTATTTCTATTACCAGAATGCATTTCTACTCTTTTCAAAGCATCTTCACGCCACTTGTCATAAATAGATGTCATTTTCCTTTCTTTTTCCAGCTGAAGTTTTTCTTGATAATCTTTTTGAAGCTTCTGCAAGGGTGACAAATTATTTATTGAATCAGTTTTTTCTTTTTGTATCTGAGTAAATCCACCATTATGATGCCGATTAGCTGGACTATTTCCTGCATTTGTGTTGTTTATTCTCGTTGGTATTCTACTTTGGGAATTCATTGCATAAGTTTGAGGACTGTAATACAATGAAGCCATTTGTAAAACTATGAAACAAAAATAAATATTTTTTATGTGTCATTATTTGAACGTGCAACAAACACAAAAAATTTTTTAACACAAAATACTGAAATACAAATTGTGTATAGCTTCAGAGTAACAAACAAAAAAACCTCATCATGGCTCATATTTTGAATGTTTAATGACATGTTTATTCGCCTCAAAAATGTAAGAGTAACTGCATAATAATATTAAACAGTATATCATAGACTGGATATATGTTAAAGACCTTACTGGCCTAAGACAAGAATGTGCGACATGAAGTTTTTTTGATTTCATCATATTGGACACATGGAGTACACCCAGGAGTAGACTACATACTGATATATAGGCAAAATAATATTCATTTTATTTCAAATATTTATACCACGGCTGGGAGAAGGCTGTAACAGGTCAGCAGTTGTGCGAAGTATGATCCAAACCCATACTTTTTCATCTGAGTAATGTACATACAGACAGTGTTTTTGCTCCTTATAAAATTTTGTCACAATTGGAATAATATTATTACTGTATTACCAGCCCTCGCCACGCAGCCATGTATCAGTGTACGGTATGGAGCTAGGTAACCACTCCAATACTGCCAATATGATCCAACAGCAGAATCGAAACATGTCCGCACTCTGATTTCTAAAATGGTTGAGTCTTTTGTACAAAGTCCCCACCAAAGCTCAAAATGAGGAAATTAGTAATTATCCAGTTAGTGTCTAGGTTAGGAATGCACATTGCGCTGGAAATTCAAAGTATTCCTAAATCCTGAAATCTAACTTATTAATTTTTTATTTTAAACGTGGCGGGTACGGTACCGGGTTCTCACATTTTTGCATTAATTGAATGACGAGGGCTTTGTACAAAAGAGCCAATTGGTAAGGTATCACTAGCAGACTAGCCTAAGATGTTACCAGTATGTCCATACTGAAATCTGGAAATGCCTAGCCTATGCCCTACTGAAATGGCCCTCTCCGCATTAATCAGAACGACTATTAATCTACCACCGTCTGGGTGAAGGGCAATTTCCACGAGTAGCAGTGTATTCTAGTGGTACCGTACGCTATTCGTGAGCAAGCCACGGTCGGAGCCAAGCGATGTCAGTATTATATTAGTTATTTTTAAGTAGCCTAATACTTTGCCTCAGATCTTACTCATATTGCTTCCAAAAGTTTGGATAACTCCGCTAGCAAAAGTACGGTACTGAACAAAACAAACAAGCACAACACAGAGATCAAAATTAACAGAAACCAGGTGATTTATGGTTGCCTGGATACATTCATTGTCAATGATGCGTGGCAATTGTCGACTGGCAAAACTAACCCATCTACAAGACATACCGTAACATTTTATCGAAGTATGTAACATTTACGTATTCATCAATTATAGTTTGAAGGTTCATGAGTCGTACTAATTTGGTCCTTTTATTAGACCCGGCCGTGAGTGTCGCGCGGAGGATAAGATTTACCCCCGGGATTTGATTTATCCAAAAAAACATACACGCAACCTACAGCGTTTACGCGTAAACTTTTGAAACAAAAAACGCACGGATCACCATGATGACTAGCTATATATTAGTTTACTTTTCTAGTGATAATACGACTGTTATAGCAATATCCATGCCTATTCATCTGTTGATTGTGTACCAACACGCCGCGGCCTCCACGCTATTTACGGCAAAAATATATCGCGGACCCTAGAGAAAATGTAAAATCGTGTGTCAGCACATGTCGGTTTTTTCGGAGTCACGTCGATCCCATGTATCACACACCTGAATATCAGCTAACATCGCTCTCACAAACAAATGCCAAGTTAAAACTCCCTGAAAGACAGGCCACTCAAATAAACAATGGTTTTATAGAGAATATTTGGAATCGTATACACTAAAATTGAGCAAAAATGTACACAGACTGGCATTCAAAATAGTTCATTGAAAGCAAAGAAGATATTTTATCATTGGAAAAAATTTAAAAATATATTTCTTCCAGGAAGATATAAAAATATCAGCAGCATATATGACAAATACAGTACAAGTTGCTAATAGAACCAACAACTGAAAATATTGGTTTGTTAGGGAGAGATCTTATGATAATTATATTGAATATAGCATTGTGTCGGTGGGTACAAATTCTAGAGATCGATGAATACTTTTTAGGGCACTCCAGAAGTATGTGCATCAAATGGCGCACAACCTGAACCCTAAGCTGATACACATACTGTGTTCAGGTTGTGTGCCATCTTGGTGCACATACTTCTGGAGCTCCTTATATAGACGTAGATCCAGTTTTAATACCCTTGGTGCACATACTTCTGGAGCTCCTTATATAGACGTAGATCCAGTTTTAATACCAGGGTGGAGTTCAAATTGCATATCTTAATTTTTTTTATCAGTATATGTCAGTAAAAAAGAAACTTGGAATAACCAACATTTATCTTCCAAATACTTCATGCAAATTGTTTACGTTTATTGTTATGAACATATCCATCCGGACACACTTCATCTCTCCCGTGCCTCAAGATTTATGTCACAGCTTGATTCATCAACTCATCATCTGGTATATATGGACTGGATAAAGCTGGACTCAGCGATGGAGACAAAGTAATATTTCGAGGAGTTGGAGCTCTCTTTGATCCTTGCAGAATACTAGAACTTTTCTGCATTGCAGGGGTTGGTGAAAGAGGGGTGGGCATTGCAGCACGTTCGGGAGATTGTCTCTCATTCAAACTTCTTCCCTGAGTAATTTGAAACAATAAATTAATGAGGCTAAGGGAATTTGAATAATCAACATAGGTTTTTAAGTTACATTTTACAAACTTTATGCACACGTCCAAAATATGCTGGTTGGGTTTCGAAAATATCATCCTTAAAAAGCAGAAGAAACTCAAATCCTTTTTGCAAAATCATAGTTAGCATTTGGCAATCACATTTTTGATGCTCTAAATCGGGGCTCTTCAAACTGGGCATCCCAACATACCGGTGAGTCACGAAAGGGCTCAATTGGGGTCACGGTAAAATCTTTCTCGACACCAACTTATGTTAAAACAAAATAGTAATCAAATGTGAACACTTTTCAACCAATAATGTAATCCAGATCACAGAAATAGAGCCAAGATGCTAGTGGACTCATTAAAGGTATTGTCAACTTTATTATTTTTTTTAAATATTTCTGTACTGTTAAACTTTAGTTTATTGTTATTTGAAAATTTGGCCGTGGGAAGTGTGTAGTGATGAAAAATTGTTTCTTTTTCCTTCTCAAACTTTTTTTGTCACAAATAGTTTTAACCGTTTTGAGCATATGTAAGTTGTGCTTTCGCTTCAAAGATTAATCTTAGGATTTTTTTTACCAAATACTGCATGTACTCGGCATCCGGCACTAGTTGGGATTAATGTCTTAGATTGAGTCATGTCAGAGATTGAGGTTTGGGCCAGTGATTGAGGCCTTGTTCAGAGAAAAGCTGAAGAAGATTTCAGTAGTTTTTCTAAATAAAAATCAGATGAAAAAAATATAAACCAATACCGATATGAAGACAGGTGTCTGTTCATCTCTGATTTGAGTCAACGTTGAGCTACCTTGAGTAGAAGATGCAGCATCATCGATTATCATCAACCTATCATCAGGTGACTGAGGACTTCCAGAGGGAATGGGAGTAGAAATGCGAGAGTGGGTAGGGCTTGGCCGGTGCGGACTACGGCCCGATATAATAGCTGGTAAAATGAGCAAAGGTTACAGCTTTCGTGAAAAAATTGGGTTTTGTGAGATTAAGTTTCATTATTTAATGGAGAAATCACCTATTAAAATGCAGAGAACTATGTATGTAATGGTCAACAATCATTAATTTACCTTTTCCAACTTTATCATCGATGCGAGTAAGTGGCGACGTTGTTCGTTGAATCTGAGGTGATGATGTTCGTTTCGAATTAGGTGAAATAGAAGGTGCTACAAAATGTTGATCTGATCCAGGTGCGGATTTTCTGGCAAGACCGATAGCAGCAGGAGTCGGTGAAGTTGAAAGAGATTTCGAGAAACTTGAAGACGGAGGATCTATTGATGATGCAGAACTCGGTCTTGCGGGAAGACCTGAAAAATTTGTAAAAAGGAAATGAATATTGAAATTTTCACATTAAAATCCATGACTTCCATTTTTCGTTGCAGTGTTTTTATTTTCATTCTGAACAAGGGTTACGAAAAGCAACGATTGACAAATAAGATTGTCATATTCTCTTTTCATGGAGTAGCGAGTATACTGTGAGCTTTCGCAGATCATAGTCTAACACAAGGGTGAGCGAAGTTGTTTCTAAGGGCGGCATTCAGAAAATCTTTTTGTTAAGGGCTGCATTGAGAAATTGACTGCGATGTACAGTTACTATGCTTATTTGTTATAGTGTCATATTTCATGGTGGCTGACATTGTTGAACCAGAGATGAAAAAAAAATTAGTGATTGATATTATAACAATTCTTAGTTTAGAAAATTTAAATGGATTTTGTATTATTACTCAAATACTATCTCATTCACGCATTCTTGTGGCAATGACTACATACTAAATCGAAGTGGGGAGTAAAAAAGCAGAAATGACTTGCAGTTCAATGAACACAGAGCACATCGATACATAAGTGAACTGTATTTTTAAAGACTCACAACCTTCAATGCAGTTAACCCGCTAAAAACCATTGTGCCTACATTGCAGGAAACAAAAACTTACGGCAGATAATACTACATAAATTCAGGCTGTAGCAAGTAAAATATAGATGTACCTCATGAAATGAAATTCAAAAAACCTGAAAAATGACTTTCTAACAAAATCTTCGATTGTAACAGGACTTGATGAACACCATTGATATCTAACACAGACTAATTCAGACAGCAGAGCTTTAAAACAATTCTTGCATCTAACTCATTTTCTGGTCAATATCAGTAGAAAAACAAGTGCAAATTTCTCACCCCCTATAGAAGGATTTCTCAGAGGTGACTTTTTAACAGGTGGCGGAGTTCCTGCAGAGTTGGAACCAGAAAGTTTGGCAGATAACTGTCGTGCAGCTAAATCAGATGAGAGAGTTTTGGTCAGCATTTGCGAAGGTGATTTTCTTTGAATTGGGCTACTGCCCACAGGAACAGACGTTGGTGTGATGCTTCTGACTTTGGCTGGTGGCGGATTCCGTGGAACTTTAGCTAGTGTGAGTAAGAATAGTTAGTAAACATAATTCAATATTCTGGAATGAAAAACATCTAGTATGCTATATGATAGTAATATTTGAAGATATTTTGATTTCCTATCTGGTAAAACCATGTTTGTTTCTAGAAAATTGAACACAGAAATGTTGGAAAAAAAAGAAACCTTCCCGGCATTAACAAACAACGTCACCCTGAATTTTATTAACCATTATTTAGTCAAGCCCCAGGTATCAGATTTCTTTATGTAAAGTGTTTTCTCTTTTCTTACTACTTGTAATATTGCCTTTACTTGATCGCTGGATATATTGTAGGTATGAGGATTTATGTAAGTCTAAAAGTAACAATTATCAGCTCTCGACGGTTGTTTTTAATGAGATATTTCCCACTCCATACAAGTTCCCACTGATACACGAGAGCTGCTAAATATTTTTGTTTCAGCATTGCCAACCCATATTACTATTACTCTCTGGGTAAAATGTTTGAAATGGGGTTTGAACCCAGATCCTAGGCATTCAATTTCCACATAAAAAACATTGAAGCAGATAATACACTCACGAGCCCCAACTTTGTTCAATGGTGCAGGTGCATGCATTGTTGGACCTTTCGCTGCCGTTGCAGCAGCAGCTTGATTAACAAATTTCAAAACTTTTTCCATATCAGATTCTCCTTGTGTCTTCATCCCTGATGGAAGTTCCGTAACTTGGGGACGTCCTGTTTTGGCAGTAAAGCCTCCTTTAAGCATAGTGTTGAGATTAGGATTTATTTTGCTAATTAGGCTCTTTGCATGACCTAATGGCTTGGGAATTGTTCCACTTTTCATGTTTTTTTCTTCTGTGCTTCCCTGTGGAAGTTTACTTATGATGCTTCCTGGTGGTTTCTGATATGGAGAATTTGAAAGCAATGACTTTGATTTTGTCAGTAAATTACTGTTTGCGTCTTTTTCGAATGATTGTTTGCCTGAATCTGTGAAAAGTAAAAAATAAATAAAGTAACATTTCTTTTAATGTGTTGGGAAAATGGTTGCAGACTACCTTGCCCTCGCAATGCACATCAGATATGCTAAAGAGCATGCAACATTTATTAAAAAAGTCAAATCTGAACATTGAGATATATTCGTAATGAACTGTACGAATACCATCAGAAAAAATGCCATTTTTATACGCCCGCCGAGCTTACGTGAAATATTGTTCAACAGATTTTATTTCTACCTTTTTGCGATCTAGATAGCGCTAATTTATGTCATTATCAGAGTTCAAGCACGTGTTTATCGTAACAATTCAATTCTACCAGTATATATATCAATTATAGGTACCGGTGTTAGGATTACATTGGGCAGTAATTTAAGTTATCAGCCATATAGGAAAGCTTAAAGATGACAGAGATCAAACGAAAACTAGATTCAGAAAACTAACGTTTCTTGGATAAATGGCAGTGTTCGTATTTCTCCATTGAAAAGTATCAAACTTCAGAGATTTGTCTTCTTTGCCAACGAAGTATTCCAATTTTGAAGGAATACAACATTAAGCGCCATTATGAGTCAAACAAACATGTTTCAAAAAAATGGCAAAATGAAAGTGAATCCACTTTTGGGCGCTACATTCTTCCGGCCCGCGAACATCTTTCCGATTCTGAATTTGGCCCGCGGCCAATAAAGTTTGGGAACCCCTGGTCTAATGCTTTAACCATTAGGCCACTGCGCATCAAAATATTGAATAGTTCACAAAAAAAAAATCGTTCATTACGTATTTGGTTAGGATACCCAAAACCAGTCAAATATTTTAATATATATTGCGAATTATCCATGTTTAATACAGTAAACTCATAGTTTGAGAAATGGTGCAAAATAATTTTTTTGAGAAGAATTATATTTTTTGGCAACTGATATTCAATGGACAGACAAATATCACTGATTATATGCTTGCTATGATATTTACCTTGAATTGATGGAGATGACACACCTGGAATGTTAGTTGACATTTTGTCTGATGCCAATTTTGTGACAATATCTTCGATTGAGTTTTTTCGAGCACGTTTTTGAGCCATCACTCCAGCACCTCCATTCCGAGGTGAAACTGAGCCAGGATGCTGAAATATTTGAGCTTGAAGTTAGTACAGTGAAAAAAGGTTTTATGATAATGAACTTATTTATTTGATGCTTTTCATGACTTTTACTCCGAAAAAACTCCTGTACAAAAACTCAGCAATATATATTTCTGGGGAATTTCATGCTGAAATATTTGAGCTTGAAGTTAGTACAGTGAAAAAAGGTTTTATGATAATGAACTTATTTATTTGATGCTTTTCATGACTTTTACTCCGAAAAAACTCCTGTACAAAAACTCAGCAATATATATTTCTGGGGAATTTCATAAGAAAATGAAAATTCAAAATAATGCATGAAAATTGAAATTTTATAAAATTGCATGAAAAATAACTTAATCCCTGAAAATTACAGTTTCAACTTACTTTACCAAGTTGATAACCTTGTTGATTCTTATCTGCAGATGTAATACTACTGGAAGATGATTGAGGACCAAATGATTGTTTACTCTGGAATGGCGTTTTCCCTATAACTGAATAGAAAGCAAAAGCTCAATATTTATGGATGTGTGTTTATGGAAATGTTGTTCGTCCTGAAAACTGTCCTAAAGGTTGAAATTTTAGACATGACATCGCAGGTCAAAATGTTTTGTTTAATCCCATGCCCAAGACCTCAACCAGAGGTGAGCAACGTCAAACAGAAAAGATTTCAGTTCTTTCCAAACTTGAGTAGCCCCATATCTAGCAGTAACTGCTCCTGAAGAGCTTTGTTTGAGATGGAAGGCATGAAAATTTGTCATATAACAAAAAAACATTGTGTGCGAAGGCTTATTACTTTGGATAAAGTTCACAGGTTCAACACCCAAGCTCGACAACTAATGCAAGTTGTAATGAATTTAAAAGGCAATGTCGAACTGGAAAGGTTCCATCTAGTCTTTCCAAAAACTGGAACTCTATAAGACTTTAGGTGCTGCTCCTAAAAAGCCTTGTTCGGAGTCAAAAACTCCTATAAAAAATCAAAAAGTCGTGCGACAGTCATACAACACAAAGCAGAAAATAACACATTTTTTCCCCATATATCTAACAAATGAGAAAAAATTCGAGTACACAATTAAAAAGTAAAACTACCTTTCTTTTTCTTTCTACTCTGTAGTTCTTCTTGGGATTTGAGATATTTTTCAATATCACTAAGAATTGACATTGGTGTTCCAGATAACCCGGTACTGCTAGTTGTGGTCGGTGCATTAGTTGTGTTGTTGTTGCTTGTCCCAATACTTGTAATCGACGTAGCGGGAACAGGTATGGGATTGATACCAGTCTGATTCTCTGTTGAAAAAATAACATGTTTTATATCTTAATCATCACATTAATACTATCTTGTTCAAGCATACTTATGGCATCGAAATCCAATTTAGGGAGTATACATCGAGAAAGAACCTTAGGTACTCCTGTAGTGTGTGTATCAGGTTCGGGTTAAGCCATAATTTTATTCCGATTTTCCTTATTTCTAGTTCTATTACGAGTTCAGGGACTGTTTGTGTTAGTCAAGTGAATATACCCCCTGCCCACAGGTTTGAGTCCCTTTACACAACTTGACATAAAGTAGGCAAACAAAATTAGTTCCCACCATATTGGTACACACACTTCCGGAGCACAGAACCTTAAGTTCAAAACAAAATATCCTAGTAATTTATAAATATATATCGCTGATTTATATTCTTTGTCTGTAAATGGCAGTAATGAGTAGCCATATGTGTTATTAAAATGGAGTAATATTGATCTGCGAAAAACACACTGATTCCTATTAATACACAGATCTAAAATTAATATATGTAGTCCTATATTGTGACTCACTCTGCGGTAGTGCTGATCCAAGCAATGGTTTAGTTTTGGTTGTTGATGATATAGGAGCCCCAGTTGATGACAGTTGTATGTTTAACATGATTGGTGGATTTGCATTTGGATCATCACTTTGTGGTCCGCCTCCTTCACCCTTCTTTTTCTTACCTTCAAATAAATATTGATATGAATACCAGCGTACTCAGCGGAAGCCTTTGCTCTTATTCTCCAGAGATCCACTCCTCTTGAATAAAAATTGACATCAGTTTTTAAGCATAGCGGAAAGGAATCAATAGTTCCGAAATAGGCAAAGCGAGGAATTTATCGAAAAAGGTTGGGATCTATAATAATAATCTTGAATCTAAAATTTTTATTCCTAATTTCCATTATTCTTCCACCATGCTATATCTGGCGGATAATAGAGAGTTTTTTAGTTATTATTTTTTACATATAAAATCCCCAAAACAAAACATGCAATAATTAATAAAAGTAAAGAAAAATAATTGAAAATTCATGAATAACCACTGAAATATCTAGAGCAGGGGTGGCCAACCTGCTTTCGAGCATGATCGACCAAATATTCCAAATAGCCCGCAATCTGACTGATCGATTATAAGGTCATACACAAAAACGATGAGTACTGAATATGCAGCAAACTGCATGCACGCATACATATCGACGTGTTGGCCATACCTGATCTAGAGCTACTGAAACAATACAGTATTATGATAGTGCATTACAAGATGTGAAATACTAAATAATGATTTCCCAAATCTTAGCTGATTATGTAAGATATTATAATCTTGTTTTCGAACATAGTTTCTTGCATATATAAACATACAACTACGATATGACATTCTTTCCATGATATCTGAGTGCATGTCTGAACAACATATACTAACTTTTTTTACTTTCTTTCATTTTCTGCCTCAACTTCGCTGGTAAATTTGCCATCTTCATAAAAAAAGAACATACGTCACGAATAGCATATAACTCATAAATAAGTCCTGTTGCACATAAAGATAAATGTATTTCTGTAACGTTCTGTCTGACAGAGGAAAGATAGGGAGTTAAGTTAGTCTTGAGTGAACTCTTAGTTACATCATAAATTGGATGCCAAAAAATTTAAGATATGAATATTGATCATTCGATATGAATGGTTTAAGGAGTAAAATAGATTTGTTAAATTGTTAGATATGGTAATATGAAATTGAGACTAATCAAAAGCAGAATTCTGCAAAACTAAGTTATTCAGTTACAGACAGTCCTAACAACCAAAGTTGCCTTAAAATTAAATCAAAGAAAGTACTCAAAGCCTATTACGGTTCTGAAATGTGAACTGAGTAAAATTTCTTCTCAAATCTCTATAAAAACACTTTGAATTTGTAAACATGACCTCTATATATTTTATATATGTAACCTGGTTATTATTCTGGCTCAACAAATCAATAAGACATGAATGAGGAATTGCCTAAACAATGAAAACTAAAGCTACAACTCCATACAAGTTCTGTAATGCAACAGTTGATACATGCAGCATTAAATATACATTCATCCTATGCTGAAATATTAAAATGCTTAAAGCTGTTCAATTCAGAAGACATTGTAATTTCATGCTCATACGACGCTACAAACAAGGTCCTGTACAAGCATACACTAATAGGCGAAGAGCTTTTTTATTTGGAGATACGAGAATCTTTCTGGCTACATAATTTGCTACATGGGTGAGTTGGTTTCATTGTTTTGAAATTTCCTATACCAGGTTATCCTGTACCTCCATGATCTTTGACAGAAGGTGGACGTCCTCGCTTTTTAGCCGGCGCTTTTCCTTCATCATTTTTACTCGAATTTCTTCTTCTCACTGCCTTTTCATTCTTGGTATCTCCTGATCTTCCCTGTGGGATAAATTGAAATACTAGATTGAAATAACAGGGAATACAATCATATAAAACAAAATGATTTCGCACACGTGATAGGCCAGCAGGAGATTCAAAATGACTTAAACATCCAAATCAGATTCTAAAATTCCTATATTTAATATAAAAATTATCGGTTCAAAAAAGAATTTGAAAAATTATCGTTTTGAGTGAAGAAGTTTCATAGAATAAAAAAGCCTTCATTTGCTTTCTGACAACTGTAAAACATCTCACTCAGCTCAGAAATTAGGGATATTAATGTTTGAGTGAAGTGACGGGCAACCACTGGTCAGGTCAGTCTGGCAATTGCACAGTTTGGACAGTTTACCATGTGTTCATAAATATATATTACAATTAAAAATATTACTAAATAACTAAAAAGTATCAATAAAACGACCCCAATTATTAAGTAAAATATTCGCCCTGGGGAGGAATTCCCCACACGGTTGGGGAAACGTGGTTGTCACGAAAATTAAGCGCAAAATCGTGCATTAGCAAATTTCGATTGCTGGAAACCTTGAGGCAGTTCATGTCAAAACGACCAGAATAACAGGTAAATAGTGAATTCAACATAACAGAAATTCAACATATTTGAATTGATGAATTGTTCAGTTCTGGCATATCTAAAGACTTGACAAATGTCTTGGCTATATCAGTATTCCAGGTAAGACGGATATTAAAAAAAAGGATCAAACCGCACTAGAGGGATATCCATCATATACAAGCTCAAATTGTCTCAGTGACTACTGTACAAAGCCTTGTTAATGAAGAAGATAAAAAAAAATTAGCCATCTTGAGGAATTTTCACTGTTTTTGCAAATAAAACTAGAACTCACAGGTGTGGTGCTTCCTGGTTTATCGACGGCGTTTTGTCGTACTAGTCCTTTGTCTGGCATTGTTGTTATTGATGTGGAAGTCATTAGCTTGTTTGGCAAATCAAACAAAGAATGATTTGAAGTCGAGGATTGCACTAAAGACGTCAAGTTTGGCATCAAACCTTTAGGAATGTGACAATAAACAGATTAATTATCGAGACAAACATATGTTAATTTTGCAATATTCTTTCAATGGCAATGGAGTCTAAAGTCAGAGTTAAAGTTTGGCATTAAGTATGGGTGGCACGATAGCGGTTAAACTCAACTGTGGTGGCATCACAGTTCCATTTCTCGGGTACAAATCCTATACTCTCATACAGTCACTGGGTGTAACAAATTGGGTAGAATCTCTAATTAGAAAGATTTCGGCCTTCCAAATAATAGTAGCTCATGTTAGAGATGTACCGATGTATCGGTATCGGGTATCGGTATCGGCAATATCGGCCATTTTTTCGGTATCGGCCATGTATCGGTATCGGTTAGATTAAGGCCGATATTACCGATATATTTACCTTTTTGATATGGTCCAGAATGTTTTAAAAGATAAGTTGGAATACTACTTTTTAATTTATTTTTGTCTGGAGAGATCGTGAGCTATGAGCCATACATGTCCCCACCCCTGCGAGAGAATAGGATTCACGTGTTTTTAGCTATTTATCAGCTAAACTAGCTCAGCTAATTTGGCTATTTTCGCTGTCAAATTTTTACATTGACATTTTTAATATTACATAGTTTTTATGAAGAAATATTTCAACACAGCACATAACAAAAAGCAACTAGGCGCCCGGTTTTAAATCATACAGTAGAATTGGGGTCCTTCCTTATTAACGGCACATGAACTTTTGGCACGGGTATAAATTATGACTGTTTGTCGTCAAGTACGAGTGTCATTTAGTCCGTCGACATCGATAAACTAAATTCCGACACAATTATCCCACTACACAGGTATTAATTTTAATTCTGCTTAACTACACGATTTCTTTATAGATATATTGACATGACCGCCTAGCCCTTGACTGTCTCAAAATATAGGATAGCAATTGTAAAATATTATAAAATAGTGAAGTAAAAAAACATCCTCAACGGTTATCGGTGGGCCTTCTTTTTGTCGTTGCTGATTGATATTCTTTCATGTTGGCTTCGACTTATTGCGTCGACGATTACGATTAGCCACTAAATTAAATATTTGTAAAATGCTTTTAATTTGAACGTAGGACGGCGGCGCTAGAATGTGTGGGTGATATTCGATATTTTTTTAAACACGAATAACGATATTCGAAGCTCGCGATATTAACATTAAATTCAAATTGGACATCCCGGCTTATGAGTTTTCTAATTGAACACTGAGATTACTAGCGTTACTGTACAATGTATCTTAATCAGTTACAGCATATGGATACCAAACATTAATTTCATATTATGTGATATATATATCTTTTTTTTTCGATCTGAAATAATGTGTACTATGAACAACGCTTAAAGACCATTGTTTTAACCCGTCTGCCCTACACAGCATACCTAATTAAGTAATAATTACATAGTATCGGTATCGGAATATCGGTAATATCGGCCTTTTTTGTAGTATCGGCGTATCGGTATCGGCGTTTTTAGCTGGTATCGGATCGGTATCGGCGACAAAAGTGGTATCGGTACATCTCTAGCTCATGTATCATTATGTAATATATCATGTATGTAAGTATTCAAGTATGTTCGTATTTAAGTCAACTAGAAAATCCTCATTTCTGTGGGAAGTTACAATTTTGAATTACTTGAAATGGAATTTCAGATTTTTAATGGTGATAAAAGAAGCCTATTTTCCAGCAGAAATTCAAAAATCATGAAGTTGACAAAGCATCCTCATACAATTAAACATAACCAGCATAGGCAAAAGTCATTGGAATCAACATTTGGCCTCTTTGTTTACATGTCACTTATTCCCCCTTACGTTCTAAACAAGGGGCTACGGAAGCAACTACTGAAATCTAGTGAGATGTGTAAGCTACTATTTTTGGAAGGGCTGCAAATTTTATTGGTTCGGCATTCGTTGCCCAATTTATTACAACTGGGGTAAGGTGGTGGGCGTGGAATTTGAACCCAAGATGTGTAACCTTGGATGCAAACAACCATGATCTACATACCTTGGGCAGAGCTTCCAGTTGGACGTTGAGTTTCTGGTTTGAAAGATAGATCTTCTGTAAGTGCCCGTAGTAATACTGGTTTACTTTTGGCCAATTCTTTCATTGCTTCATCTTTGTTAAAAAATTCAGAAGAAAATTTTTAATGTATATTTTTGAAGTAAAATTTGGTATATATACATAGATAATAGATAGATATATCCAATAGGAAGTACAAAGTGACCTAAGAAAATAGAACTCAGGCCATTTTGAACATATTCTAGAGAGAACATAGCTGTTGTGCAAAGCATCCTAGACTAATGAAATTTTTGGGTACAATCATACATAACAAGAAATTGAAGTGTTGAAAGGGTTAAATAAATTTTCTTTGTTTTGTAAAAATATTTGAAAAAATTTAAGGATTCTTTTTTTTTTAGCATTCTGGTACAAGTACAGCTGTGCTATTTGTAAATATAGAATCTCAACTAATTGAATACCAATAACACTATCATTGTCCTAGTATGCCAATGATAAACTCCTATTAACATGAATCAAATATGATACATTTATATGATTCCAGAAAATATGCATTGCACTAAAATGAAAATTTGATACGAAAAATAGTATTTAATTAGTTATTAAGTTTGTTAAAAAAATGCAGGAACTGTTGCAATGACAGCAATGTGGATAACTTCAAGTTTATTTTCATCATAAATAATTCTAGATATTTATTATACATAAGCAGATATATTATTTGCATTGTGTATATTATCCGTCGCAACAAAGAATAACCAGTTAGTAACTTGTTGGTGTCATTCTAATCCATCACGCTTAAAAAGCACTTTAATAAAATATAACGTTCATTTTAGAATATCTCGCTCGTTAAAGTTTACATTATTACCAATGATTAGAAATCATTGTTTACTCACCTGTTGAGGTACTGTGATATAGAGGTGGTTTGTTACTACGTTGTGTAGATCCACCGCCGACCGTAGTTTCTGTCATACTGATTTTTGAAGGGTTTCTGAATGATGTTAAGAAAAAAGTGTATAAGTGTATATACCATATAAAAGATCGCTGGCATAAATTTCCAAATATACCAGAATTTTCTTTGCGACTCAACTATCAGATGATTCTTTCAAGCAATATATCAGTACACTTAACAAAAACTACATATACTTACTTGTTGTCATCAAATGTAAATGGATCAGCCTCAGGATCTTGCATTGATCCAGCACTGAGTGGAAAATTCATCGATAATCCCCCAGGTGACATAGATGGTAGTGGCGACCGGAATAACTCACTCTGATGGCTATCGAATGATTTGACCCTCGAACCCTAAAGGAAAAATATAAACAGGAAAGATAGTAAGTACAATATAATACAGGGTGTGGGAGTGGATATCAGAGAGCGGGTGGACTTCGGCTCTGGAGAGTTTAATAATACGATGCTGAAATCCCACTCCATAAAATTTATTTAAATATAATCACATGAAATAGCAAAGTACCTAATCGACTACTTCTATCTACTATGTGTATGAAATTATATTAATAAGGTTTCACTATTTTAAAGTTAGTTATAAACCAAATAGTATACACTCACCCTCTGATTATTACCAGAAGCATCAAACATTGGTGGAGATCCCAGAGTCATCTGTAATAGAAATTACAATGAATCCCAAAAAGTATTACAGATTCTAAGTTGAAAAAGGAATAGTAAGTCGAATAGCATTTTGAAATAATATATTTGAATGCATAGGGAATATTGAATATATTCTAAATATGTTTAATAGACAAATTGGTACTCCTGTAGTATGTGAACAAAGATGGCGAACACCGAATCGTAGTATGTATACCAGATTAGGGTTAGGCCATAATTTCAGGTACAAATACTACGGGAGTCACTTGGCTAGTCCCTGAACTCGTAATAGAACGAAAATAGGGAAAATTGGAATAAAATTATGGCCTAACCCTAACCTGGTACACATACTATGTTCAGGTGTCCGCCATTTTGGTTCACATACTATGGGAAAGCCGACAAATTTGCAAAAATCATTGTGAATTGACAGAAAATTGAATTGGGCAATGCAGAATAGTTTGATAAACAATGTTTTGATTGACCTAAAGGCTAATAACAAAAACTTCTCAGTAGGAAATATACTCTTGTGAAAAAATTCCTCTTGAAAATATAGATTTCCTATATCGAATCGAAAATTTGATTCGCTCTGTATGACCTGGATTTGAGTCAACACTCAAATGAAAGGGGGAAGAAATATCAATAAATTATCTGCAAAAAATACAATCCAATACATTGTTCATTCTCACCATGCCTTCAGGAGTTCTTAAACCTCGAGGTCCAGGAGACATCATTGACCTTCCACCTTTTCCACTGCTGGCTGATGAGCTTCTACAAATAAATTTTTATACGTTTTTGTGCCTTTACTCAGAACACGGCTCTGCACAAGCAGTCACTAATGAATAGAGAGTACTATTTTTCAAAGTCTTTCCAGTTTGAAATATTCTACCTGATATATTACACCTTGGGTGAAATGGTGGGCAAAGAGTTTGAACTAAATATTTTCAATCTGTGATTACAGCATAGTTATATCTAATGCTCTTTGAAAAATAAATTCATAAAACATTGATAAAATTTTATTCAATATAATTTAAATTTTAAGCTGACAAGCACAACAAAAAATACTTTATCTAACAAAAAATAAACTATGGCTCGGCGGTGCGTCACATCGTGCTAAGCGTTAGGGATACCTCTGATTACCCTGCATGGGGTCTCAGTTTTTGAATCCTGTGGGGGATAAATATGTGCGAAAGGATTGCTCGAATCTTTTGCCACCATAAGTTGGTTCATGTAGTCACTGGTCGGTTCCTCCACCATCAAGTCCATGCATCTGAGACAAATAACTGGCCAACTAATCCCATATCTGACATGGTCTGGTAACCAGACGAGAGGCTGTGGTTCGCCATATGGTTAAGCCGTGTTATTGGCTTTTTTCCGCCCGGGATAAATATATGAATCCTAATTGAATTTTATTAATCATTACACCAACCTTGTAAGTAAATTGTTGTTCCCCATATTCTCTGAAATCGATTTGAGAGATGAAGAATGCTGCAGTGGCATGTGTGATCCTAGGCTTACACCAGGGGACATAGAGTCTGTTCTTCTTAAAGTTGTCATTCCTGTGTGAACCAATAAATCAATTGATAAACTGTATAGCCTGATTCTAACCAGACCATTTGAAAAAATTTTGGTACTTTTGGGACAAAAAAAATATGTCTTTAATATTGCTACTCAAAAAGAGACAAAAATACATTTTAGAATTTCGCTTTGGATTTATCTTAATTTAACAAAACGAAACCTCCATAATAATTCAAACTCATTTTTTATAATTACGTATATAATATATTATAGAATAATTTTTGTCAGATCATCAAATCACAATTGCCTAAAATGACAAATTACAGATAAAATTTTTTTAGTTATTCTTAAAATAAAGAATAAAGAAATAAAGAATAGGCTGTATCGAATTATAGCTACTCTGAATGTATTCATTATTCAATTCATTTGATTTGTGTAATTGAAGTTTTGTGAGAATTTTACCTTGTCTGTGCTGCATTGCAAGTAACTCATTGAGAGCATCAGTTTCGATATTCATTTGCTGTTAAAATTAAATGTCTAATTATCTTTCGACTTTTCAACAATAAAAAAAATTATGAGTTCAAGCATACCGCCTGAAAGGAATCTTGCGATGTCTCAAACACAGGAAAATCTGAATTTTCAATCGGATAAGATTTCTGGCGGCTTGCTCTTCTACCTGAAAAATCAATTGAATAAAATTTATTTTATTTATAAATAAATTTAAGTCAAGCGCCCCCAATTTTTACAAGGTGCTAAAGTTATTCACTTTGTACCAATCACTATGACTATATAAATTCTGAAATGTCTGTGATTTGTCGAATTCTTTGGCAGTAATGCATTCATTTTTTTGCTCTAGTTCTTCGCTTTTTCAATATTAATTGCATAATAACTGATAGAAATGAGTTAAAAGAAAAACTAGGTATTTTAATTGACGAGAAGAGGGCCACCTGTATTCAACAGCGAAAACACTTATCACAGTATATGGGAAGCACTAACAAGCAAAATTATTGGCATAAGTTTCTGTCTCAAACTATTGACTGATATATAAATACAATACCTCTCCCTTGTTGAGGTAATCCCGGTGAAGATAGTCCAGGTGACATCATTCCAAATGATAGAGTTGGAGTAACTGGTCCTGTCATCTCATCTGCTTCACTCAGTCGCTGAAAAGAGCAAGAAGAGTGGTGAGTGGTAAATATGAGAAAAGACGCAAAATTGAAATACACACGTTTGTCATATTATATAATTAGATCATAGAATTGAACCTATGTTATATTTCCAGATATCGTATAAGGTGATAATATTTTAATTTGAAGAAAACAAGGTGTCATATCTTGAGAAGGCCTAATCAGCTAGAAAAGATAAAAATCATTTTAATACTAGAAACTTCTTAAGCCGTTTCTCTCAAATCCCTCGATTTGTATGAAATTTACCTGAAACTGCTGCATTCCTGCTGCAGGAGAATGTTGTACAGGAGACATGTTTGGTAGTTGTCCCATTTGATTTTGTGAATGGGATGAAGGGTAACTTGGAGGGGGCATAGTGTGTGACCCACTCATTGGAATAGGGGGTTCCATGCCACCATATGTTGAACTAGGTGACATGAATCCAGATGCCGGATTGAATTGTCCGCTACCACCACTTAACATGGTAGTCAATTGATTAGACTGATACCCTCCTTGTGGAGTGGGGATTTTCCCACCTCGCTGGGGGTTTGTTTGAGCTTGATCTTGCTCCAAATCATCTTTTAGAAGACCCATTAGCATTGGGTGACTCTAGAATATAAAAGCTCATGATGAGATGACGAAACTGAATAACTTTAGGAATGTGGACTTTCATAAATGGAATAATATGTATACAGTAGAAAACTCTACTCACAGAATGAATTCATGCCGGAAGTCTTTTCGTAAGCAGAGAATTTCGTTAGTAGGATCACACTTTACCCTATAAACGCACTAACCTGGGCTGGCCCCCACAAAACCCAGACATAATATTTGAGTCGGTGAGTAGGTGGACTAACACTAAACCACGCACGAAAACAAACACTTGTTGTTCACTGAATTTCGCTAGCAACTGAGTGAGACGCATTGTATGTACCCGCGGAACAGAAATGGGCCAATGAGATGACATGTTATAGTTGCTGGGCGTCAGCCAATGGCAGAGCAGCTCAGACGCGCCACTTTTGCGCTTTTTCAATTTTCAGTCTTCTCTATTTAGATTTCGTAATCTCTTTAGTTGAGTTTTCTAGTATAAGTAGTTAAGAACGATTGGTCAAATTATGATTTTTCAGTTTTCCATAAGGAATAACAAAGTCTGAAATGCAAACTCCCAGCAAATTTTTATTTGGGCTCAGACGACTAGCTGTAGGGAATTCAGACTTTAATATCAACAAAACTGCGCAGGCACCTCTAAATTTGTCAATAAAGAAGACTAATATGACAATTTTTGTGGTAAACACTGTCAATAAGCAAACCTTCATAGGAGCTGCTGGTTCCATCATTTCTTGATTATTAGGTATCAGAAGTTGAGTCAACATAGGATTTTTCTGGACTTTTTCTTTCTTCGGTGTAGCAGGTTTATGGTGATCTGAGAAATAAATAATTCAAGGGCTGGTCATATGGTGAATTTAATGCTCAAAATCAGGCAAAAAATACATCTTCACACTTTCAAAATGTTATGTTGATAGCACTATCTGATTGAATTTCGGTATTGATATTCCTTTGCCTAACACAATGTATCGAAAACTAAGTTAAATGAATACTACCATGAAATATCAGCCAAATTGGGGTTTGAAAGTTTTGAATTAATATTGCAAATCAATTTCAAATATTACAAGCTGAAAAAAATAGATTTTATTTTTTGTATAAAGTATTAAAACATTATAAATGGGAAAAAATAATTAGATGGTAAAGAGCCACTAAAATTTCTGGTAGCTCGTGCTCCGTCTATTATTGTAAGCTTGGCTCAGCGTCAACTCCAACAAATTGTCATGGTTGGATTGTTCCAGCCCTGGCATAAACAAAACTTGCATTTTGTGGAATGATATTCTGTTTGCCTTTCATGAGATTTAAACCTAATATGTGTTTTGTTGCAAAGAAAAAGATTCCATATGCTTGGAGGATCAGTAGAAAAGTCACATACAATCAAATATTTTCAAAGCATTCAAGATTCGATTCGAAAAAAATATTAGATTCAATTTTGAAAACATCAGGTATTCAAAAATCCCAGACTCACTACTTACCAACTGGATGAGGTAATGGGAATTGTGTAGGGGTAGTAGTCATGCTGCCACTGCTTGGAAACACTGTGGGTGTTGGGGTCGACGAACTACTGGAGCGGGACTGTTGATTAATCGGAGGTTTCTTCACCACTGTAAGTAATGTAGGTGGGGGTTGGTGGGTAGAGGGAGCAAATAACGGACGAGCCCGATTCACTTCAGCTTCCTTCTTCGGGTTCTTGATGCTTTGTTCAATGAGTTTTCTGAAATTATGATATATCCGTCTCAATACTTTTTTATACAACAAAGTTATATTATGCCCTTTTGCTATGAACAAGGCTCTACACAATCACCCACTACTAAGTAAGGGGCTACTATTGTTTGGAAAGACCGGAATTTTTCCAGTTGGACATTGCATACCAAATTTAATATACACTATTATTATACCAAGATTTCAACATGCTTCAACCAGTATGTCACCATGCCCACTGAGGACATACTTGGGTGCTTTTTATTTCCATACAAACTATTTTTTCAGATTGTATTAGAATAATAAATAATCTGATTTTGTTTATCCCTGATTGGGCTATTTTAACAATTTCCTTCATCTTCCATTCATCTAACTCAGAAACTTGACAAAACTATCGCTTCATTTTATCTATCATCTTATAATACTATTGAATTGTTATCACAAATTTTGAGACGAGAAATGAATGGGTATATTTATAACCCATGGGAGCAAAACTTGAAAGAGCTGTTTTGGGAAAAGAATTAAAACATCAATATTTCAGTTTAAACTATTTTTTTGGAATACTTATTAATGTGACAGACTGTTGCTGTTGGAGTCATCAAGGAAACTACTAAAAGGTGTGGGAATGTGAAAGAAACCAAGGCAGCAGAAAAAAGCATTAGAAAAAAAACAGAAAGAAGTGACTGGAAGCATCTAGCGCCCATCAACAGCCTAAATGTAAAGAAATACTGCTTCAAACAATGATCAGATACCAGCTTAAACAACATCTATTTGTATTTCTTTATAGCATTTTCAAATATTTCAAAATTCGAAAATCTATCCTTTTTTTGTTTTGAAAACCCCGAAATATACATTACAATCAAAAATTGAAAGAACAATTCTTCACAAATCTGTTACTTTCGCAAATGAACCATTACATCTAGTAAGTATTAGATCAGCATTATCAGGTTGATTTTTTACCTCATTGTGATTGGAAGTGAGGAACATTTGCTTAAAACTTTTGCAACAAATTCATCAGTACATAGAGGTGGATCACCTCGCCCAGTAAATATTGTACAACTCTGAAAACCTGACTTGTCAAGTTTGATTTCCACTGTAAAAAAGAACGAAGCATACACAATAAGAATGTTAGAAAAATGATTTCAAAACACAATAAAGAATTTTCAGCAAAGGTTTGCAATTCGCATATTTCGCAATGTTCAGCTGGAAACTGATCAAAAAAATCATTAAAAAATTATTTTTTAATAATATCACATAAAAGAATTTGGAATATAACATGCTTTCTTAGCACAGCCACAGCATAAAAAACAGCCATTTCTTGATAATTAACATACAGGGTGATCTAAAAAAACGGAACCAATAAATTTCATAATCATTTATAAAATAATGAAGAAAATTTATTTGACTTTGTTTACATTCGAACTTCTGTTTATGTAAGATTGCATCCAAAAATTTATCTAGGACGCTTTGCACAAAAGTGATGTTCTCAGCACAATTTGTTCTTAGTGACTTTCTCATCATTGGAGATAGAATCTGGTCATTTGGAACATATTCTAGAGCAATGGTTGTCAACCTCTTATACACCTTTAGCAACGCTTTAATTCATGGGTTTATTTATGGGTTTTGATTTTAGGTCACACTTTGAATTAAGGGAATACTCAACTGTCATTTCTCAGAGATAATCCATTAATAATATACAAATGAACAAATTTTAATTTGGAAAACAGAAGAACTAACAAACACTATTTAATTAATATCCAATAATAAGTTTCCCTTCAACAAAAAGGATAGTAGTAAAAGAATAAATAATACTAAAACACTTACAAGATGCTGTGCTTTTTGTTGAAGGATGTTCCATTATTACACAAACTTTGTCAATATTTCTGCTACATGATACTTCAAAATACCACTGCTTGTACTTTTTAATCTCTAAAATTAATTATATAACATGGATTTACCAATATGTCACAAAACTTTATATACCAGTTGCCTATACACACCACTAAATACCACTCCGTTATGCCATACATACTTGTCATCTAAAACATACTGCTATAGATTTATAAAGATCACTGCTGTGATAAATCATAGATAGAGTTCAAACTACTGGTATGAAAAAAGGTCACATGTTGTCCTTGCGAGTACCATTCTATACGATAGATGGAAAGGACAACAGGATAGTATCATGAGAGTCTTAAGTTCATAACTTGATCAGAATATATTGAAGCTTATTGAAAAATGTATCAAAATATCTTTCAGAAAAACATGACATAAGAAAAGTGGATATAAATTAAAATATAAAAAGAGTAAGCATTTTTATCAAATGAGATGCCAAAGTTATAAATCAAGATATATTCCAAATAATAGATTTGCCAATTTTGAATAATTTCATAAATCTTCTATGGCTTTTCATTCAACTATATAATTTAGTATAAATATTATTAGCCTACAAAATTGACATAAGAGCATAGAAAAAGGATGAGTAGTTATTCCCACAGAAACCCAATCGATAGCGCTATGACTGTACCTCAGGAAATATTTAAAATAAAGAAAATGTGAACAAAAGTAGCAGACATTGAAGTTAAATGAGTGAAAACACATATATTGCAACACTGAAAATAAATTTGGTTCATAAATTCCTGTTACAATCTAAATTTTGTTATGAAATCAGTTCTCAATATATCTTAACTAAAGTCGTTTTGTTTCAATCTGCATTTTACCTAGTTCAATACAGGAACACCTTGTATTATTTATAGCTTCCTTATCAAATTTTCCAATTGCATGTTAATAAACCTTATAATATCTACTTGTTAAGATTCTACAGCACACAGAATAATAAATTAACTAACATGAAAAACATCTTACCTGATTTTGTATCTCTTATGCAACTTGAAATAAGTGTGTTCAAGTGAGATTGCTTTCTCAGACAACATAATATAGCAGGAACATGGCCAGGATGTGTAAAATAAACTTTATTTACTAAACTTCCCTTCAATTCCGATATATCAAGATGATAAACATGAATCTCATCACCAAGAGGTATCTATAAGAAAACAAGACAGCATATACATATATATAGACTAGACATAAAAGTAAAATGACTGATATAGCCATTCGGTGGACTTGTCTTAGAAGACTTTTGTCTCACTGTATTGACTCATGCTCAGCACATCATAACTGTACTAAGGTGAGTGAGAGGTAACACAAACGTGGCAAAGTTCATAGGGAAGTGTTCCTGCCGCAGTGAATACAAACAAAATCAAAAAATCAGTCACACAAACTACATTAAATAGGCAGGATATATTCTGCATTACTAAATTAAATTTATATATATGATTTCTTCCAATTTCTCTGTAGAATATGAACACATATGGCAACAGTTCCCAAAAGAGGAGATTTGCTAATTACGCCTCGAAAATTAACATGATTTGTGTTAAACTCAACTAATATATCATTAAATATTTTACATATTGTATTTATTATGAATGTTTTATTGTTTCCTATTTTAAATGCTGTGTATACAAGTTGATAAATTCATTTCACCTTTATATGTCATTTACTTTCTGTATCGTTGTTAGTGCCTCTATTGTTACATAACAATAGAAGTAGAAACTATTTTCTACAATTTTGCAAACTGCAGTTTATTTTTTTGCTGAACAGAGTTTAGCAAATATGAGTAATTCTTCAGCATTTCAAGGGCAAATGATGTATTTGATGTTTTTTTTTATATAACATATATCGTTCGAATCTTTGTTATTATTATTATCTGTTAGTTAGACTATTTCAAGGGTGCCAATGCTCGATAACTTATATTGGTTTTTCGCAGTTTTCCTCGCCCTGAAACACATTTTTCATATTTATTGTAATTTTTTTGTATATCTAGTGTGTTTTTAGTATGGCGAAAAATAAATTACTGATTACCCATTAATGATCAAAAAATTGAATTTTATTTCAAGGCAACAATTTCTGCATTCACAGAGCGCAGTGAGTTTTTCCTAGATAATTTGTCGCCTCACAAACGAAAATTTTGGGAACTGTTGACATGTAGAATATATTATTATATTCGAAAATATTATTTCATCCTAATTTGGGTATCACGGACCTAGTAGAAATATCAAAATCAACATAATAGAAATCAGTTACAAGGTATTGAATATTTACATTTTCTACTCTCCAATGTCATATATAATGAATAACTAATTTGTGTAACATTATTGAATAGATTCCAAGGAGGGAATGTCATAAAATATTCAGAAGGTTTAACATATAAAACCAATCATAGATTAGTCAACTAATCTTCAAAAATCAATAAAAATGTCTGTAAGTCATAAGATTATTACATGCACAAAATCATTAAAAATGCATATTCAAAATCCATGTAGTATACAATCTATATCCAGCAGCAATATAAACATGACTATACCTTAAAAGTTTTCTTATTAGCATTCAGTAATTCAAGATATGGCTTGGTTGTGTGATCATCTTCAGAACTGATTCCAAGATCTGAAAGTAAAATGATCTTGCGGAATTTAAAACTGAAATGGTGGACAAGCAAAGCCAAATAACGAGCTATGAACATCGAAAAAAAAAAAAAATTATATGCAATACCTGGTTATTCAAAACAAATAAAAGATTTGAAAAAATTAAAATCTTGGACATTGTTCACAATTATTCAAATCACTTCCGAATATATTATGTCTGAAAATTTATCCTTTGGATAGAATAGCTAATCCGAATATTAATATACTTATATATACTTAATAATAATATTAATATACTTATTAAAATACAACAATGAAATTTGCCCTATAATCAAACGACCATACAGTAGTATTTACTTGTAATTTTTGCGATGTCTTCAACAACTTTAGAAAGCACTGGAACTGGTGGTTTGAGATGAAGTACAAAACATGCTTGTAGCATCATAGAATTGTGATGACTAACATCTAGAAACCTTGGCATGCTGTCAAAAGTATATGTCATAAATAACAGTGATGAAGAAATTGACAGTTTTGCAATATAAATAACTATTGAAAGTAAGTCCATAATTGCCTACACTATTGAAAGAATGATATAATCAAAATAGTCAGGAGTAAGGTCCAACACTCTCACCCACGGTTGGGCAAACTGTGGCCAGCCAAAACATTTTGTGCAGCACTGACAATGAGTTATTTTGATTTGTCATATATAACTGATATTTAATTTTTGAATATGTTTAAAATGCTCACCCAGACGCATCAATAGGATGTTTGTTCGTGATCAACGGTGTAATAGGAAGATTACAGGCAGTAGATCTCTGTTCGATACTCACTTCAGCGTGAAGTCCGATGTGTTTTGGCACTGCAATTTATACATAGATTCAAATATAGAGATTGAGAAATATTTTAAAAAACTTGGAATGCGTCTAAATCTAGCCTGACATTTAATTCATGGAATACACTGGTACAATATGCTCCATCCTGGCTAATAATATATATTTAAATACAATCCAGTTTTCATACATATTCTAAAATTTGACATTAATTTTTAATTAACTGTGACATATTGTACTTATTGTACTAAAAACACTAAAAATAATCTCTAAATATATGAAATATAAATGGAAAAATAACTTTACAGGTATATCTATTGTCAATTTCTTATTTTTGTCCAAATTAAAATTTTGGAAATCCATAGCCATGATCATAAATAGGCCAGGAATACAAGAAACTTAATGTTTCAGTTAGTGACATAATAATATTGTTATTTTCATCAAATTGCCTTGTATAAAAATGTATTTGTGTTACTAATAAAGGTGTAGTAACTGATCTCTTTTTCATGCTTGCCCTAAACATGCAGCCATAGTTTTTTTGAAAGATAAGAAGCTTTTCAGTCCGGAATTGACTACCCAATTTATCACACCCTAGAATGGAACATGGGTGAAGGATTTGAAATCGAGATTTTTGGCATGCGATGCCAATGTAGTACTAACCACTATGCCATAGAGTTTTACATCACAAAGCAAAACATAACTGCATTTTAGGACTATATTATAGCCAACTTACCAACATCATTGAGTGATATTTTCTGTTTGGCAGATGTGTCAATCAAATCATATGGTGAAACGAAGAAAGCAAAATGTGATCTATCACCAGCCAGTCTAGGAGTCAATACACCAACTGTACCGTTCATTACAATATCCAAAGCAGAAGCATCTTTGTGTGTGTCCCTTCATATAGAAATTTGTTGCTATTAACTTAATAGTCCAGAAAGTAATAAGGAATAATCAAAGCAATAATAGCTCGTTAATGTTGAGCAAATCAAAACCATGAAGAATTGAAAGAAACTTAATTTCAATTTTCAATTAAGGTCATTCTATTTGTACACACACGTATACACACAAGTATTAAATAAGAGAGCAATGCCTAAATATAACAACCATTCCCCAATTAAATATTATAGCAATATCCATCAGTGCCATGAAGACTTTAGATGAGCCCCGGGTTTTCATAGCGGATCAGCAGAATAGCCTGGTTGAATGCCAAGTGGGGGCACAATATACACAAAACCAGCAAAATTTGGGTGAAATATCAAAATATGTATAAAATATGAAAGTAATAATTCACTGGTTAATTCTGCAAGCATTTTTTCCACAACAATGAGAATAATTTTGCAAACGATCTATAATTACAGTCCATGTCAACCAATACAAAAAATAGATATCTCACTTGTATATTTGACTCATCTTAACCAGGTCAGTTTCAAGAGATTGCAATGACATATAAACTTTAGTTCTACTTGGTCTACTCCCAGAAGTCAAATACATTTCCGTTAATCCTTGGAGATGGGAGGATAGTTCCAAAAATTTTCCAGCTCTGAAAATAAAATCTCCAACCTTTAGTGACTAAAGAGCAGTGCTCAAATATATGCACACAATGTCAAAAAGGTTAGCCTACATAAAAAGTTTCCATGAACTGCAATAAAACAACAAAATTTGGGGTAAATTATCGAGTCCTGCACAACTCGGAGAGAAATTTAAAAAAAATGTAATAGTCTTTTAGTGACTTTGAGTAACAAAAGATTGAAGTCAATTAGTCTATTAGTTGCGGAAAATGACATCTATCAATAAGTAATATCCAAAGGAAACAAAAATTTCTAACACGCCGGCAGTGAATCTATTACCTTATTATATTAATAAGATGTGGAGAAGTTCTATATTCATCACTGTGTTGTATGCTGACGTCAATAACTGTAGGACTATGGTCAGGTGTATTTGACGTTCCGAGTATTATTTTGACACTAAACATATCTGACACAAGACGACATCTTGTTTCTGGACTTGAAGAAGCAGGAAGTTCAAAGCGAAAACTGAACAAAAATAATTGACAATATTACAAAATAAGAAAACACAATTGGCAATATGGACATAAAGACATCTGGATTGTTTTTAGTAAAACTAAGCAAACAACATGAAACAGAGGCAAACAGTATGTGTAAAACTTACGGGTTGATTTCATTTACTACCTTGTATTTTGTTTACCAACTTGATATCAAAAATATTCAAAAAACCTTTGCTTATACAGTTAAAACATTCTGTGACACAAATAGCAATAGTTCATATTTTATAGGACAGGATTTACATATTTATCCCGGTGGAGAGAAAAGACAAATTAATCATATGGCGAACCGTGACCTATTACCCGTCCATGTCGGGTATGGAATTAGTTGCCAGTTATTTGTTTTCCCATACATGGATTTAACTTATATGTAACAAAAGTGTAATAAAATCTTACCCGTTAGTTCTTGATACAGATCTTAATCTTTCAATAATATCTCGTAATGTACGAATATTACTCATATTCATTAAAACTTTGTCTACGCAAGAACGCAATACATTGCATGATCTCTGCTCAGTCGATATCTAAATGAATGAAATAGTGTAATGTTATATGATAAATAATGTTGATAATTGATAATATTCTCTGAGGACGAATGGGAAGCCTAGAGACCCACAAAATGTATATCCTCAGTCTGATGGTGAAAGATGATATAAAATAATCTGCATACAGTGTGATGCAAAAAACAGAACCCGAAGTCCTAATTATTTAATTTCTCTTTTGTAAATGAAGAAAATTTATTTAATAAGACTTGACTTCTGTTTGTGTATGATTGTAGCCAAAAGTTCCAGGAATCTTAAAACATTGCACAATATTTATATTAGATTTCTCTTGTTATTTCACTTATCCATAATTTCATAATCAGTAGGGCACAATTCTCTGATTTCAAGAACAGTCCCCGGATTAAAAGACATCAATAATAAAACCGAGTGCAAACCCCTTCTTTATGAGACAGTCTATGCCTCCAAATTGAATCAGAATGAAAAACTAGCATTGCACAGTAAACTAAAAGGAAGTGAGGCACAGTTCTCTGATTTAAAGAACAGCCCCTGCATTAGAAGACATCAATTATAAAACCGAGTTCAAACCCCTCCTTCATGAGACAGTCTAGGCCCCCAAATTGACTCAGAACGAAAAACTAGCATTGCACAGTAAACTAAAAGGAAGTGAGGCACAGTTCTCTGATTTAAAGAACAGCCCCTGCATTAGAAGACATCAATTATAAAACCGAGTTTAAACCCCTCCTTCACGAGACAGTCTAGGCCCCCAAATTGACTCAGAACGAAAAACTAGCAATGCGCAGTAAACTAAAAGAAAGTGCGATCTAAAAACATCAACAATGGATTCCTCAAAAACAAATCTAATTTATCAAAGTTAAAAACTTTTACCGAAACACTCCACAGAGTTTTTAGCAAAGAACTGAAATTTTGATCATATGATATCCAACACATGTTACGATTGATTCAAATTAATACGGCGACAAGTTTGGTACGATCTGCCACCATGCCAGACGCACTCGTTTCAAAGACAAAGTAAGTGTTTGTTACATGTCGGACATCTTGGAATCGGATAAGTGTGTCTGACTGATAGTGCAGTAAAGTAACAGAATCATCATAAATATCAACTATGGTAAAACACAGAAGAAAACAACCTCAGATCTTACCACATGCAATAAGTTGACAACTTCACCAATGCTTTTTACACGAGGAGGATTTCTCCTCAAATACTCCATTAGTGCTTCACTATCTTGTTTTTTTTTATTATTCTGTGTAACTCCTTCCATATTAGGTTTTTATCTGTCGTATCTGCTGGATAATCAATGCTACTACATAACAAATGGAGGTCTATACTGCTATATTGAATTTTTGGAAAAATATTTCAAAACACCATTTTAACTTTTTTTTTAGTATCTACCGTACATTTCTATATCTAATTTGAGATTCCCTGATAAAAACAGAAATGAATTGTTATGACATGTATATTAAAATTTAAGGAATACTGAAATATGGCATACCTAGCTAATTATGGCGATGTATTCCAAAACTATTCAACCCATAAATGTAGCCTAATACATTCTGACATTTGCCACAAACAGACATTCCCAAACAGAAACTATTTAAAAGTTGCAGCCAGCCACAATGTATTTTTGTTAGAAATGTTGATAAAGATAGGCTACCGGTATTCGATTAATTTTTTTTGGATTTGGCCTAAATATTTATTTGCCTATATTAACATTACCGTATTGCATTACGGTACCGGTACTGTACATGCCAAGAGGCTAATGTCTGCTAACCTAACCAAAATAGTTTGAAGTCCAATGTCAAGCGCAACGGCAGCTATGAGTATTCAATTAACAAACTGTTACGGTACCGGTGCGGTACATTGCACCAGGATAAAAAATGGCAACAAGGACTGCGCAGTGCGCTGGCTGCCGTATCGGACGTCTTCTACGGCCTACGCCATTATCGTAAATACTCGGAAAAGCAGGGATACGAGTATGGTACCGCTAAGAATGATTTAGGCTTCATATACAGTATATTACTAGGCAAATCGCGCATGTCGATATCGCGGGTTTCGACCATTTCCTTACCTCTGCAGTTCGTTTCAGCACCGTCAAATTATAAAATAAACAATTAATGTTGAAATATATAATGTATGTATTTGTGGTTGTAAACATTGCCTATTTTTGGTAGTTTTGCGTGGCGTGTTATTTGTCAGTTTTTAGTTGTGTTTTCAGAAAGTGTCTTCCGAGGACAAGATTAGTTGCAATAATCAAAAATTGATACCGCAAACGCTGCAATAGTGCAACCAAAAATAGTGTCAGTACCTGTAAGCGGTACATGATTTATTGTTTTTAAATAAAAATGATAGTTTTGAACATGTGAGCTAGTTTGTAAGCGCCAACTCTTTTCAAAACACTCTTGAAATCAGCGTTGGAAATTTTGCAATGATAAAGTATAGGGAGAATCTTCCAGGGGTCGAGGGTAGAGGCAAAGTCCATTTGTTTATGCAGCCCATGCAACTGAAAAATACCTGGCTAACTATTCCAAATACCTTTAACGGTCGAATAGAAAAGAAGACGCGGCTCGTCATATGGTCTAACTGTTTTATCATCTTTCATCTTCCCCGGGAGAGAGAGATTTATTGCCACAAAAACAAAATCAACACTAATATAAACATAATACAATAACGAAAATATTCCACAGTAATTGATTATTGCTTTGTGTGGGTCGGTGTGCAAGACCGATTAAAGTCATCTAGGCTCCCGACCCTTGTGTATGTGCTATATATAAGTTCATCATAGGTGGATACAAATGAGATTAAATATAAATATATAAAAAATAAATACGAGGAAAAAAGGAAACGAGTCGGCAATTTAATGGTGTTATGGAAGTTACTAAGGGCAATTTAGGATTTAGAGAGGTCATGTGTTGGTTGAAGCCGGACATGTCCAATGGAAAAATTTTCACGAAAAGCATATTTTTTGTTATTGGACACAGACCGGGATCAAAAATGAATACCAAGGACGAAAAATAATATTATCACAGATTCAGTAATAGACCGAGTGCATGATGTAAAAAATATCATTTGATAATGGGATATATGGGAGAATACCAGGATTTATACTACGTATTCAATAAACTCACCAAAACAAATTAAGACAAATTTTGACCGTAACAAGGCTATGAGATGCCATAGCAGTGCTCGTAGGTCCCTTCTCTAAATACGTCCAGTTCCTTAAAAAGTCATTGCCATTCCCCTTCAAATACTTGTTTTAATATAAGTATGTAAATGAGATTACGTTTTATCTTTGCACACTTGTAACGCTTGCAAAGCCTTATACATATTTAATTCGATAAATATTGGACGATAAAGTCATTTGATTTATTTTTCATAAATATTTTTTTGTTCTTCTAAACTTCCTATTTTGTTCTTCCAAAAGAGTGCTTTGAGCGCCAGCTCTTATCAATATCCTGTACGATAACAGATATTTCCACTTGTCAAAGTAGTTTTTAAACAGATAGATTTACATACAATAAAAAGCCATGTCTATTTTTTTGGTACAGACTGGAAGAAGCGATACGACCCTGCTTTTATTCTAGAAGCACTTGCAAAAATTCAGCCGTAGTACGGTAATATCGGGTGATGGAGATTGTACCAATCGAACATCTTAACATCATACATGTTACTAGTTAGCAGCGGAGATGACTATCTATTTTTGAATGCTCTGCTCTGTAGGAGGGTATTAGGCTGCCACACGGACAGGGAGTTTCATTTTTGAGGCAACTAGACAAGTGTACTGCCAGCCAAGTGCATATGCTTTATGTGGAGACTTGCTTTGGCTAACCTGTATAAGAAATGCTGGTTATTAGATTTAGAGTATAAGGTTTTGATAACAAAGTATGCCTCATAAAGTAGATATCAAATCTTTTCTGCTTGATCCGAACTATAAGCTGTGCTGATACTACTTTTCACAACCGATTAGAGCAGGGTGGTCCAAGGTTGTCGACCCTCGCGGGCCACTCTATTATTTTTGTATCGTTCGTGTTTTTGTATAGTGCCAAAAATATGTAAACAGTGCAATACAAAACTAACAAACACTTTCATTGTCAAATACATCGATCATTGTTTGACATTTCTTTAGGCTAAAGCATGCAAAAATCACAAAAAAAAACTCACTAAAACGTGCAAAAATCTTACAATATCTACATCTAGTGTAAGATTTCAAATTTTTCATAACGGAGAAAATGCCGTATTAGATTGTCACCGACACAACTTGCGGGCATATCAAGCAAGCATTGTGGTTTTTTCCCTCCCACACCCGGTTAAAAATATGTTTGAATTGGTGAGCTTTATTGGACACGTAGTGGACATAACGATCGTTTCAATATTATGTTGTTGTTGTTCTTGTTCTTTGACACGTTTTTAAAAAGTCGCTTTTCTCTTCGAATACTGGACCAATTGCTTTGAAATTTTCAGTGGTTGAAGATTAATTTTTTCGCTAGAAGGCTATTACTTTTGTTTATTCTTAAATTTTATATGAATCCTATGAGATATGATATTTCATACAAAATTTCGCGGTATTTATTTTTACTCATGGGAACACTGTTTTACACTTATTTCAAGCGGTTTCGCGATCGATTGTCTTGCTCAGTACTACAGCTACTGTAGGTCGGTACTGGTAAGTTGCCGTAACGCAGTGAAATTGACTTATTCCTTCCGCGGTATTACTAATGCTGCAATGCAAGTTTTATAGCCTATCGTATGCGGAACGGAATATCAGACCTACAGGTTCGGTACTGGTACTGGTGCCGGTACCGGTGTCTTACCACAATGAAATTACCGTAACTTATTCTTTCACGGTCCTACCAGTGCAGTAATGCAAGCGTTGTAGCACTTGTAGCCTACTATATTTGTTTATTTTGATGAGAGTCTACTGGAAACAACATAAAATTTGAAAGGGAAGAATTGTTCTGTGATCAATTATCTGTCCTAAAGTGTAAATAACATAAAATTTGCAAGGGAACAACTGTTCTGTGATCAATTACCGTATATGGCCTACAGTGTACAGGTAAGATGCTGCCTGACTGCTAACTCAGTACCGCTTGACACGTTTTTAAAAAGTCGCTTTTCTCTTCGAATACTGGACCAATTGCTTTGAAATTTTTAGTGGTTAAAGATAAAAATTTTCTCCAGAAGGCTATTACTTCTTTTTTCGCTATGACGTCATCAAAATTATGTGACTCTACGTGTCCATATATTTGAGCATAGCTCTCTTGTTTTTAAACTCATATGTTTACAAAATAACTTACACGTAACTGCAGATTGATTGATTGACTAATTTTACCAAATTTAAGATGCAGGAGGGTAATTACTGAATTTTCTGACATATAGGCAGCATTTTTTGTAATACTGTTTGGGCTGGTTACAAAAAGCCACCCGGTGGGAATTGTATTGTTCGGCAATAACATTAATATTTAGTAATCAGGCATAGCCAACCTAGGCTAATAGATTCCACATTCGATATTTAGTTTTCTATGAAGCTTATTTTGTTAGCATATATTCCCGACCAAAAAGATGAAAAGTCAGATAAAAATTTAGACTGCCAAGCACATCATTCAACTTTGCTAGTTGCCTCAGCTAGCCAAAACACTAGTCAACTCAGTGAAATTAGTGATGTAACAATATGTCAAAAGATTTTTCGTTATTTTTATGACGAAACAACACCAAATGCGATTTTTTGTTTACCTTCGCGCAAATGCGACGCGGGCGACAGATAATGAAGCGGCGGGCCACATGTGGCCCGCGGGCCTGGACCACCCTGGATTAGAGAATGTAGTAGCCTATCCCGTCGTGTTTTCTCACTATTCCATATTACAAATTGAGATTGGCCTTGTCTTCCTTTTATGTCTAATGTTTTAAACTCCATTCAATATTTTAAAAACTTTCCTGGGTTTCCGTCCCGTATTTTAATACGCTTTATCTTGAACTACTCCGGAAGCTGCCGCTGTGGTACGATTCTTAAATAGGGCCGAATATTAGTAACAAATCTCTAGTGTTGGGAATCATTTTTCTGAATATGGATTTCGAAAACAGTATTCAATTTCATTCTTAGTGATACCGGTATCTACTGATAAAATATGTTCACATAAAGTACAGTACATACGTCGTGACATATCGTGCAACATTGTGACTTTGCACCTGCATCGTGCTGTTTAGCGATACTAAATTTGATTTTGCGTTCCAGCTTGATGCTTCTGTGTTTCCCCGAGAACAAGACCGGTAGGTAATCTGCATAAGTCACACAAACGTAGATGGCTACAAAATGTGGATATGAAGTGTTTTCTGATTAGTGATATAAACATATGCCTGACTAATGGGACTCCTTTCTCATTTATGTGCTAATATCGGTGATGACTGCAAAAAGTGAAAGGTGTTTTATGGGCCATTTTTGCATATCGTACATTATCAGCCCGTATCAATCAATGTCCCAGGGTGTTTTTCTCTTGGCAAATTTGCTTATCGCTGAGTAGGGATGGCTGGCTGTCGTCGAGATAAAGCTATTTTTTCCTTTCGTCGTCGCAGACCATTTTGCGTGCGCAGCATATATTGTGAATCTGATTGGCTAAATGAATCCCGACACGCTTGAATGTTCTCTCGTTTCGTCTGTGTTTTCACTTTTGGCGGACCCCACTATCCTGTCCGATAAGATTTGCTCATCGAATTATCGCTTTTAAGTTACAAGCGATATCGGAAAAGAAACTGCAGTGTGGTGAATCAGGAAGACTGATAAGAAGGGGCCGGATTATCCAGGTCGCAGTGTCACGCAGGAGCCATTGGCTGCCCTCACAGGTTAGTAGAAACTTCGCCACATGCGAAAGAGACAGACTTGCAGAGTAGCAGAGCGAGTCGACCTGTCGGTGATCGCTCGGTGCCTCTTGTTTTGTTTGTTTCTGACCATATCTTAACAATTTGTGAATGGGCCTGATTGCCGGCAATGTACCGGTAACGTGTTTTACAGCAAACGCAAAACTAATGACAAGCTTTTATTTTGTATTTCGCATATTCCAGAATTCAGGAATTGAGTGTCTCGCCATTGAACTGCCCTCGTTTGTTCAAAAAAAATTGAAATGCGCGATCAAATCCATTAAATAACAAATTTCGTCCTACTTTAGTACGGTACCGGTACTTCTGTATTTGTGGTGTCACAATGTACAGATGTACCGTACGATACTGAGGTATCCCTTATCTGCAAGTTATTACACTGCAATGGCATCTGAACATGCAGACGTGAGCCTATGGCAGTACTGCAGTATGGTGATGTGTGGAGATGGCTTGGTAGGGTAGACTACGGTAGCATGAAAATTACATTATGGGTAACAAATTACGGAATTTGGCCTGGAAAAATTAAGGTACCGGTACGGTATGCTGACAAGTCTGCAAGTGTTTGTAAATCTCTATGTCTGTATGTTGGTACAATAAAGGTTAACGTTAAGCCAGTTAGACCTATACTGATATATGTAACGTTAGATATAACTTTACTGGATATAGGAGTTACAAGTTATTGTTGTAGCCTACTTAGGCGAGGCGGTGTGGCTCATCGTGCTAAGCATTAGGAATCTGGGAACACGCTCGCCATCGCACCTATGATTACTCAGCACTGGTTCGCAAGTTCGAATCCCATGCAGGGAGGGCAGGATGGTTATGTGCGAGGGGGTTGCTTGACTCCTTGCCGCTGTAGGGTGGTTCAAGTAACCGCTGGTCAGTTACGGCTACCTCCATCAATTCCATGCTTCTGAAAACGAATAACTAACGAATCCCATACCCGACATGGAATGGTAACCGGACGAGACGCAGTGGTTCGCCATATGGTTAAGCCGTCTTATCGCCTTTCCTCTCCCCCGGGATAAATATGTAAATCCTATCCTACATGAATAAACTGGCACAATGGAATTTATAGTAAAGAGCTGTAAGAGACTGAAAATGATATATATATATATATAACTGACATCTGTACTGTGAATATTTTTCAGGCATCATGAAGTGCGATTCTTGCTCGCTAGTTCTTCCAACTGCTATAAAGTTGTTTGAACACATACAGCAATCATGTTTACTTTTCTACAAAAGTCATCCAGCCAGTTGGGCAAAAATTTTGTCATCACTTGATTCTGATGAAAGCACTAGCACTGAATCCAAAGCAGTTGCAGGTAAGCAGAGTTCAATTTATGTCTTGCAATATCAGTAGGTAGTAGTAGTAGTTCTTCGATAACAAGATCTCCTTACTGATTCAATGAAATAAACACAATTCGACACAAAAAATGTGTGCATCTGGCGGCCGGCACATGACCAAACTTCTCTCCCATCCCCATTCTTTGCTAAAGACTCATTAAATGCTACGGAGAAAATTTTTCCCTTCGATAAATCGAATTATATTTCTCAAAGGAATCCAATGGTCACGTTTTATCTAATGACTTATTACAAAGTATCTATGGCCAATGGCATATTTAAAAAGCAGCTGGTCCATTTTAAACCATCCTTGAAGCCTTCCCTGACCTTGAAAGCTTTCAATTCCTTCTTCGCATTTCCATAGCCCAGATGAACTTCTAAAGGCGCTTGTCGTAGAGCATTGTATGCACACAAATTGTTTATTATTTGATTGTAAAGTCGGGAATGTCTATTGGCTTACTAGATTGCACTTTTTTAGAATGTTACCTCTTGGCTAAAATTTCTGTTTAATTATAGTTCCTCATCCTCCACAAATGGATGCCACATCAACTACTAAATCCAGCTCACCATCACCTTCAAGTTCATCAACAAATAGTACTGAAACTCCCAATTCTATTCAGAAAAAAACTAAATGTAAGTTTCTTGTTACAGCTACATATCGATATTTAATTTAAAAATTCAACATATTCAGTTTGCACACAATTGCCATATATATTTCATTTATTACTCATTTCTCATATTTATGAAATCTTTAGTACCTCAAACTCACAGCAGTAAGATGGTGATGTTGCATGCTCCAAAAACTGTGAACACCATTGATATACCATACATTTGTAAGTGTGAAACTTCATTCAAATCGCTGGAACAATTTCGCGAGCATTTGAAAGGTAGGGTATGATTGCTGAAATTAAGGTAGTGATATTACACTTCATATTTAGTATCTGAATTCTGTTTTTTTTTAGTATGTACACTTGGAAAAGAACCTCCATTCTGTATAATGTTTAAGGGGCAAGATAATGAAATGCTAAGGCCACTGAAAAATGTGCACATGACAGTTTCCGATTACTTCTATGGCATTGTGGATGAAAAAACGTAAGTTAAATGAACTTTGAAATGTCAAATCAATGAATCAACACAAATGGTATCACTGTCTAGTTTCCTATTTTACTTACTTTTACACTTGCATTCAAATCTTATCAAGGTTATTTGATCCACAGGGTGAAACTTAAAACAGTTAATCGTCGATGCAATTGCTATAGCTGTGGAAAGACATTGCGTAACAACATCAGGTATATACTTTTCTGTTTTATATTCCAAAATTTAAACAAAAGTATTGGCGTTTCCTGATCGTTAATAAAAATTCATTCAATTTCACTGGTCGCTTTGCTTAGTATTTTTCAGTCATGTTTAAACTTTATTTATGTCAAAACGGGAGCTTGAAAATCCGACTACATTCTTTTTATTCATCCTGTTTTCGCAGCATTGGATTAAATTTTTTATATAACTTGAACACATTGTTATGAAAGCTATGAAAAATTTAGTCATTAGTAATTGTACCATAATTCACGTCAACTTCCATTCATTGAAATGGATAAAGCCAACACCAGATGTCATCAGTTAAACAAGATATTACCACTTTTCACTTATTTACCTAATGTTTTTCACTAATTATTCAAATTACTTGAAATTACTTTAGATTTATGAGCCATCTTCGACATAAAATTATCAATGAATGGGAAAAGAAATCTCCGGCATCTGATATAGTTGTTTGTCAGCATTGTTACAGGCATTACGACTCACCTTTTCAATTGCAATGTCATGTTGAAAATGTTCATGGATCTCTTCCAGCTGCATGTTAGTATTTTCTTGGTTGCTATGGTTGGTACTGGCCTCGTAATTATTATGTGAAGGTAATTCGAGCTGGCCAATGTTGTTTCGGTAAATTGTCTACAGACTCTTAGCAATCTGGATGTGTATGGCTGCCATTCCAACTTGTAAAATTTATGATCCATGCTCTCTCATATGGGTAAAATATATTTATATTAGGAATGCAATATTTTTTGGTACCACACACCATGTACTGTTTCATCACTTGCTCAATATAGCACATACAGATAAATGGTGTGTTGTAAGTTGTATAGGGATACGATTACAGAGTAGTGCAAGCGTGGCAAGTGGTGAGTGTTTCGAGTTGCATAAAATTGCATTGCTTATGGGAAAAGTGACACTAGTGGTGCAATGGATGCAGATGCTGGAGGTGGTGAATTTGGTACAAATGGTGCTGTTTACTAGCACTTGAGTCACACTGATAAACTATAAATTATTTCTTATCTCTTTATCAGGTAGTTGTTTCGAATCTGCACTATACTGTGAGATAGGTCTGCCTTCGGAGTTGGTAATGTTTAACGAACGTCTACATATAATACTCAAACATGTATCTTTTCACAGGTTCATGCAGAATCTGTGAACTTCATTTTGTATCAGAAAGGACATTCCTTTTTCATATGAAAGATAAACATGTTCACAACGAATTGCCATATGTTTGTAAAGTCTGTATGTATCGATCTTCTCACTACAGTGATGTGATTAAACATTTCAGGTATGCTATGTTTTTTAATAAAACAATGGATATTCGGATAAATTTTGTGTTGGTATAAAATTATATGTTCTATATATCGCTTTGCATTTATCATAACTCATTTAGCTTTTTCAACAAGTTAATTATTATGTTGACATCTATTGTCACTGAATCTATACTGCTGGTGATGTACTGGTTTTCATGTAGAACATAAATAGTAATGGCAATTAAACAATTACTTTTACATAGATAAGACAAGATCAATTTGCCGCTTTAGGTTCATTGATAATTTCATATCAACACCTTTATTATTATTTTATCATCTTTTTGGTTCATTCAGTGTGTATTACCCATTTTCTGCCTTTTTATGCTTATTGAAAATTTTATACCAATATATTTATTTATTTTTGGCCATCCTGGCTCTTTCATTGTATATTTTCCATTGGGGAGTGGACGAGGAGTATGATGGGAATAATTTTTAAAGTAAAGGTTTGCAACCTGTGATTCCAGTATCTTTATGCCCATTTTGCTAACCACTCGTAATAGCAATAATACTTTCATCTTTAATTATGATCTACTATATCAGTTTAAAAATAACAAAACAATTTTTATTTGCAGGGATGCTCACACAGATACTACAGCCCTGATGTGTCCGTTCTGTTTGACCGTCTCCTACAATGCCAATTACTTCCTGAAGCATGTTATTCAGCATATTGTAAGTCATTGTTTCTGTAAACCACATAGAAAAATAACATAGAATGTCAGTTCACTGATGACCGGTTCGTTTTCAGAAATCCTCAGCTGATTGTTACCGGTGTCGCCTTAAGTTTGTCAATATCAAGGATCGATCTTTTCATATACAGACTGATCACCAATCACAAACTATAAAAGAAAAGGCGAAGAAATTTAAGAATCTAAACAAGTGCCAGGTTCGTTAATTATTGCTCAGCTTGGATGGCCACCGCATCTCTGCTCACCCTGCGTAGGTTCGCAGCAGTGTTAACTCTAAGCAAATTATGAGTGCGAAAGTGCTTCACAGTCGAAAAAAAAAGTGCGAAAGTGCTTTTGCCGATTTTAACAAGTTAGGTGCCCTAGCCTTCCATATAACCCATTTAAAACGGCATAGATACTCGAAAAAGCGCTCCTCCGGTTAATATTATGAATTAAAGAGAAGCCTTTTCCGAGTTCCCTTTAAGCGAATTGGTGTTTAATCAAAACAAGCGAATTCATCGGCAACGAAATGACATCTGCTAACACCTGCCCCGACAAAACTTTCATGCAATGTATCACGGTGTCAGTTGCTTACTCGCGTAAACAGCAAAGACTTCACATTTGTTACTCCTTCCATCTAACAGACACGAGGCAGGCTGGAAACCATATTAGTTACAGGGTGGATCGTTTGTACAAATCCAGTGCAAAATAAATCCCCCCCCCCCCAAATATAAATAGCAATCAACTAATTAGGGTTAGTTGCGCTGGAAATTCAACTTTTCGATTTACCCCTAAACCTAATCTGATAATTATTAATTTGTGATTTTGAACCACTTTGAAAGTCGCCACCCACTGTTTTAAAAGATAGGTTAACCTACGTTCCCTCCGAAATATTACTGCAAGATTATTATATATTACCCTGTTTTAGGATATAGGTTGACCTACTCTTTCAAACTTTTTTCTCCGAAATATTACACAAGATCACTTTGAAAATCCTCCGTTTCATGAGCTAGCGTGACCTAATTTCTCATTTACATTTATATTATACTATTTCAGAGCTTACCCAAAGACAAGTAATTTTTATATGTCGACATGCCTTGGTTTGCTTGCGAGTTAGTTTAAATCGGGCAGAAAACATCGTATATTGGCAAAATGTTTAGTAATGTCATGTACTTTCAGCATTCATAAATAGCACTCTTTGTAATGCTGCTGACCTAGTATCAAATATTCGCATCACAACGCCACTTGCGAGGTTTCCATATATTTCAATTACACTAATAGGAACGATGACACCAAAGAGTTTTCTTTTGCGAAGGTACACTAAATATAACGAGGGTGATTCTTGAGAAAAACATGAATATAAAAAATAAACGAATGATATGATAGTGGATCCCAAATAATTTTGAGAGTGTCTCGAAATACCAATCCATTTGATAAATAATTTTTATTCGACCACATGACCGCTGATATCCTGAAAATTAATGTTGAAAGAGAATTACGCATTCTCAGATATCGGACATCCAGTCGCGATATTCAATCGTTTATATGCACAAATCTCACATTAATAGTAATTGCTACCCAAGTTTGTGAAGTTTAGAAACCAACAAACACAAAATAACTTTTCCTAAAACACAATTAAAATTCAGTCGGCAATAAATTCGTCGCCAAGACGATGCCATACAAAACAAAAAGATTTGGTCGCGAGAGTTACGTGCCTTGTTTTTTAAGCAGAATGTAAAAAAATTTATAATAAACGGGAGTTACGAGCCCTTTACACATCGTGTTTATTAAACTTCCCTGGTAAGTACTATTATTATTGTACTTATACACCTGTTGGAGTATTTCGGACAATTTCGAATTTAAAATAAATGAAAACCCGACATATAATAAAGACGCAAAAGAAAAATGAACATTTATTGAAAAAGTTATTATTTAAGACAGACAACATGATCGTACAATTCCTCCAAAACATCGATGTTCGCAAGTATATGATAAATAAATACTTCCCTGTATTCGATCAATTAACTTTAGCGTATCGTTGTTCTGCCAACAAACAGCCGGGTGCAAAATATTTCCGTCCTGTGATATGCTCACAAATATTCTCGATTTTAATATCATACCCTCGCGTATGTACTTTCTATTAGCTCTTTAGTGATCCCTTCCATCCGTGGCCAAGTCATGTTTCGAATATGTGAACATTTTATTCGACCATACATGGCCGGCGGGATGTTAAAATTGTAAACAAGAGAGAGGTAAAATCAATCGCGAGTTTCGTTATAACGGCTCGTTTACGAATTGTTGCGCCTGTTATCGTCGAAAATGATTACATTTGTTGTATTTTGAGGCATTTAAGCAGTAATAATTAGGGCATGACAACATCAAAATCGCCAAGTGAGATCTTGAAATTGCAAATTTCGTAAATAAAATTGTGAATTATTCGGTAACGAATTCAGCTTTAATGACCGTCGGGGTATTGTTTTGATGAAAATTATTATTAATGTGAGAGCGACAAAAACATACAGTCCATACCGATGCGACTGCAATTTATATGGTCGCAATTGGTGTGGTGCGTTTATTGATAGTGTAAAATAAATTAAACGAATATCAATTATAACCAAGCCTGTCAGCGTGTTTATTTTCTGTGGGCAGGAATCGTAAAATACCATCTTGAGACAAATTCACTTCTATTATAAAATCTTAATTTTCAGTTATTATCGTTATACAAATAACGTGTGGCAACTTTTTAATTTATCGTCGACCAAAAAACCGCCCCACACTCGTCCAAACGTGTGTCGAGCTTGAACGACATGAACAGATTCATCGACGACCTTAATTAGGGAAAATATGTATTTTATTGGGAATGCCAAATAAATGTAACAAAACGCATTTTTTTGTGATATAACTTTGTATTTTCGGAAACGGGTTGCCGTGAAAGGTAAAATTTGATCTAAATTAATCGCAATAAGGTTTTATTTTAAATGTAACAAAACACATTTTTCGAGATACAACTGTATTTTGAATGAAGAGTTAAAATATGATCTGAATTAACCGTAAATAATGTTTCATTCCAAATGTATCATAACGCATTTTTTGCGATATAACTTTGTATTTTCGAAAACGGGGCGTCACGAAAATTATTTATCTATCGTCTAACTAACGTCTGGAACACTGGAACGGGAGAACTCTAGCCCGCGAAACGTCATTTAATTTAAAATAGAGAATGTTTCACGCATTTCAAAACGGAAAATCACCAGTAAGTAGACAGGGATTCAACCCTCCGGATTCAGTATTCTATCTCCCCCGTGTCAGAACTTTCTGAAGAATGGAACAAAGAACCCGTCAAACCGCCGCGGAAGAAGGGGAGTATTTTTTGCACTAATAATCAGGGCGTGACAATATCAAAATCGACAAGAAACTGGTGAATTTGCAAATTCCATAAATAAAATTGTGAATTGCTCGGTAACATTTTAGCTATAATTATCGCCGGGTTTATTGTTTTGTTGAAAACACGTTGAAACTTGAGGGAATTAGTTACAATTAGCGCCTGACCTCTATTAGGCACTCGAGCACTCAAAAAAAAAAGCACTCGAGCCCAATCTTTTTAGCATTAAGTCGCATTCGTAAAATAACCTGTAAAAGAAGTGCTGTTCATTAACGTCATCTCGTCTTATGACCACGCAGAAATGCCTTTATTGCCGAATTATTCAATCACTATTTTAAATCAATATTCAGGATTGGCACAATTTCAGACTTGCGAAGTTTATCACCATAGAAATACATGAGAAAGTCAATTATCGTCTTAATAAATATCTGCATCACGGTATGGACAATAATATTACCATTTGCATAAAATTAGGACGGTAAATTTACAAATCTTGATAGGTAATATTAAAGCCAACGCAAATGTTAATTTGAGTCCTCAATGTCTTCAACAGCTGTTGCCGATGTGAACGAACGGGTAAACCCGAAATATAAAACTTCGATGTCCGCCGACCCACAAGAATTCATATTTGTAAAAAAGAGAGGGCGGGAATATAGATTACCCAAAACCTGGATATCGCCGCCAAAACGATCGGTGACAAGAACAATTAGCGATTACAACGGAATTAACCAGTAAAAAGGCTTTGTTGCCGATTTTTTAATGTTTTCACCACGTTTATTCGGTACTCCTTAAAAATATTCGATTCAAAAAAATATTGAATTTTGCCCACCCAACCTCGCATATCAATGAGAAATAGTTGTGTAAATATCGCAAAATTCCGGAAAATGCCACGTCCTTTCAACATTGTGATTACAATAAAATGGCACTTAATGGTATTTTGTGAATTTGGTGATTTTGCAAATCTGTGACATGCTGCTAAAAGTTTCGTCTGATTTGAAAATTGTGCAGTTTGGTCACAATTCATCCAAAGTGACCATAACACCTAACACTTTTATAGTCATTTTGAATTCATCGATATCATTGATAGTCACATGACCACTCTCGTTCAAAGAAACGCACTGCGTATTATTCCAACATCTGGTTTCAATCACCGGGAGCGTTTTTTGCGGGAGAAGCGGAATCGGTGTGCTTGTATAATAATCATATTATAAACAAGAATTTTGCCGTTAATGCAAAAGCTTTATCTCCTATGTCTGCATCTCAATGGTTAGAATTCCGGTAAATATCGTTATGATATGCAGAATTGAGTTACAAAAGTACTAGTATGTTACTTATTTGTCAACTTAATACTCGAAAATATTTGTTAACTTTGAATTTTTATTCCATTCGAAATCAGAAAAAAGTGCTATTTCTCTTCAAAATCGGAAAAAAGTGCTATTTCGCAGTCCCTAAAAAAAGTTGCGAAAGTGCTTCGCAATTTTCGCAAAAAAGTGCGCTAATAGTGAACACTGGTTCGCAGGTTCGAATCCCATGCGGGGATGGCTATGTGCGAGAGGATTGCTGTACTCCTTGCCGCAAAAAAGTGGTTCATGTGACCACTGGTCAGTTACGGCTTCCTCCACCATCAAGTTGATGCTTCCGAAAACAAATAACTGGCTGACTAATCCCATACCCGACCTGGACTGGTAACCGGACGGGACGCCCTGGTTCGCCCTATGATTGAGCAGTCTTATCCTATCCTAATGTGCTTTTTTATTATTAGTAATTTTTAAATTTATTTACACGATTCCATTTTGAATATTTTTTAGGTTTACGTCAGAGTTTCTCCATTACAACTTGCACATCGACAAAATTTATTGAATAAAACAAAAATGTTGAAAGATCAGATTGAATCTAATTCAAGTGGGGATTCTAGTCAAAGTGGGTATTAATTAGGATTTGTAAAATCCTATTTTCCTATCCTTTCTGAAGTTTGATAACAGGAAATGTTATATTACAATGATATATATCATCTGCAGCAGCATATCAACATCATACTTCATTATTATTAATGAAAGTGGGATTGAAATTAACTGCATGAGATTTGCGAAACGAATCTAATATAATGCTCATTTCTTGATAATTTTTTAGTGGTGTTTTTCTTCGTACAAATAATGCTCGCATCTGCAGAGTTTTGAGTCTATCTATTGTACGACTCTCACAACTACCAGCACCTTGAGTTATGTTGCGATCTGCTCCATATTTTTCCTACACATGTAATGAAGTTTACAGTATTTTACAAGGGAGTTGTGTGCTACTGATAGTCGCCCCTGCAAAACGAAATTCTGCAGATAAGTTTGATTTGTTTATTGTAATTTATCTTATACAGAACCGATATTCTCGATCTCATTGCTACCCAAAAAGCAAAATATTGAAGTAGCAGGTGCTTTGACTGCATCATCAGTTGAAACAGGATCACCAGTTGCAAAGAAGACGTCTTCCATTCCAAATGTTCAATTGCCTGCTTATCTCAGCCCTCTGAAACGGCCGACGAGAATAAAAAAACTCAGGTAAATTGTTTAATACTCTCAAATTGCTAAGCTATCTTTTCTTACCAATATGAGACAATTATGGCAATATATTGGATAAAACTCCAGCCAACATGATTTCTGTACATCCCCAATGATTTAAATTTTTTCATGTGCAATAGAAAATATGTGAAAAAACAGTTGATTTGGTGTTGGACAAATGTTGGGATGAATATTGACGCAATCATTTTTCAATTTTCCTTGATTACTCGAAATCAACTAAAGCTTGTTTTCTGTGTGACTGACGGGTGGCAAATTCCAAAAATGATGGATTTTAAATAATTCCTAAAATCATTTACTTACTGTAATTTCCGGCCAATAAGTCGATTTTCTGGACCCAATTGTTTGGTCAAATTTTCTAAGCTCTGCTTCTTGGGTAACCTTTTATCAACTTTGGACTGGAAAAGGGTGACTATAATGTGCCCTTTTTGTCAGTTTCATGGATTGGCTTTCTCACACTGTGAATCTGAAATATCTCCGCTGTGCCTATTTGAACTGACAAAAAAGACTAACAGGGAAAAAAGTTTCACAATTTTCGAACTTGCGTATTGGGAGTTAAAATATGGAAAAGCCATCATTTTTAGTGTTAAAAATTCACTTTTCACTTATCCGCTGAGTCAGATGACTCATTAGCCAGGAAATAGGGTACTTTATTAAACATAACATTTTTCACATAGTTGAATTTTGGATTTATATTTGAACATATAAAAATTTATATTTTTATGTTCATTTTACATTTCTGCCTGTATTTTTATTCAACAGAATGACACCGAGGGAATTTTCTGTTATCAGATGTCATGAATGCCAAGATTCTATTACAATCGAAACTGATCTTCTAAAACATTTCAGTCATTATCATGAGTGCAGATGGTGTGTTTATGTAACTGCATGTGAAAAAGCCTCACATAATCATGTTCTCAAGTAAGTTAAGTTTTCGTTTGGTTTGCCTGATTTTTAATTTCTTAATTATGGTTATATCGGTTTTTATTGTAGTATTTTGACTGTTTTGGTATGATATTGATAATCACTCTTCTCAAATATATATGATGTAACCCAATATGTTGATACAAAAGTTTCCTTGAATGCCAGCCAAGTGCTTAGCGGCGCCAAATTATCACAGAAAAAACTCACGGCGCACTTGCATGGAAAAAATGCAGCTTTTCAAATAAAACTCAATTTTGGTATTGCTAATGTGTACTTTACGCATTATAAAGTTTTTAAACACAGAGGCATAAGGAATAAAGGCAAATTGTCAACTCTTCTTCCTCATCTCTGCTCGATTTTCATTTGAAATGCTAGAAAAATCACCCACATTTGCTAAACTCGGTTCAGTAGATATATGAACTGCAGCTCGCAAAATTGCACCAAGTAGACACTACGTAACAGGAAGTAAACGACATAGAAAAGATAAATAAATTTATTGATTTATATACACAGCATTTAAAATAAGAAACAAAAAAACATTCATAATAAATACAATATCTAAAATATTCTGTTAATAATTGCGGCGCACCTATGAACTCGTCACGGCGCGCTAACACGACATGGCGTATCCTTTAGGAACCGCTGGCTTAGTAGATTCTATACAATGTGTCAAATGGCTTTAAAGTTGATCGCTATTTGCAGGTTTGAATGTCTTTTTTCATATCCATTTGATTTCACCTATTGGAAATGGTAATATAAATCCCATGGAATGATTAGTAATTTTTTATGCTTTTATCAGAGAACATGCTGATGCTGAAATGCGAGAAGAACTCACTGGAAGAGTTGAAAAACCCGAGTCTCCAATACTTTCATCTGCTATGGTAGATGAAGAAGAGCAGCCTACACCGCAGGTTAAGAAGGAGCCCACCATTGAGGTGACCATCAAATATAGTAGTCAAATATGACTTTTTTCACGCTTTTCGCGCGAAACCTTTTCCTTCAAAAAGTCCGGAGTCTTTTCAGTTCGAATCAGTCTTACACTCTCGGTGAGCTGACTGAGGGGGTATGGGATTTGGACCAAAGATGTCTAATCTGCGATTTTACTGCCAAACAATCGCGCCGCGCAAAGCTCTGAGTTCATATTGTTTTGGTGACTACCATCTGATTTCTATATTTTCATTTTTACAAGGTCCCCGATAAGCAATTGCTACCACCAACAGCAGAAGCTACAGAGGAAGAAACAACTAAATCAACGCATGTTAATAAGAGGTAAGATGCATCTTCTTCGTAGTGGAGTTAAAAGCCTTTAGCATATATTTCTAATGGTCATTCCACTGTAAGCAGGCTGTTTTCTTGTGGTTTCAACATTAAATCAATTATATATCATAGCCTATCAAATTTATTATACATCTTGATTCTTGAGTCATTACAGCGGTTGAATTCATAACGTTGTGCTGCCAACAGCAACAACATAGGTCAGTGCTTTTTACCTTGGGATCCGCACATGTTCTTTTAGTCCAGTCCAGAGGTTTCGCAAGTTTCCATTCAATTCTGAGAGTCTATATTCACATATGTGCACTTTAAGAGCATTTTTTTTTACCTAGTATTGAGTTTGTTTAAATATATATATATTGATAGTTCATACAATTCTCACAAATAAATATTGTGAAGGGAAGGGGTTTTTCAAGCTTCTGAAGGTTCATGGGTGCTCCGCTCCAATCAAAGCGGTTGAAAACCTAGGTCGAAGTGTAAAATTACATCAGCACATAGTGTTGGAGATTACTTTTGTGTAAGAAGTATTTCATATATATAGTATTCAATATATCCACTAATCAAATATTTATAAGAAAACAATCCCAGGTAAAGCTGGAATTTTAGTAGTTTCATTTGCCAATTTGTTCAAGGTCCAGTAAATGGTAGCCACTAGGTGTAGCTGTAACTTCATAGATTTCATGTACTTTCCTAGTCAAGAAATAATCAAATCTTTCAATGCAGTTTTCACAAATTATATTTTTGGGAGTCTATTTGTAAAACCACAAACCTTTTGAAAAAGGATGATTTGGTTTTGTATTGTGTTGTTGTGTATACCGATCAATTTCCAATGCCATAGTTGTTAGTACATTTGCCTATTCAACTAGTCATTGCATGTTATAGATCAGGGATGTCCAACCCGCGGCTCGCATGCGGCCCACTTGAAGTTTTTTTTAAAAATACGGTCATATAAACATATTTAACATAAAAATATCCTGGTTTGATAACAAATCTTACTAGAATTTAGGCTATAATTTGACGCGACTCTGCCATAAGAAAAGCGTTGTTGAGCGCCACAGAACATGATTTTACAGCGGGCTAAAGCGTGCAACATCTGTGTCGATACAATGAGTTTTCTACCCATTGTGAAGTCATTAAGGTTGAAGTCACATACCGGTACTGTGTTCTATCGATGTTGTATCACGAAAACAAATCCACCAGTATGTCTGGAACAAAATAGATGTAGCTTGAGGATGCAAATCGGAAATATCAAAAGGATTGGAAAGAGTTGTAAGCAACGATGTATGCCTAATGTGCCATAAATCTGTTTCATGCTTGAAGTCGTATAATTTGAAAATTATAAAGTCGAAGCATAGGAGTATTCTGAGGAACGAAAATTTGACAAGCCGGTTAGTTACATTGTGCGGTATCAAAACTATCCGTTGATATTAAACAGTTGAGCAATGACAATCAAAAGCAATTGGGTATTGGGTTGCTATTTAAGTTTGGTAAAAACGTTTGCGGCCCACAATGAATTTCCCCATGTGAAAGTGCCTGCGACACAAGTGGCCTGCGACACTAAAACAGTTGGACATGCCTGTTATAGATTCTCTTCAATCTCAGTTGGGCCACCTTATCTATGTCAACCACTTGGCTAAGGGTGCAATGAATTAGTAATACAGAATTATAATGGTTATAGAATCTTACAAAATCATATATCTTCTTACTGGCTTATCTTGAGCCTGGTTCAGAGCTCTAGAGGTAAGGTATAAAACATATTGTAAAATGTGCAATCTACAATATCGGTTTTTCGTACCGTTGTCCTAATCCATTCGTTCAATTACAACAATCTCATGATTACTTTCACAGTTTACACTGTACAACTAGGAATAATGTACCCATCGTCTCTCCACATTTATTTAAGTTTACAAAATTTTTTATACATTTTAACTTTGAATGAGGCACTGATATACAATATGCTTATATTTTTGGTCGGACTGAAATCTTTTTGATTGTCATTGCCTATCCAAGTTATTACTTACTGGGTGGAGTGATGAGCATGAGGCTTGGACCAGAGATATCTGGCCCTACGATGTCAATACAGCTGAAGTCCAACATCTCTAACCAGTAACCAATAGGCCATTATATCCCATTCTATCAGCATTCTCAGGTCTTAATTAAGCAGATAGCATTTTGGTAAATATCAGTTTTTATTTTTGAAATTATGCAAAAATCTTGAAGCAGCACAATCATGCTATGATAGAAATATTTACGCAAAAATATTTATAAAAACATACGCTATCCATGTAATTATGGAGTGTCAAAAAAAAAAAAAAAAAATTTGTTTTTGTTAATTCGTTATTAATAATAGCCTATACATGATAACATTCTTGTTCATGCAATTTGCTTGAATGATGACAAAAGGATGAATGTTCCATCTCACATCGAGTTCTTAAATAAAGCATAAACGATTCCAAAAGCACTGTATAGGCTGGGCTAAAGTTAGCTAGCTACCAGTACTTTAAGGACAGCTGCGCTTTGAAAATAATTTAAAATTGTTCTGTTGAAGATGAACATCCATTTACGTGTTCTTTCCAAAGTATTCATCAAAGGCTTTGCATTGTTAGGGCATAAAGAGAGAGGAATTGTTAAGGGGTCAAGGGTTGGGAAAAACATTCATTGTCATGATTTCTCATAGTATTCAAGTCAGTTATCCTGTTTGTCAGATATATTATTATACAATATACAAACAAAGTTTTTCACAACTTTGGTGGTGTTGTGAAGTTGTGTCGCTGTTAGTCCAGCTCTTTATCCTTGCAGTTTGACGGTTTTCATTTGATGTTCGTTGCAACTTTAAAATGTTTGAATCCAGCTGTCAGGTAGAGTGGTGGAAGTATAATCGGTGCTCCATAATATCGAGTACTTTCGAATGGTAGTTGCTCAATCTTTTTTGGCTTTAAGAAAAAAAAATTCAATTAAAGACATAATTTTCAACTTATTGGGAAAGAATTGCTTTTCTTAAAAAACTAATAGAACAATCATTTTGTAATTTTCAGTACTCTGAATATGATTTAGTTGTTAGAAAGCAATTCTTCATTTTTTTATATTTTCTCCATGGGATTCAATATACCATTCAAAATTTCCGGTGTTCCTATAAATATTGCATCAGCGCGCATTCTTATGTCAAACCAGTTCCACATTTTTCATACAAAATCGTTGTGCTCCGCGCTCAACTGCGGTCTGACCGGTACCTATTTGATTGCACAATGGTATTTGTGATTGAGTGATATTGTTCACTTTGCCATAAATGATGAAAATATTGTAATTGCAAATTAAATTAGGTCATGTTCCCTATTTTTACAATCGACTTCTGGTTCATTGGTTGTCCTATATTACTAAATGTAAAATATGCTAATTGCATGTCCTTCCTTCCACGGTGTGTCCTTGTTGAATATGCTTAGTAAGTAAAAAGTGTATACCAATAAAAAAAAAAACTAAACGCATTTTGCATATTACAAGTTTTACAGAACTTTCACTAGATCATAGTCTAGCTTCGTCAGATATAAATTCTAGTGTGAGTTAGTAATACTGTTTATCTTACCTCTGCAAGCTGCTTCAGTGGCATTTCTTCTCCATACAGATGTGTCTCAATTGTGTCAAACTTCTGTACTCTCAAATCTGTCTGGTTTGTTGCTGCCTTTAACATTGTTGATCCTGAATATTAGTTAGATGTAAATTATAATTTTGTTACACCAAATAACATACATCATGTCTAAACACATTACAACACCCTAAGTTACTGTTTAAAGGAGAAAAATACTTTACACACCTGTATTTTTCTTTTTTGTTGTGTAATGTAGGATTTATTTTTCTTTTTTCAAGCAGCAAATGGTAATCTTACTTGATAGTAGATTAAAACTCAGTTCAAATATTTAATGTCTTATCAAGTTGATATACAAGGCAGCTTTATTTACTTAATCTGTAAATTCAATTTAGTATGATTTAAAAGATTGAAATTATGTAATATACATACATCTTCTATAAATATCACAAGATAAAAGCTTAAAAGGTAAAAAAGTATTTTATACACAAATCTTATTTTATGTAGCAACATTAAATAATTATTTGAATGATAGAATTTAGAAAAAGTTAAGTAAATCAAACATAACATGAAACAGAATTCAAAATTATCATCTATATTTTATATATTGATCATGTATTCATTTTAATTTTAACTCCTAAAGTTTCTCCAAAATATTATTTATATTTATTTTTCTATTCTTATAAACTCTTATTAAATAAAGTTAATTTTAAATTTTAAAGATCGAAGAATTTTACAATGTTGCCTTTTTTAATAGAAAATATATGTAATGTCAGGCACTAGTACAAGTCATGAAACTTAAATAGTATGTGAACAAGTGCATGAAATAAAAACAAAGCTTTATTCGATGAATATCAATGTCTTGATATAACATCAAACTGAAACTGTATTTTAAAATGAACTACACTCTTCCAATTTTGAAATTTAGAAGTCTAATATTAAAATTTGGAATGCTTCATAAAGACATGCTACCCTGCAAGGCATTTCTCAAATAATACTAAATATTGCATGAATTTTCTCTCTTATCATCCACTTTGTATCCACAATAAATGGCAATTTTATTCCCAGATCTGTTTATATACATATGCTCGTCCATCTTCATAAAGTCATATCAAGTTATTAGAAATTTGCGTAAGATGACATCGTTGTCAACATTTATCCAAAATTCAGTAAACATGTTTCTATCTACCGTGAGATAAAATTTATGTTTCGCTCACACATACACATATTGACGTCCTTTTGTCACTATAATCCAGGTGTTTATCATGTCACAATAGCATTTATTATCGAGTCACCATCACACTATCCACCTTCTTATATTTCTCCAACTCATATTGAACAAACAATGCCCTCCCCTTTGTAATAATGACAAGTTATGTCACCGACTTTATTACCCTTGCCACAGAGTTCTTAATTAAGCTCCTGAATATGTAAACATTACCAGGCCAATAAGCTTTGTAACCACAACTCATAAATCACAATTTATTGAGAAACACATGTTACATGCTATGGAATGTGTTTGATCACAATTTACAATGACAGATATTGAGACTTATGAACATGTCATTGTTTTATAACAGCAAATAGGTTTTAAATAGTTTTTTATTTTATTATTTGGGGGGGGGGGATATATTCTAAATTTGGCCCCACTCAACATAGGACAAGATATGTTCGTTGAGAATTGGTAAAGTTCCCATACTTATTTTTAAATTATTCCTGACATTGAATATAAATAATGTATAATTTCTATCAGTTTTGAACAACCCTGATATTTTGCTTTCCAACCTTTTGATTTTATAAATACCAAAATAATATTATGTTACTTGCAAATAATACTAAAATCATGCATTTCGATCACATTTTGCAATACTAAAAAATAAGCAATGGTGCTCACTTTCCATTGGCTATAGATTTGTTGTTTTATTATGACATTATTTTTAAATGTTATCCCAACTTCCCAAGATGACAATTTTGAACATTGCTTCAGATTACATTTGGATGTTGCACTTCTTTTCTTGGGTTCATATTCATGGATGTACAATTATAACAGTTTGTAAAGTTTACGGAATTTGGTTAGGCAAGACTGTCTTTTTCTCTCTACATTACAGCTTAGTATTTTCAACGGTATCAATTTCATGTGTAAAGTTATGTTTGACGTTTCTCAGACACCAGATCTTTGTTTTAAAAACAAACTAAATACTGCTTTCCGCTTCTATATTACAATAAATAGTCAAGTAGGTTTATTCATAATTTCTTAACAATCTTAAAATGATATTTTTGATTACGTATTAGCATTGTTCAATGCAATTTGATACTGTTGTAATGGTGTTGTCTGTATTAGCGATGATGTCCTGAATTTTTATATTTGGTTGTTTCTCCTGTGTTTTCCTTTCAATTTCCTGTGACTGTTCAGATTATTGTACGTCAGAGCTTTTTTAATACTTTTCAAATGAATAAATCCTATTTGAAAAATACTGTAAAATCACTGTCATTTTTGGTGAATTAAATTTTGTTGACAAGTCTATGAAGATTCATCAACTAATATTATGGATATTAAGTTACCTACGGTATTTCTCCTGTGTTTCCCATTCAATTCCTATCAGTTGTTTAGATTATATATTACATCAAAACTTGATTAATAGTTTCCAAATGAATAAATCATAAAAAAATGCTGTAAATCACTGTCTCATTTTTAGTTATTTAAACTTAGTCACAAGTCAATGAATTTTCTGCTACCAATATTACTGATATTAATAATACACATACTGTTGATCTAGCTTCCTATTTAATAACAAAGTTCTTCAATGACCCCAACGTTGACAGTTAGTGTAAATATGCTGTAACATCATGTCTGGTAATTTGATAAATAGTTCAAATATTTGTTATGATCTGTTTCCCAGAATCTTCATGTATTACGTTATAAAGTTGTGTTTAACATAAATTGGTTATGGCAGTGGTGTCTATCTAAGTATAGGTATAGCTTATGCTTGATATAATTGTATTAGTTAGGAGTGCTCAAATATATTGTAACATCTTTAAACTTTTTTATGATATCGTATAAAATGATCACACAGATAAACCATTGTTGGGCAACATGTTTGCTTATCAATAAAATGAATTCTTCCAATAATGATCATGTTTATTATATAAAGCTACTCAGGACAAAATGGTTAATAATGCAAGCTTCGAACTTTGACATAATTTCAGGTCTATATTCATTTGGTAAAAATAAGTTACAGTATTTCTGTAGCTGGTTTGATAACCATAAACATCCGTACATTCTTTCCAACATATGATAATAAAAATAATTATAATTGAACACAGGGATCTTTTATTTGGTATAGTCTAATTCAACATTTCCCAATTTCCTAACCTGGAGGTATGTTGTCGTTCTTACAACTTCTTAGGAAAGAATTTTCTATGTATTTGCTGTGGTATTACTAATATTCTCTTATTATTTATCATTACTAAATTCCTGTTTACGCACACATTATGCAAACATTATGAACTACTTGAACTTGAGAAAGGGGGAGTGCGCAATTTGCGCAAAACATTAGCTAAGGTTCTATGAAAGATTGGACAAATAATTTAGTTATATGTATCGGGAGGAATTTAACGAAAATGGTCAGGGACCACTGGTCTGTATAACCGTGATAGTAGGAAATTACGCTGTATGATAATATCCTTAAACTTCAGCGTTAACAAACTTGATCTATAGAATATATTTCACCTCGCAACCTTCATTTTTCAGTGCTGATACTTCCAAAGCCCGCCGCAAGCAATCAAACCCAATGAAAATTAAGAATAGTGGTAAGACCATCTATGTCTTTACTTGAGAGTAAAAAAGATTTTTTTTCTCATATGCCTAAAATGGAGCCAAGTAACCAAATGATCGCTTCAGACTAGTTGTTTATATAATAGCGAGTGTGGTCTATCTTTTCAAATTTTTGATTTTATATTAGGATATGTAGAGCTTGAAATTTTATTTCAATTTAGTTTGTGTTTTTTTATATTTCCCTTTAGATTTTCCAAATTCTCCTTCGCCGAAAAGAGTCAGAAAAGACAGAAAAGTTCAAACAAAAACCTTTGAAAAACAAAGAGGAAGTCAGACCTTTGAAAGTGATTTTGCAGGTGCTGACGCAGAAGAAAATTCAAACTCTACCTCAATGCAAAAAGGACGCAGGTTGTTTAATTTTCAATTTGAAGGGTGTTCAGTTTTGATTCCAGGGATACAAAATATTTTTACATTCTGATTGTTTTGAAGCACCGAGATGGCACACAACCTGAACATAGTTGTGTACCAGGTTAGGGTTCAGACTGCGCTATCTTGGTGCACATACTTCGGGAGCGCCTGATCTGCTTTCATCGCTTCAACCACTAGGCCATCAAGCCAAACTGACCAACTTCTGCCCCAAATCTTGCCCCAATCCGCATTTTCTGGAGGATAATGTACTTCCATATCTATTTAGTTTCGGTAGTCCATGGTATTACACTGGTTGCCTCAGTCTCTTTTGCTTCTGAATGTGTGTAACGTTGCTTTAAGTAAGAAGGATGTGCAAGCGCTCAGACATCTCTTAAACTTTGCATTTATGAAACAATACTTCTTTTGTTTTCAGTACTGCTGCCCGCAGTATTCTGAGTGAGGATGGGGTTAAAATAGGAAAACGAACAAGTACTTTCACTCCTGCTGTAAGAAAAAGAAAAATCTTAGCACCTGAAGGTTTTTTCCCGGACATTGAAGATGATGCTGGTAGGTAGAGCAAATTTGTAAAATATCGCCCATAATGCAAAAGGACCAAAATCCAATATTTCACTGCTCTAAATATACTGTGAAATAATATTTACAAAAATAGAATATTGAATGTATTGTGAATGGTAATTGGTAATCATTGGACACAAACTAAATGTGACCCATGATGGCATAGCAGGTTAAAATCTCTGGCTCGTATCCCATGCTCACGACCTCACTCACCCAGGCTGTAATAAACTAGGTAGGCAACGCCGAATCGAAAAGATTTTGGTCATTCCAAACCAGGGTTGTCCAAAACGAATCGAATATTCGAAATTATTCGAATATCAAGGTATTCGAATACCTTTTCGGCTCATTTCCGAATAATTACGAATAGTAGTCACTTTTCGCCGTAAACACGGTGTTTCGTTTTACCGGAATCTTCAAACGACTTTTTACGCTTTCTCACGTATTGTAATGACGATGAAATAGAGTCGGCATTTTGATTGTTTATATTCAGCGCGAATGTACGTCGCATAGTGTTGCGACACATTTGCACGTTTGCGTTGGTGGACATTGCCGACATTCGTCTTTTAATTCACAAAATCATTTCCATTAGTCGAAAAATCGACAATCACCGTATTTCCCGGCTAATAAGTCGCTTTTCTTGACCCAATTTTGGCTTGATTTTTTGGGGGGAGGGGCGCCTTATTGAGAAAGCATGTTTATTTTATTTCTATGTGGCCTGCTTATTTTTCGCATTAGTCTTCTCAAGCATAATTTGTGTTAAACCTTATATTTGGTTCTTATGGGTCTGCCAATCATGATATTTAATCGTAGGCCGGTTATCGTTACTTAAAAGAGAAAACACGGCCCCCGCCACCGAGATAAAGTAAGTGATTTATGACCCTTTGGTTTTGCCGATTCAGCAGAACACGACAGGGACAGGAAAACACAGCTGTGAAATAACCCGTGGACGTACAGTGTGTTACTTATCACATTCCAAAATTATTCCAAAATAATTCGGGTTAATAGGTTGTTCAAAATGATTGCCGTTTTACAACTTAAACAATTTTTCTACCCGTCTTATTGGAGGCCTGTATGGAAAAAAAACTTTTTTGAGTGCTAAAAATAGACATCCTCCTATTTGCCATGTGGACATATTAGCCCGGAAATACGGTATTTATAGCCGTCATTGTTACGATATCCAATAAATTGTCACAAGTTGGAAAAACAAGTCATTTATTAGAAAATAATTTCTGGCAAATATTTCTGATAACGATAGTTAAAAGTATCGAACCTTTAGCAGGATGATTTTTTGTTGCGCAAAATAATCCAATCCATGACTGGTACCAGCATTTAAAATGTCATGCCGTATTAATTTAATTCTGTTCAATGTAACTCATGGTTGTATCGACAATATGTGGACATAAAATGTGTGGTAAACTGACCGATAATATTAAATATTGATTTCTATTTTTATATTGACAAAATATTGAAAGTATTAATACCAAATACCACGGGTATTTGTGGACATGAAATACGTGGTAAACTGCCCAATTATAATTAATTTCGGATTCGTATTTACAAAATAATAAAACTATTATAATTCTAAAATGCAACGGCGATCTGTGGCCTTAAAATGTGTGGTAAACTGCCCGATTTACCAACATTTGAGTTATGATAATAGAATTAAATCAACACGGTCAGGCATTTTAAAAATATAATTAGTTTTTGATTCTTATTTTACGAAAAATTGTCACAAGACGGAAAAAGAATTTATACTTTATCCCACTCTTGGGAACTAATTTGGATAATGTTTGCCATTGGTTTGTATTTAAGAGTATGGACTTTTTACTAGGATGATTTTGTGTTACGCAAATATTCAAATCCATCATCGATACCACTATTGCCGTATTAATTTAATTCTGTTAACATGACTCTGGTATATAAAATATATACTGCAATAATCTGCAAATATGAAATGCCTGGTAATATAGCTAGGTTGTAACTTGTAGATAGCAGTTATTCCATTGCTTATTATATGGAAATTCTTACATACATTTAGATAAGCTTCAATTAGTGGATTTTATTTTCGAAGTATTCGAAATTTCATATTCGAAAAAAATAATTTCGAATGTATTCGAAATAGTGAACTATTCGATATTGGCCATCCCTAATCCAAACTAGAGTGTCTCCTTATCTAGTAATAGGAGCTTCTGCTTGTTCAGAGTATAAATAAGTCGTATAGAAAAATATTACAAATTATGTTTGCTAATGCGTAATGTTTGAGATAGACATTGTTTTGATCAATATTCCATTTTTTAAAATGTAAGCAATAAAAGTAAGTTTATTTTTTGTCTGGCCCTCATATGTCAAATGCTCGGCATGGCAAATTTTCAAATGAAAAATTTTATTGATTGTGAATATACGATATCGAATATGATCAATTTCGAAAGTACTTGAGTATTGAATTTTGTTTCAGACATACCTAGCTTTGTAAAAACTATCTTAAAGGTAAAAGATCATAAATAAAACGATGATAAAATGGGTTATGATATATATGTAGTAGTTGTAATCTTGGTTATGATATCGCTAATGGTCAATCCTATTCTACTAATACTACAAACTTATTTTTTCAATACAAATTTTCTCAAAACAAGGCCCCGGTTCTTAGGTCTAGTTTGAAAAAATTTCTTTAATATTGCAAGTTACCTTGTTACACTTGATTAGCAATTCACAATATTCTCTCTGTTTAGGTTGGGCCAAATACTTTAAAGAATGCGAGGATAAAACTCAATCGGATAGTTCTTTCAATATAAAAGTTACAGTACCAATGTCCGCACTTCCTACAATGGTGCCTATTCAAACAACCGTTAACACACAACTGAAGTCTTCCAATTCTTCTATCCTGACATTTCGTAAGTAAATGTGTTTTAGTTGACACTTCTGATGTAAAACCAGTGGTTTTATCAGGGAACCCTGTGGCTGTAAAATAGTTTATTTGTCTTTTATTGCCTGATTTGTGTTAAATATGAATATATATAAAACCAAACCTAATACTGGCATAATGAAGTGTTCGGTTATGTGTATCAATTTTAATAAAACTGGCAAGCCTATGGCTATTTTATTTGAATAAAACAATATAACGTACATTGATATGCACTCTTGAATTTGAATTGAAACTTTCGAACCCCAGTTGGAAACTACTAATTTAAATGCTTGCATACAAATGAACCATCAGTATCGCTACCGTTCACTTACATTTCGTGTATTTTATTTTTCTTTGTTATTTTAAAGATTGTGGTCTGTGCTTCAGGGTTAATTTTTGGGGTTTGTACCAGTAATTAGATAAAAATGTCCACGATCCATTGTCCAAGAAACATGTTCAACAGAACTTCTACCAAATTAAACTTCCAATAAGCTGTGTCACCAAAACTTACCCTATACGAAACGTTTTTCAGTCATCAGAGCGAGAGGTTTTTCCATGAATTTGAGTATGTAGAATTTGGCACCTCATTTCTCTTTTCATGATGGTATTGACTTGAAATGATTATTCTATTATTCACTATCATATATATATATACGTTCACAAAACCCTACCATTTACAAATTTGTAATATTGGTAAAGTCTTCTACCGTTTTTCTGAGCGATTGTGCATGACCTTGCCACAAGGACATTCTCGCAAAATATCTCAATATCATCTTTTTGTCAATTCAGAGAAAAAGCTTCCAACTACAATTGCTACCCCGGGACTGAAAAATGTGGCATCTGATGAACAAGGTGCTAGTCCAATCGCTGGTCTTTCTACAGTTGTCCGAAAAGTTAATTCTGACACGGCTGCAATTTCTCCTGGCAATGTTGTTATAAGTAAAACCAAGCTTGCGACAAATTCTAATAACAAACCAGTCTATCAATTTCATATTGTACCTAAAAGTCAAAAGAATAAGCCAACACCGAGTAAGTTTATATACAATAAGTACCTTATGTATTCACATTTTACGGCTAATAAGCCAAGGTAACTTTTTAGCACCGAAATAAGGGTTTTTCTATATTACCATCCAGTGAGCCGACTGCCGATGCAGAAAATTTGTGATACGGTTTTCTCTGATTGTCAGTTAAGCACCAATTCTTGGTCTATCTTTATCAGTTCTATTTTCCTTTGTGAAGCGCCAATGAGCTTCTCTCTCTTTGACGTGTTTACAGTACACGTGCCAAGCACATTTTTTTCATGGGTTGCACACTTGACGATATTGTTAATTGCTTTTGCTCATGATGCACACACAAATGCGGCAACATCAAATATAGTAGCAGCAGAGAGATGCCAATTCATGGAAATAAACTGAAAAGGCAAATTGTTGTCCCCCTTTTCCAGTGAATTCTGGTCCAAAGCTAATAATTAGTAACACCAGAAAAATGAAAAAAGGCTTTCCCATTAAATCTTGCCAAAAATCGGGGGTCCAAAAAATTGACTTATTAGCCTGAAAATACAGTATATAAATATGTTGTTTTGTCCTTTGTACAAACAGTTTTGCATAGTTCATCCTCTACCCAACATCTGGAAAGAACTTTGCCCACCTATCTACCTAAGTGACTGTACCTCTTGTTTTATCCTTTTGTTCCTTTACTTTACCCGTTATCCTTTTTATCCTTAAGTTTTGTCCAACATTTAAATAAGGGAGCGCATGCCCCATATTTGTGTGTTAGGCCATCATGGACTTGTGAAAATTTAAATTAAATTTAACTATCTAATGTTCTTATTTTGGGTTATTTGTATGTATTTTTTTAACAATTTTTAATACATCTAATTTTTTTTTATAATTTCTATTTCAGTTGCTCCAAAGCACAATTCATCTTCCACTCAGCCACTGTTTGGTTTGATAAATAAAGTTCAAAGCATGTTATCTCAAGGTAACTTATATACATGTTACCTATGTTTGTGTCACAGAATTGAGAGGTTCAAGGAAATAAAGCACAAGATTACCTTTTTCTTAAGTGATTGTCATCGGTGCACCTAGCTGGCTAATTTCCTTTTGTTTCTTTATAATGATAAGATGATTTTTTTTTGACGAAGTATACTTGTGAGCTTTCATTAGAATACAGTTTTATGTCCCAGGATTATTAGAGGTTCAAGGTGATAACTAAAGAAAGGTCAAATGAAATCTTTCAAATATACTTGCTATTTTATTGAAAGAGATTATGTTATTCTTGTATATCATTCTAATACTATCTCATTCAAGTATCTTTGTAGCAATTGCTACAAACACATTTGAAATGGAAAGTAAAAAACAAGAAGAGAGCAGTTTATTAATTAATACACAATATACTAGTATTATCCCCCCCCCCCCCCCTAAAAATATATAAATAAAGAATTGACGGTGCTTTACCATACACTTGTATGTAGTGGTAAATGGGTTATCAAAAAAAAAATCGTGACAATGTTTCATCAAACAAATGACAACTTAATTATTTGGATAAAATGCATTCATTCATAGCAGCAAAATGTTGTCTTACTCTATAGCAGCCTATATTTTCGGTAATATACATTTTGCTATTGCTTTGGTATTTTGCTATTTATATTATGCATATATTCGGCTGGAAAGCACTGTTCTAATACTTTCATATCTTTATTTCTAGTACCACGAACACCAGTAGATCTAAGATGTCTAGAAGTGACTCACTCTACTTTACTAGTACAGTGGGATGCTCCGATAAATTGTGTTGTAACTCATTACAAAGTTGTTTTCCAAGGTAAGATTTCAATTTCTGTTTTTGAAAGGATAGATATTTATATTTTAAGTTTTTATATTATGGGTTATTACCAAATACATTCTTTTTTAGGTGCCGGGGCCCCAACAGTTCAACTTCTGCCACCCGAGCAAACTCTCGTCAGACTTGTTGGATTGAAGTCAGATACTATGTATGTCGTTCGTGTCTACACACTTTACAACCAATCTGTCAGCCAATATGCTTTCTTGTATCAAAAAACAAGTAAGTTTTGGATTTTGGATTGATATATTGCGACTTGGAGTGCGAATAACTAAAATTCTGTCATGAATTTTTATCGAGTTAAATACCATATGGTAACAAATTTTAAGGAGATTTCTCTCAAAGAAAATTCACACACACTCACTTCAACGAAAATAAGGTTAAGGCTTATTTCTGAACATATTATATACGATCAGTCGACCACTGAAAAGCTACTTAATAAACTAGTTCCAATTAGGGTGGTGGATTATGCGCTAGCAAATCCAAATTGACATAATACTTGGAGCAGTTGATATCAATACGATCAGAAAAACAAATCATATTGAGGTGAATAAACTATTGGGTCTGGATACAAATCTGACTAATCAGCCTGCTGGTATATCTGAACAACATGACTTCTCAAGTTAAGTGCATTCAGAGTTCTTCATGCCATATGACTAGGGCTGTCCAAAATCGAATATTTTTTTGATTCGAATCGAACCGAATATTTTTCTCAAATCGAACCGAATAATCGAATATTATTGCGCAATCCTCCTAACTTTGTCTCTAATGTACAATAAAAACTTCCTCTCCAATATTGTGATAACTAATGTGCAGTTATATCTAAATTATTGCAAATATTTTGCATAACTATGTTTCCAGAGTTATAAAAGGAGATCACAAGCTTCCTTGAACTGGTCAAAAAATTAGTTTTGAAAACTATCAAGTGTTAAGAGTTGGAAATTGCACAGACTCTTTGAATGCCCTTAGTTTGATGACATTATTAGTTGATGACCATATTGTTGCTGTACAACAGCCATCAACTCACAGGAGTGCAATTATTTGCCATTATTAGTAGTAAATGAATGATACAAAGTGTTGCCATTGGAAGAAATTACACATTATTTTGAAAAAAGGGTATTGGACCTCCAAAACGTGTTTCAGTCTTGTACCATGTTCCTATGATTACTAACTCAGCTTCTACAACTCCCTGTTCCTACGTCAGTAACTGTGGCGTTAGTAACTGTGGCGCCATCAGAATTTGGTGGCGATTCTATTTATAGAACTGGCATTTTTGCTGATACTAAATTTGCCTTTTTCTTCTTGCGTCAAAAAACGTCATCTTTAAATCATTGTTACTGTTATTCATTGTAAACTTTTTTCATTTATGACCATGCATGAAATGGATAATTACATGTCACCGGACAATAGGAGAAACTTTTTTACAGCAAAGAAAGCGATAGAAACATGTTTTTGCTGGTTCCATTACATTTGAACCCACAAACATTTGAACCCATGACAATTGCACCTGTATGCTATTGCACCTATGGATTTTTTTTTGTTTCACGGATAGGTAAACCCATACTAACCCTAACCCATGGGTTTTATCACCCGCATATAGATTGAACCCGTGGATATACGCATGGGTTCAAATGTACGGTCACCGTTTTTGCTTGTCCCGTGTAAAACGTGGTGCAAAGGTGGTCGTGAGGCGCATTATGCACCAAGTTTTAGCGATTCATAAATTGGCCGAAAAACGCTTTTAATAATTTGCGATTCGATTTCCAATATTCGGTTGGCTTGGACAGCCCTCCATATGACTAATTTTGTCACCAGAATTACTTAACATAACTATAATATTTGAATGTAATATAGAACACAGGCCGTGTAAAACATTGTGTAAAATTATTCATTGCTTTCTTCATTTTTAGATAAGCTTCGTGATAGCACAACTAAACCAGTAGATGATGTTGTTCTTGTGCTTGATGACAATGAACCATTAAATACACTACATGGTACGATGCCTACATCTAAAAAAGAAACGGCAACAACTAAAAATATCAATGGTGCTGCTAAGACCACAACAACTGCAGAGAAATCTTTTGTACCAGCGACATCATCAGTCTCTTCGCTGACATCTACCAGCCATAATTCGATAACCACTGATCAACAACAGGCTTTGAAAAAACAGCTGCAAGACGAATCTGAGAAAAAAAAGGTTATTAATGAATTGCTCGCCGGTTTCAAGAAAAATAAAAATCAAAAAAATAAAACGGTAAAATCGAATATAGGCTTGAGCGCTGCCACTGAGACTGCTGGGAAGGAAACATGTATCGGGAAAGACAATCGACCATTTGAGCAGGCTGATGCCAAAGCAGTGACTGATGAATTGAAAGCAGATGTTGATAACGAGGTGCTCTCAAATGCACCTGCCTCTCCTGAAGTAACCATAGTGGCAACATCGACAATAGAAAGTGTCACTGGCAATAGCAAACTAATGAACAAAACGGAGGACCAGATCAATATTGTTAAAGTTATTCCAGCAAGTAACCTAGCAAGCACTGACAAAAGAGAAGAGATGCATGTGTTAATTGATTCACTAAACAATGGTTCGATCATATCAACTAAGGAAAATAATGCTGAGAAATCAATGAAAAGTCCTGATGAAATTAAAGACTCTACTGCAGTATCTGAAGATGTGATCAATATTGTTAAAATTATTCCAGCACGTAACCAAGCATGCACTGACAAAAGAGAAGAGGTGCATGTGTTAACTGATCCACTAAACAATGGTTCGATCACATCAACAGTGGAAAATAATGCTGAGAATAAAACGGAATCTCTTGATGAAATTAAAGATGTTGTGGTAGTTGGTGAACTACCACATACTTTATTATCTGATGATCAGATCAATATTGTTAAAATTATTCCAGCAAGTAATCAAGCACCGACTGTCGGAAGAAAAGAGGTGCATGTGATAACTGATTCACCAAACGTTGTATCGACCGTGCCAGCAGCGGAGAAAGAAACTGGAACTCTTGATGAAATTAAAGATGTTGATGAACTACCGTATACTGCAGTATCTGATGATCAGATTAATATTGTTAAAATTTTTCCAGCAAGTAATCAAGCACCGACTGTCGGAAGTAAAGAGGTGCATGTGATAACTGATTCGCCAAACGTTGTATCGACCATGCCAGCAGTGGAGAAAGAAACTGGAACTCTTGATGAAATTAAAGATGTTGATGAACTACCGTATACTGCAGTATCTGATGATCAGATCAATATCGTTAAAATTTTTCCAGCGAATAACCAAGCATTTACTGTCGAAACTGAAGAGGTGCAGGTGATATCCGATACACAAAACGATGGCTCAATCATTTCAACAGTGGAAAATAATGCAGGCAATAAAATGGAAACCCCTAATGAAAATAAAGATATGAATGAACAACCACATACTGCAATATCTGATAATGCCATTACCTTAACTTTGCATCCAAACAGCAATGTCTCGAAAAATGCGATAGAAATTTGCGATGAAGCCGATCCAGAGTCAATTGAGACATCTGATCTTCCTACAAATCCAGTTTCTTGTGAGACCCCTAATTCTGATGAAACTGAAGAAATTAGCAGTAACAGTGTCAAAGATGACAAAGAAAACATGCAGCCACAGACTGACGATTGCGACTTGGGATTTAATATTGTAAATATTGTTAGCTTGAGTAATCAGTCGAAAGTTGAAACTAACACAACAAACTATGGTGGTGATGAATTAGTGGCAACTGAAAGGAGTGATACAGGATCTGTGAATATTTCGCAAGAGGATATTTTACCCGAAACATCATCATTACTTCCCACAAATTTGGAAGCGTCAAACAATGAAAAGGTAAATAATCAGGATAAAAAAGCAGGAGGCTTGAATGCTAATGATATGATGGAACTTGATGACTGTTCGACAAATTCTGAACTGAAAGACGAGAACATAAGTTCAAAGTCCCCTACATTTTCATTGCCAATTTCACCAGTACCACCAAGCCTAAAGGTGCCTTCTACATCGACTTCTGATGAAGACACCACCGAAACAGAAAGAGCTGATGAAGTTGCTGATTGTGAAGACATCATATTGAATCTGGACGACTCCCCTATTCTACAAACAGAAAATGACAGCACGGATTCAGATAATGAAAGTAATCCCGGACCTGATGAAAGAGAGTTGATGATAGAAAAAAATAATGAGAAAGATGTGGATGAGGTGCAGTCAATTGTAAATCAACAAACTTCAATTTGTGATTCAACTCCTACACTCGATGACATCAAAGATATCATAAATGAAGATCTGTCATGGTTGTAACGTTTATGGTATTTTGATACCTATATTTTCAGAATCATGTACAAGAGCTGATGCTTTTTATTTTGTAAGTAGTTGTTGCTCTGCCGAAAGCTTTTTTCGACGTTGTTCAACATTATGTAACAGAAGCTGTCTTGTATGCCTTTTACACATAATAATTAGAAGGCCTCTAATTTCTGATCGTTGGTTCATTCACTTTCTTGTTTTTATTTGTGTTTGGAGTGTGCTAGAGCTACAGCTATAGTTGTAAATAGGATTATGTGAATTCCGCCTTCAGTTTACTTTGGTAACCTACTATTGGGGTTAGGTATTTGTACCGCTAGATATCACACTAACGTTTGTATCTACTCATTAAACTGCCACTTCTTTTGAATAAATTCTTAATGTATTATTGTAAAGAAAATTTTGTCTCTTCTGGATAATTATTTTTAGCGGAGTTAGTTAAAAGCCAATGGGATTAAACAATCCATACAATGACCGTGTCAACTTATGAGAGGAATCTTGAGTTTTCAAAATTAATGTTTTGCTAGGGGAATCTACCTTTCGGGCACTGCACTATCCTACAAGATAACCATCCAGACTGATGCAAAGGTAGTGCAAGCTGTCCCCCTCAGCAGAGTAACAAAACCTGAGCCTTCAATCTGGCATTCGCTCAGACTGAGACCATTTCAGAATGCTATTGACTTCCCCATCAAATATATCTGAACTGTGGTCCCTATTGTTTTTCTAAACATAACTTAAATGGTGTTTGTTATATAAGTTCTGTGAAGTGAGCCCAAACGATTAATATTTTGTCCATCACCAGTTTAATATTTATGGCCCTCCTGGAGTTTCGTAAAAGTCGTTTTTTTAAATAGTTTGGGAAAATAATGTAGACCTCCCAGGACTCGACAATCTATGCTTCAGCGCCAGACTACACATGTTGGTCATAGAAACACTATCCCAACCAAACTCATAAAATAGGCCGACATGTTCTTTTTCTACACTGCGCCATGTATTATGCAAGAAGATATCAATTTATTCAGTAGAACATAGGCAAATATATAAGTAATGATGAAATAAAAAGTAAGTCAATAAATAACTTTATCACATAGTTCATTTGTTAAATCATAAGTAACTCCTTTCCAAACAAATTTACTAGGTAACTCAACAGTCTGTCCATCACTCAGTGATGTGATTTTCACTGAATCGTCGAATACGAACCCAGAACTAATATCAATAGCAAGTGAAGACTTGATCAAACCTATTCCACCATACCTATCATGACAAATATGGTAAACTCGACCAGTGTGGGGCAGCATGCACAAAGTTGTAGGCTCAAAAGGCAAAGTTAGTTTATCTCCAGCACCACCATAAGAAAGTAGGTATTGTACTCCCCCAGAATCCAGTTCAGTCTTCTCTATAATATGGGTATAAACAATTGGGTAGTCATCACATCTGAAATGAAAATAAAAGTATGACAAGACACCTAAAAAGAAGAAAGACCTGGTGATATTGATGAAAACAAATTCTCACACCGGTGTCAACTGTATTATAGTAAGACACCAATAGCATCTCACTGACCACGTTGGTGAGCTTATCTTAAAATGGTAATAGTCATTTTTGTAAAAGTAAGAAGAGGTGGCAAATAGGTAATTCAATACTGTTTATGTACCTTATAAAATTTCTCTCTCTCCCACACAGTGATAAATAAGGAAATGAGTCCTGGTATCGACCAGTCACATTCCCTTTTATTCGCCTGAAGAAAAATTCCAAAAAAGGTTTGTCTTTGAAACATGTGATAAAATTTTTCACTTTAGTATCATCAAGAAATAATTGACCTTGATGATCAATATAATAAAAGTATTCTCTTATATTTTTTTCTGCATATTGTCCTTGTGTGTACGCTTTGTTTGCTGCAGCATTTGACGAGTAATTGCATCTTATAGCTCCGATTACTGTCAGCTTTCTTATCAAATTTTTGAAACACTGACTAGCAGTGTTAACTCTAAGCAAATTATGAGTGCGAAAGTGCTTCGCAGTCGAAAAAAAAAGTGCGAAAGTGCTTTTGCTGATTTTAACAAGTTAGGTGCCCTAGCCTTTCATATAACCCATTTAAAACCGCATGATACTCGATAAAGCGCTCCTCCGGTTAATATTATGAATTAAAGAGAAGCCTTTTCGTTAACGAGTTCCCTTTAAGCGAATCATGTTTAATTAAAACAAGCGAATTCATCGGCAACGAAATGACATCTGCTAACACCTGCCCGGACAAAACTTTCATGCAATGTATCACAGTGTCAGTTGCTTACTCGCGTAAACAGCAAAGACTTTCACATTTGTTACTCCTTCCATCTAACAGACACGAGGCAGGCTGGAAACCATATTAGTTACAGGGTGGATCGTTTGTACAAATCCCGTGCAAAATAATCCCCCCCCCCCCCCAAATATAAATAGTAATCAACTAATTAGGGTTAGGTGCGCTGGAAATTCAACTTTTCGATTTATCCCTAAACCTAATCTGATAATTATTAATTTGTGATTTTGAACCACTTTGAAAGTCGCCATCCGCTGTTTTAAAAGATAAGTTAACCTACTTTCCCTCCGTAATATTACGCATATACTCCCCTGTTTTAGGAGATAGGTTGACCTACTTTCCTTTCAAACCTTTTTCTCCGAAATATTACACAAGATCACTTTGAAAACCCTCCCGTTTCGTGAGCTAGCGTGACCTAATTCCTCATTTACATTTATATTATACTATTTCAGAGCTTACCCAAAGACAAGTAATTTTTAAATGTCGACATGCCTTGGTTTGTGTGCGAGTTAGTTTAAATCGGGCAGAAAACTTAATATTTTGGCAAAATGTTTAGTAATGTCATGTACTTTCAGCATTCATAAATAGCACTCTTTGTAATGCTGCTGACCTAGTATCAAATATTCGCATCACAACGCCACTTGCGAGGTTTCCATATATTTCAATTACACTAATAGGAACGATGACACCAAAGAGTTTTCTTTTGCGAAGGTACACTAAATATAACCAGGGTGATTCTTGAGAAAAACATGAATATGAAAAATAAATGAATGATATGATAGTGGATCCCAAATAATTTTGAGAGTGTCTCGAAATACCAATCCATTTGATAAATAATTTTCATTCGACCACATGAACGCTGATATCCTGAAAATTAATGTTGAAAGAGAATTCCGCATTCTCAGATATCGGACATCCAGTCGCGATATTCAATCGTTCATATGCACAAATCTCACATTAATAGTAATTGCTACCCAAGTTTGTAAAGTTTAGAAACCAACAAACAGAAAATAACTTATCCTAAAACACAATTAAAATTCAGTCGGCAATAAATTCGTCGCCAAGACGATGCCATACAAAACAAAAAAGATTTGGTCGCGAGAGTTACGTGAGATGACTGCCGTTGTTTTTTAAGCAGAATGTAAAAAAAATTATAATTAATAAACGGGAGTTACGACGCCCTTTACACATCGTGTGTATTAAACTTCCCTGGTAAGTACTATTATTATTGTACTTATACACCTGTTGGAGTATTTCGGAAAATTTCGAATTTAAAATAAATGAAAACCCGACATATAATAAAGACGCAAAAGTAAAATGAACATTTATTGAAAAAGTTATTATTTAAGAAAGACAACATGATCGTACAATTCCGCCAAAATCTCGATGTTCGCAAGTGAGATGATAAATAAATACTTCCCTGTATTCGATCAATTAACTTTAGCGTATCGTTGTTCTGCCAACAAACAGCCGGGTGCAAATAATTTCCGTCCTGAGATATGCTCACAAATATTCTCGATATTAATATCATACCCTCGCGTATGTACTTTCTATTAGCTCTGTAGTGATCCCTTTCATCCTTGGCCAAGTCATGTTTCGAATATGTGAACATTTTATTCGACCATACGTGGCTGGCGGGATGTTAAAATTGTAAACAAGAGAGAGGTAAAATCAATCGCGAATTTCGTTATAACGGCTCGTTTATGAATTGTTGCGCCTGTTATCGTCGAAAATGATTACATTTGTTGTATTTTGAGGCATTTAAGCAGTAATAATTAGGGCATGACATCATCAAAATCGTCAAGTGAGATCTTGAAATTGCAAATTCCGTAAATAAAATTGTGAAATATTCGGTAACGAAATCAGCTTTAATGACCGTCGGGGTATTGTTTCTTGAAAATTATTATTAATGTGAGAGCGCCAAAAACATACAGTCCATACCGATGCGACTGCAATTTATATGGTCGCAATTGGTCTGGCGCGTTTATTAATAGTGTAAAATAAATTAAACGAATATCAATTACAACCAAGCCTGTCAGCGTGTTTATTTTCTGTTGGCAGGAATCGTAAAATACCATCTTGAGACAAATTCACTTCTATTATAAAATCTTAATTTTCAGTTATTATCGTTATACAAATAACGTGTGGCAACTTTTTAATTTATCGTCGACCAAAAAACCGCCCCACACTCGTCCAAACGCAGCTTGAACGACAGGAACAGATTCATCGACGACCTTAATTAGGGAAAAATATGTATTTTATTGGGAATGCAAAATAAATGTAACAAAAGGCATTTTTTTGTGATATAACTTTGTATTTTCGGAAACGGGTTGCCGTGAAAGGTAAAATTTGATCTAAATTTATCGCAAAAATGTTTTATTTTAAAAGTAACAAAACACATTTTTCGAGATACAACTGTATTTTCGGATACCGGGTGTCATGAAGAGTAAAATATGATCTGAATTAACCGTAAATAATGATTCATTCCAAATGTATCATAACGCATTTTTTGCGATATAACTTTGTATTTTCGAAAACGGGGCGTCACGAAAATTATTAATCTAATGTTTTATCTATCGTCTAACTAACGTCTGGAACACATCATTTTCGGGGAGAACTCTAGCCCGCGAAACGTCATTTAATTTAAATGAGAGAATGTTTCACGCATTTCAAAACGGAAAATCACCAGTAAGTGGACAGGGATTCAACCCTCCGGAATCAGTATTCTATATCCTCCCTGTCAGAACTTTCTGAAGAATGGAACAAAGAACCCGTCAAACCGCCGCCGAAGGAGGGGAGTATTTTTTGCACTAATAATTAGGGCTGACAATATCAAAATCGTCAAGAAACTGGTGAATTTGCAAATTCCATAAATAAAATTGTGAATTGCTCGGTAAAATTTTAGCTATAATTATCGCCGGGGTATCGTTTTGTCGAAAACACGTTGAAACTTGAGGGAATTAGTTACAATTAGCGCCTGACCTCTATTAGGCACTCCAGCACTCGAAAAAAAAGCACTCGAGCCCAATCTTTTTAGCATTAAGTCGCATACGTAAAATATCCTGTAAAAGAAGTGCTGTTCATTAACGTCATCTCGTCTTATGACCACGCAGAAATGCCTTTATTGCCGAATTATTCAATCACTATTTTAAATCAACATTCAGGATTGGCACAATTTCAGATTTGCGAAGTTTATCACCATAGAAATACATGAGAAAGTTAATTATCGTCTTGAAAAATATCTGCATCACGGTATGGACAATAATATTACCATTCGCATAAAATTGGGACAGTAAATTTACAAATCTTGATAGGTAATATTAAAGCCAACGCAAATGTTAATTTGAGTCCTCAATGTCTTCAACAGCTGTTGCCGATGTGAACGAACGGGTAAACCCGAAATATAAAACTTCGATGTCCGCCGACCCACAAGAATTCATATTTGTAAAAAAGAGAGGGCGGGAATATAGATTACCCAAAACCTGGATATCGCCGCCAAAACGATCGGTGACAAGAACAATTAGCGATTACAACGGAATTAACCAGTAAAAAGGCTTTGTTGCCGATTTTTTAATGTTTCCACCACGTTTATTCGGTACTCCTTAAAAATATTCGATTCAAAAATATTGAATTTTGCCCACCCGTCCTCGCATATCAATGAGAAATAGTTGTGTAAATATTGCAAAATTACGGAAAATGCCACTCCTTTCAACATTGTGATTACAATAAAATGGCACTTAATGGTATTTTGTGAATTTGGTGCTTTTGCAAATCTGTGACATGCTGCTAAAAGAAATTTTGAGATTTGAAAATCATGCAGTTTGGTCACAATTCATCCAAAGTGACTATAACACATAACACTTTTATGGTCATTTTGAATTCATCGATATCATTGATAGTCACATGACCACTCTCCTCAAAGAAACGCACTGCTTATTATTCCAACATCTGGTTTCAATCACCCAGGAGCGTTTTTTGCGGGAGAAGCGGAATCGGTGTGCTTGTATAATAATCATATTATAAACAAGAATTTTGCCGTTAATGCAAAAGCTTTATCTCCTATGTCTGCATCTCATAGGTTAGAATTCCGGTAAATATCGTTATGATATGCAGAATTGAGTTACAAAAGTACTAGTATGTTACTTATTTGTCAACTTAATACTCGAAAATATTTGTTAACTTTGAATTTTTATCCCATTCAAAATTGGAAAAAAGTGCTATTTCTCTTCAAAATCGGAAAAAAGTGCTATTTCGCAGTCCCTAAAAAAAGTTGCGAAAGTGCTTCGCAATTTTCGCAAAAAAGTGCGCTAATAGTGAACACTGCTGACTAGAATAATTTGTAAGACAAGAAACCATTTTAAACTTTAAAGTTCACATCACTTTATGCTATCAAAGAAATATATTATGAATAAAAGATACATTTACTAACAATGAAAGTGAAAAATTGCTTTGAAGAATAATGCACCAATGGGAAATTTGATAAATCTCAAGATAAATGTTATTCTCGGTAAGTATGAGGGAACATAACGTATATCCTCACCTCGCACATAAGCTGAGTTTAAAACTCGAAAAAAATAGCCAAACTGAGGAGTCGGCTCAAATGCGCATAAATGCGATGATCACACTAATTCTCTTCTTCAACCATTTGCTGTGATAGGTGCATATGACGTTACGTTTGTTAGGGTGTTACTGTTACGTTTCGTAGGGTCGATAGGCAATTTTTATAAATTCACCGTTTTCAGGGGGTCGGCCTATATGCGAGGATATAAGTACACACATTCCTTGGTAATGATTGTTATTGGTGCTAATTTGGGGCCAAAAAGATTCTAACTCTATGTCATCTTATATTAAAACCATGTGGTTGTAGCAATAACAAATTCAGGAAAACAAGTTATGTAACAAAATTCTCACAATAAAAATATGCAGTATTGAAAGTAAACTAAAATTGCAAAGTCATTACGAAACATATTTTTGATATGTAGTTGGGACTCTTGTCTAAATATGAAACAGTTTCGAGCAGGCCAGTTATGCAATAATGCATATTTTTACATACATATTCGTGATAAAAAATAATAAGTGCAAGAAAATAATATTATTACTTTATTATAATAAATAAACGAAAACATGAAACGAAACTTACTATAGCAGCCAGGAAATAATCAATGTCAAACACAGCTTGCCAAGAATAGCAATGCACGAAGCAAAATTATCATATGAATTTGGATACATGACATTCGAATGCTTTTTAATTAAAAATCATATTATTTTTACCATGTGACACCAGATATGTGAAAAATGAATGGATTTAATTATGGAATTATGGCCCATTCAAAACTATGGCAGAATTCAAACTCTGCAAAGTGTAAAAAATAAAATTCCATTTTAGACAACCAGTTTCGAAAGGAAATAAGCCCCATTTTTTCCATTAAGAATTCAACCATAATAACCCAACTGAGATGTGTTTACTGCACAAAAATTTGGTATCAAAGAAAGTTCGAATTTCATATCAGAATGTCAGAAATGATAATTATATTATGATGATAAATCACATTTTGAACATTTTCACCAAAACGTCTGAATCGTGATTTAGTTGCTTATTTAAACAGACAGATATTGATCAGAAGATTCCAATTAAACAATCAATGATCCTATTCAACCATGTTTGGGGACATGATGGCAATACTGATGATATGTTATTTAATATGGTTCATATTTGACCAATAATATGAAATTAAAATATAAATAGCCAATTTACTGACTGTATATAACTATTTATGGATGTTCTGAATCCCAATCCCAGCTGTCTCCATGAAAGGATATAAATATTAGAATTCTAGAATTGAAGATTATTTAAAATTACAATGAATATGGTTCACAATTAGCTGATTTCTACCAAATCAATCTATAATGAGAACAACTTGACGTATTAACTTGACTCAATTTGTTATAACTTATAAACAAAGGTGGCGGGAGGTTCATTTTCCCTGAAACATTTTTTATTGTTTACCACAACACAAAAAATTGATCTTTGCCAGTTATTGAAATTGTAGATATCTCCCACACTCAAAAGTGACAGATTAAATTGTTTAGTTTTTGTATATCCTGCAGAATTCACAAATGAGTAACGAGCCAAATGATCATGTTCAAAATTATACTCTCCCAATAAACAAAATGTACATTATAAACTGAATTTTCAGTTTTTCCACAATTTGTCTGAATCATTTGCGTTCAACTCAATCTTCAACTAAGTATTTGAATGACTATCATGTGTAGTCCAGTCACCATAAAAAAATTGCACAAACAACAATCGTAACATTCTGTCTAACCTCGTCAAATCCCCATCCTTAGCCATTGATTGGCCAATTGCTACCAGACTTGTCATTATTAACAATATGATAAGAATTTCAACATCGAATGGTAACAGTTAAAAATTTTAATGCACCCCTGTAATATTCACTGTGAAGCAAGTATGTGTTGAATCTTATCTTCTTGCGCTTTTCTGGTCGCAGCAATAGTTTTAGATTTGACAAATTCTTTTGTAAAGTCATTTACATCCATATCTCCATCTAAAAAATTTTCTACCATCTTTTCTGTTTTTTCTTCTTGTTCAGCAGTTGAGACTTGAATTCTGAGTGAAATATTATTTAAAGACATCCATTCTGAAGCTTCCATAAATTTTTTGACATTGCCATCATATTCTTCTTTCATTTTTTGACATTTATCAAAACTTTTGACTAAATTTTCTCTACATTTCTCAAGGTCTGCAGACCTAGATAAATTGTCCTTTGCAATTTTTTCAATTCGTTTTGAGATTTCTTCTCTTTCATCATGAATCGCTTTCGACATTTCAGTGCTGTGAAACACACCTAGGAGTTGGATTTCATCTTCATCGAGGTCTTTTAGTTCCTCAAGTGACAGATTATCCAGTTCAGGTATGACATCGGGCAACTTTGGACCATTGTAAACTGATGTTGATTTTGTGCTATCATTCGAATTACTATTCATCTGAGTAACTTCGGATAATTGTGCAATGTAATCTTCTGACATTTCATTATCTATTTGATATCCTTGGACTAGCAACGGAATTGGACGATTTTTTTCAAATTCATTTATCAGTCGTTTCACAACGGAAGACAAATCTGGTTTGCTCTTGAAGTTGTCTAATGGTGGAAAACTAACTACAACTTGCGCTGCATCTAGATATTTGTGTGAGCATGGAGGATGAACGAACAACATGGGTGCCTCTGATGGAAATGCAGGTGGCAAATCAATAATAATAGTATAAGCATATTGCTCATTCTCATGCTTCAATATAAAATCAACCTGATATTGAACATCCCTCTGTATCATGGTTACATTTAGTTTTAATTGTTTCAGTTTTTCAATTTGTTTTCTCCTGATTTTTTGTGTTTGAGCAATCTGACTGGCAACATTTGAAGAAGTTGTCTTCGGCATCTCGAGATTTTATAATTGAATAACAATTATAAAGCAATATTATTTATATCCACTGAAATATAACATTCTATTAAAAGTTAGGCTCTCATAAAGTCATATCCATATACAAATAAATGAAATAATGAACCTGCAGTGACCAAATTTCTACATTTACCAGACAAAAGCAAAACGAGATGCAACCAAAACAAACCACACACTTTATATATACCGTATAAGCTATTTATAAAAAGCTAAATGAAATGGTTATTCAGTTATTATAGCTTTCGTAACAAATTGTCAATGATTCTGTGATCTTTTTTTTTTAAATTAGAAGGCAATAAATAGTGCATGTACACGAAAATCTACCCTAAAAATTACTTCACCGTGAACCAGTTGTGCATCATATTTTAATAATAAAAAAATTTAGAAACAAAAAGGCAGGATAAAAGTTATTGAATTGATTGTTAGGACTAAAATATTTCTGTATTTCCTATCAACTGGAGGTATGCCATATAATTATCAGAATAATATTATAACAATAGACTATTATGAAATATTATCCTGTGATAAAAAAACACGAGCTAACAAAACAATGTCAATATATATCAGCTGTGATTTATCTCATATCTGCATATGCAGAATTTGTATCCAAAACTTGGTTTTTGGTGCTGGAATTTGAGGAAGGACTCAAAGTAGAAAACCTAAATACTATTTCACATCAGAAACATATTTTTTCATGTTAATTGTAGTTTGGTTCATGGCGATCAGCTCGTCGTCATGCTATTCTGAAATCAGACCATAGGCATATACTGATGTTTTTACTGCAAATGCTATAGTAACTTTTGTAGGACGTGCTAGGTGTTGAAAAAGTTATGTTGGCTGCTAGGTTTTACAATTTAGTTGGCAGGACTGAGAATACCTAACTGGTTTATCGTCATTAGGTAAATTAAGGATTACATATTACTTTTTACCGTTGACTGTTATTCATAGCAATGCTTTTTTCCAATAGAAGTTCTAACAAAATTATTTTGCGCTTGGATTTATCACTTCAATCTTTTTTTTTTCTGCACCACCTCATATGAGTGGGATATAACCAGACAATTACAATATTAAATTAAAAAAGTATTGTAAAATAAAATAATGGTATGAATATTCAAACCAGTTTTGTTCCCATGTTTCGGTTCACTTATCGTTAATCCATTTCATTCGTTCATGTAGATGATTTCATTTTGTTTTCATACAATACAATCACTTCAATCTTGAATTCATAACATCACAGGGCTTGAATTTTAGAGAAAACACTTTAACCATTAACCGGTCAAAATTACCTGCAGCATGACGTTTAATAAGCTATTATTTACGCCCTGGCGCTTCTTCTCTTTTAAAAAAAACGATTCCGGTATAAATGCCATTTATGTGACTAAACTTTCAGTGTCAAACTTCTACTTTGAGATATTATAAAGAAAGACAGCATCAACTGCGATTAGGAGCTACTACCGGTACCGGTACCACTGTCAAATATGCACGACTTGATACCGGTACGAGTGTATATTCTGACATTCAACACGACATGGGATCTTGCTTATTCAAAGCGTTTGTAACTATTTTCCGAAAATGTGCATATGCTAATATCTAATATTATTGCTGTGAAGGAATGCATATTTTTGAAAGGCATTGGATAAACGATATTGCAATATAATCGTGAACAATAAATTCCGACCGGAAACGGTCGGAACGGGTCGGTCGGTCGGGTGAGCGAACACGCACTACTTCTTTTATCAATACCTTTCCATCTAAAATCTGTACGTTTCAAACCTTACTCTAGGTTTTGTTCGCTTTCCCGATTCTATAATCAGTTACTTTTACTTTTGTTTTTATCTATTTTTTTATCGTCTATTGCTGATTATGGAGTCGAAATAAACTTATACTTATACTTAATTCTGAACTTATCATTATCATCATGAATTTCCATAATCAGCAATATCTAAATTTAAATACTCTTGACGGCTAACAATAGAAATTAATTATAGATATTTCATTCGCAGTGCCTAATATTCAAACAATTTAGCATGACAGTAATTTGATAAAACGGCCATTGTCATTTTAATGTGGTTCAGCAAATGTAAATTCCCTTCAAATGTAGCGATCAGCAGATAGCTGCGGTCCCATCACCGCATTTTTGTGAGGACCAGATTCGGGTTTTATTTTTTCTTTCCCTACGGTAGATTTTTTTTTATCTTTTGTTATTTACAAGATAATTTAATTTACTATATATTATAATAGGTTAATTTAATTGTGAACAAATTATTAGAATACTTTCAATTAACTGTTGAATTTCGTCATAAAATATCATTATCGGGGAATATTCATATCCGTCGATAAAGCCAGATTCGGGTATTTTAAAATCTTTCCCTGCGGTAGAATTTTTTTATTTTCTTAATATTCGCAAGATAATTTACTATATATTATATTAAGTTAATTTCATGGTGGTCAAATTATTAGAATATTTCCAATCAATTGTTGAATTTTGACATAAAATATTATTATTGGGAAATTATCATATCGGTCGATAGAGCACGATCGTAAATATATACTACCATATTTACGATACTACTACGGCACGATTCATTTTATTTTTTCGAAGTTTTCTTCCACGGTACAATTTTTTTATTTTTTGTCATTAGCAAGATAATTTGCTTTATATTATAATAAGTTACTTTCATGTTGAACAAATTATTAAAATATTTTTTCTAATCAACTGTTGAATTTCGACATAAAATATCATTATCAGGAAATATTCATATCGGCCGAGAGAGCTTGATTGGAAGAGCTTTATTTTAAAGTCTTCCCTAGAATAGAATTTCTTTGTTAGATAATTCACTATATATTATGATTATTCAATTTCATGATGGATAATTCGATAAATCATTTTTGATTAACTATTGAATTTACACGTCAAAAACCATCAAATGTGTCTCGGTGGTTAAATGTTATTAATTTGCCTATGAATTCATGTTTATTTTTCGTTTTAAAAGATGTATACCGGTATGTGTAAATCATTTATGGTTTGTTTATACCTATTTTTTGTTATTCATGAAAACGAACAGGTGTGATATTTGGCTTATATTTCAATTTTTCTGTTACGAGACCCTGTATGGACCTTTCCCCGACCTTTGACCCCCGAAAAATTCTTCCTATACTTTACCATTGCAAAATTTTCGTGGCTATTTTAAAAGTGCTTTTGCGATTTAGCGCCTGAGAAATAATTATGTGTTTCAAACCATCATTATGATTCATCGCATACAACAATCTGCTTTTCCGAAAGTACCGGTGAAGAATTTTAGCCTAGTCTATCACAGCTATTTCTACACTAATTTTTACTACTGCAATTTAATAAAAACTCCTAGGAAGACCTAGTGATCATTGAATTATCTGATTTACATTTAAGTTTCCGAAACACAACCGAAAACTAACGAATAGAGTTCTCTAACGCGAAAATGAGGTAATGTTTACGATTACGCTTGAAAATCTGTCTGAGTGAGAAAAGTGTCTGAGCGAATGCGAAAAGGGAGCATTGTTACGTCACTTTTTGCATCTTGTTGATTGGCCAATATCACGGAGTAAACAAGGAAGTCGATGATCGGGGAAAGGTCCATGGAATAAACTTTTCCCCGAGCATCGACTTTCATGTTTACTTCTTGACATTGGCCAATCAGCAAGATGCAAACAGTGACGTAACAATGCTCCTTTTTCGCATCCACTCAGAAGCTTTTCTCACTCAGACAGGTTTTCAGGCGTGGTCGTGAACAATGAACATTACCTCGTTTTCGTGTTTTTGAACTCTATTCGTTAGTTTTCAGTTGTGTTTCGGAAATTTAAATATAAATCAGATAATTCAATGATCACTCTGTCTTCCTAGGAGTTTTAATTTGATTGCAGTAATATAAAACTAGTGTGAAAATATCTGTGATAGACTAGGCAAAAATTCTTTACCGGTATATTTAAAAAACAGGTTGTTGTATGCGATGAATCATAATGATGGTTTGAAACACATACCCCATTTTACGGACGCCAACTCGAGAAACCACTCTTAAAAAAAACAAGCCCAGAAAATTTTGCAATGGTAAAGTATAGGAAGAAATCTTCGGGGGTCAAAAGTCAGGGAATGGTCCGTTCCCTGCTTGTTTACCCGCATATCTGGCATCATCAAATGGAAATATTATTGTACAGCTGAATTTGATTGATTCATGTTTTCTCCCGGGTACCGGTACATGTGAACTAGGCTACAATTGATACCGGTATAGTCTAAAGTTACTTTTCAACATGAGTCTTGGAAAATATGGTGGATTTCATGTTACATTTGTTCGACATGGTGAAACAGACTTAAACAAAAACAAAATTGTTCAAGGACAGGGTGTGAATGCTGTGTTGAATGAAAAAGGACAGGCACAGGCACGAGCTTTAGGAGAATATCTTACTCATGAAGTTTATTCACATGTGTATTCGAGTGATCTCCTTCGTGCAAAAGAAACATGTGAAATAATACTTTCACAAAATGACCTTAAATCAATCTCAGAATGCCTCATTTTTGATGAAAGAATTCGAGAACGAAATTATGGAGAAGCAGAAGGATTTTCAAAAGAAGCTTATGAAGCAATGATCAAGTCGGGGAAAGAAAAACCTGATGGAGCAGAATCTTTAAGTGAAGTTGCAGCAAGAGCAGTGTTATTTTTTAATGAGTTGTGCGATATGGTATATAATTTGAAAGCTGAATCTATTCCAAATATACTTGTTGTGTCACATGGCAGATTACTTGCAACACTAATAACTGAGTTTTCAGAAAAATTTGGCTGCTCTTTTCCACCTGGAAAACTGGGTGTGGTCGGGGGTAATACATCTCGTACATGCTTCAAAGTACAATTCCATAAAGACTATGGAATTAGTAATTGCCAAAAACCATTTTCGAAAAGAATACAAATGCATTGTACTGCGTTGAATAACAGCGACCATCTGAGTGAAAACCAAATCAATTCAGACAATGACATAGATGCAAAAAACTAATGCTTGTATATCATTAAGTTGAATTAATAAGTTAGTACAAGTCTATTTATAATACACTTCAATTATCTGCATCTTTACAATTGAGCACATTTTGTACATTTCCTCATTATCACAGAGTGCAATTTAGTCCAAATATGTTTATTTGTTTTAAATTATTTGCTCCTCTTCTTTTCAATATATATTTAGGAAATGCAGAATGCACTTATTTTTATAATCATGCCACCGAGACTAAATTAAATTGCAATCTCAACAAATTCCTTGAGCTGTTTTTCAGCTAAAACATCAAAATTTGGTTTTAGTTTGGCTGTGGCAGCATCATGCTGTCCTGATTGAATTACTGAACAGGTCAGATTTGGCCTGCAGGTTGTAATTTGTCTATGTCAGCCTTACACATAATAAGATGTGTTTAAAAAACTCCTCCTGTAAGACTGGTAGAAGGTTATTTTAATTGAAGATTTGTGAAATATGCAGCCTGTTTGTTATTCAGCTGTTTGCCACCAGTAAAAAAAACCTCAAATTTAACTTATGCCCCACTTACACGCAGCACACTTTAGGCGGCTGTTGGAAAAAATCATCTTAATTCCTACTAAAATGTCCGGGATAGGAATTTTTTTTATATATGCTTTATCTGTGATCGTTTGCATGAAGATTATGATTTCCTTTACTGCACTATTCAGTTTTAGATATCAATAATATTTCGCCACTGACAATCAGTAGGAAGTAATCAGTTATGAATTTTATTATTTATTGGATATTATACTAATAAATGGATATTATATTGTCATAATCATAGAAACAAAGTGTGTTAGTCACTCATACTGACAGTTACGGTAACTCTTTATAGCCTGGGCTTACGTTGTTATATTTATAGACAATATGATGGATATTAATCAATCGTATCTATGACTAGATTTTCCATTATACCTAAGCTACCAAAAGTAATTTATAGGACAATTAATGACAACATATCTGTTTCAAAATTTCTATATATTTTGATGTCATTTAACATAACGGTGTGGTGTTATTTTTTATTTCAAACGGTTTAAGAAATATTGTGATTAGTGCAATCATTGGATTTAAACGGTTACAAAAACTTTAATCCTCTTTATATACTCTATATATGCACACGAACTTGTAATAGCTTATATCACTAATTTTAACTAGAATAGAAGTAGATAATATGGGTGTCAATGGCTGGCAAAACAGACTGGACTTGCTAATTAATCCTGTTGAGTTTGTTACTGAAACTGGTTCAGATGATACAGAGGGTGCAAAAAAGTTGAAAGAATCATCTAAATGCTCGTTAACTGGTGACGAAGCTAAAAAACTATACGAAGATATCATCAATGAACCTCTTGTCAAAGTTAAGAAGAAATCCATTGCTAAACACCGGTGTAAAAAGGAGAGGAAAGAAAAACAATTGGTTCACTTGAATGATCAAGTCGAACAACTCACTGTGAATGACATGTTCAAAGCTGCCCAATGTGGGGATATAACATCTGTTAAAGCTTGTATTTTGAAACACAAGTTGGACATAAATGCAACTGACCAGTACTCATGGACTCCTTTGATGATGGCAGCACATGAAGGTCATATGCATGTGGTGACGTTTCTTTTAACGGAAGGAGCTAATTGGAAAGATAAGGTAGGTAGGGTCTATCAATATTTCACAATAATTAACAATAACAGTGACGTATCACTCGACTAAAATTGAGTCTCTCAATTTTCATATACCATGGAAAAAGGTCATTTGGGCCATTCCAAGCAACTGTTGAATTTCATCAATTTTTTAAAAGCGTAGTGAAAATAATTGTTTCGTATTTTTTATATCTAAAGACAATTGAATTTTATTGGACTGCTTTCATTTCACAGAAAAGTTAAAATCTCACCTAGGTTTTTGATGATTCACACAAAGTGGCCCAAAATGTAGAAATTTAAATGACAAGTTTTGTGATGGATCTTAACATGAAGTGTTTGATAGTCTGGTATAATTATTCCTTTTCATATGAATGCACTGGACTTATGTTAATGACGTTCAAGTTTTTGCAGTGCTGTAGGTGTAAAACATGTGTTCACCTATTTAGCTATTTACTACCATAATTTTAAGAGAGGATTTAGGTCCGCTGTCCCAAGTGAAAAATTGTCCCGTAGTGTCACGTACAATGTGCACATTATCATCATAAATCTACAGTGTTACATTGAGTAACTTAAGTGGCTTCAGTTACTGTACCAAAATATTGAGGGCTCCTGCTGTACCATTGCAACAATTTACAACAAAACACAATGAACTGTTGAAATATGGTGGATTTGCCGTCCCGTAGTGTCACGCTAATATTTTATATCCACCAAGTAAGTCTTGTGTGTAACTTTTGTGTAATTTTGTTTAAATCCCATACAGCAACTGATTGAACAATGAAACAAAACATGTAGCTGGCAGTGTAAAAATATATTGCATACCACAACATGCAAAATTTCTGGAATTGTTCTGTAGAGTTACTTGGAATAGCCCATTTAATGAGTGGGTCCTCAATGCACAACTTTCAAGGACTTGATTATTAACAATAGGTTGTGTTGTTAATCTGTCTAATTTTTCTCCAAATTTGGTCACCTTCTAATTCCAAATAATCAAGATCTAAAGATAAAACTAGCTAGTTAAGTATTACATACTTAAGTTAGTAGTACAGGGGAAAGAATACATGAGTTTCCGAAATGATAACCTTTAATAAGTATTACAGTAACTATGAAATCATCATCTTCTTGTTGCAGGTTGATGCAAGTGGATATGACGCACGAGATTTAGCATGTTTGGGTGGACATGGGGATATGGCGCATATTTTCACAAATTCAAGGATGTATATTCAAAAAATCAAGGTTGAGAGATGTAGAGAAAAGGTTCTGAAAACCATCAAACGTGAAAAGCTATGGTGTGAAGTTTGCAAATGCCATTACTATGCAACAGATGGCGAAACTGAGCATAGTTCACACAATTCATCGACTCTTCATCTGTTTAATGACAAGGATTCATCTCAACCTCATTCTTCTCATTTTTATATCTCTGTTGCAAATAAAGGCTATCAATTGATGCAGAGAGATGGTTGGGATGGTGAGAGTGGACTCGGACCTGGAGGATCTGGTACTAAATATCCAGTCAAGACAGTCTTAAAACGAGACCGACTAGGATTTGGTGCTGAAAATAGCGAAGCAAAATCAAAAGTCACACATTTTGGGGCAAATGATAAAAATGCAGTTAAGAGACACCATGAGGAAATGAACAAAAAAAAACACAAAGGGACATCTTTCAATTCTAAGACTAAAAGGAAAAAAGATATGTCTAGGAGAGAAGCTTTAGAAAAAGAAAAGGAGGTAAATTTCCGAAGACTGTTTCATTAAAGTTGAAGCTAAATTATTATTCTTTATGCTCTGAGCCTCGGACCATGGTTTGGTGTTTTCATATTTTTGTAACCATTCTCATTTTTAATGATAAGACGTCTTTTTTGAATTATTTGTCAGTCTTGTTTTATTTCACATTGCTATTTCAATACTGAAATCACTTGGGCTAATTGAAAAGACCCCACTGTTTTTTTAATATGCATATACAGTGGCCTTTATGAAGTTTTTTTCTTCCTGTTAAACATATTACAATGAATCAAGAAAAAATTATGCTTGGTACAATCATGTTTGTAAGGGAAATGTGTGTTCGGGTGTCTCCTTATCTATGTTATTTAGTAGGCATCAGATGACTAATATTAATATAAAAATTAGGTTCTAAAGAAAATAATACGTTATAAAACCGTTGGTACATATACATCATATAGGCCCTCTGACTGATTTGATCCGTGGAATATAATAGTATCCGCTCTAATTCATTTCACATGCTATGAAATTATATAAATGTTTACATAAAACCCTACGTTCATCGCACTAATCGACGCGTATCTGTCGTTAGCTACTCTGAAATAGGACGGACACATTGCTATTACTTCGGATACTGTCTGAGATAGGTATGTAAGTGAGAATTTTGTTGCCACTGGGTGCTGCTTCACGTAAACACTGATCGGCCCGCTTATCGTGACGTGACCGTCTGAACTGCTTAGCTAACCTGCCGAGGGCATGAGGCTGCAAATTGAACCTGGTCAAGGTCAGACGAGGTAATTAAATATTTGCGTTTTGATATCTTCGGGGAAGTATATTCTAGTCAGATGGCGTTGTGACTGACTTGTCACAGAATACGAGGCACTCTATTTGCAGACTTTCCCGCTGATTAGAAGTACCGATATTAATCTCGAGAGTACCGTACACAAAAAGTCATATATTTTAAAATAAATTGAGCTAACTCAGATGCGTACGTATTGCGACATTCTCCAATATATACCGTATATTAAAGCGATTAAGGAATGTCAAACAAACTTACGTGCCCTGTATTCTCACCTACGAACCCACGCAAGGTCATCAGAGGTGCGGTGGCGAGCGTACTCCTATTGCTTAGCCTTAGCACCATGTGCCACACCGCCTAGCAAACAAATTCCCCGCTGATTAGAAGTATGGATCACAAGAGTACACAAAGAGTATTATATTTTGGAATAAATTGAGCTAACTCCGATGTGTATATTTTCCGACATACCTCAATTTGCCTATATATTAAAGTGATTCATGACTGCTGAACAAACCTATATTCTCGAGTATATACCTAGTATTCCCTTGCAAGTAGGACATGTGTGCACAACATCTTTGGTTTCGTCGAACAGACATGGAAGCCATGCTAGTAGTCCACATCCCGTCAGGCACAACACGCCTGCAACGAGCCAGGTAAATCCTCCGATTTCATGATGCGTCGCTGTTAAAACTTCATTACCACAAAGAGTACAGGTGCACTGTATGGGAAGATGAGAAAACGCTTGAAGTTGGTATACGACACCTTGCGCAGCTGGTCTTGTTACAAAACGAGTATCCCCAGTGTTCTGAGGAAACTGGTAATTATTAGATGGATCATTAAATTTTGATCCCTCAACAATGCTGGAGTAAGGTGGAGGATTCTGAAACATCTCCCTTAGAGTTGCAAATATCCTTTATCGAGGTAGTTTAGTACAGTACAATAATATCTTGACGTCCTCAGTTAACCGATAGTAAAGACTCGGCGATAAAAGGGAAAGCCCCTGCATCGCTGAATACATCGATAGCATTGGTGATGTCACAAAGTATCACTAAGGTCTGTGCACATTTAATAGCCAGGGACTGATGCGCTAAGATCTAGGACAGTGGTTCCCAAACTTTTCAAAAAAATATTCCATGGCGGTCCTCTTGCAATTTTTTAATGATTTATGGCCTCAACAAAACATTGAAAGATTACAACAAAGAATCAATGCGCGGTATAATGAAAACATTATAACGAAGAAAAATATATAACAAAGTTTAATGGGATGGGTGCACTTGTCTAGTTGTAAAGCAGCATTCAGAAGCGAACTGGCATAACTACACTGCCTACTGTAACTCCCCCCTATCCCAACAAACATGCAAAAGGCAGCGTCAGCTACACCTCTGCAGGCTCTGCATCACAGGCTCACAGCTTTGTGACATCACAATGGGGTAGCGTGGTCAAAACTGAAGGTAAAAAATAAGTGTCTTCAATAAGGATGCTAAGTATGACTACGTACAAGTATTTGATTCCCATCCGATCCCTAAATTTTCGATTCCGCTTCTCGACTCCGAATCTCGATTTTTCGACATATCTTGCTGAGAAAACATATCCACTTAAACAATAATATATGAAATGAAAGTATGAAACACGAGAGCTATGTTCAAATATGTGGAAGAACAAGAAGGCCAAAACTAAGTAGGATGGGTATTCAATCTGTCACAGTAGACAAAATGAATTTTCGTGTTGGAAACAGAAAAGTTGAGAAGTTTTTTGGGCACGAAATGGACCTATTGCATTATTTATTAGAGAATGTTGACATTGAAAAAAGTTGAATCAACTTTTTTGACTGCTGTTTGCTGGAGAGCCTAAATTTACCCATTAGCCACGCCAAGTTTCTAGAATCTAGAGTGATATGGCATAGAATGACTGACTGGCTTCTGTACGTGCCGGTAAATATTTTATAGGACACGAAATGTACATATGAATCGTTTTGTTGGTATGCTGTTCTTGTTCTTTACCGTCTTAAGAATATTACTTGTTCTGCACGAAATGCATTCATTGCGAAGTGCCTATAATACATAACAATAAAAAAAAATTCTTCTTAGTATTTTTCTTCAGCTTTTCTTTTTACTACAATTGATGTGAATTTTTCAGTGTTTATATCATGAAAATTATATGCAGAAAATAAATTATAATTTTAAAATTAACCACGCTTGTTGTTGGATCCATTAGCGCCATCAGTGTATGGAGGACTTGCACGGGTCACGTTACTTTGTTACTGGACGGCAATAAAACAAAAACGTCCATTTGGCTTCTGTCAGTTGCAAGTCGGATTATACGTTTCCGTTTTGTTTGGCTGTAGAAAATGATTTTTTCGTATTGTTCCGTTGGCTGTACGTATAGTATAGACAACGAGATGGATCTTCAGGTATATTCCACTGTTTTCAAAAGATCCGGAACGTCGCGCAATGTGGATTTCATCTATGACAGGACTGCTTGGTGTCAAGTCCAGAAGCCATAGGATAGGATAGGATTTACATATTTATCCCGGGGGAGAGGAAAGCCGATAAGACGGCTTATCCCTATGGCGAACCACGGCCTCTCGTCCGGTTACCATTCCAAGTCGGGTATGGGATTATTTTTACTGTATTGTTTGTTTTCGGGAGCATGGACTTGGTGGTGGAGGAAGCCGTAACCGACCAGCGGTTACGTGAACCACCCAACGACGGCGAGGAGTCCAGCAATCCTCTCGCACACAATCATCCCTGCATGGGATTCGAACCTGCGAACCCACGCAGAGTAATTAGAGGTGCGGTGGCGAGCGTATTCCTAACGCTTAGCCCGTTGAGCCACACCGCCGCGCTATCTCACTTGTGTTTCACTGTTTGCGGACAGCACTTCGTTGATGGTGAGTCATCATGTGCCGTTATCAAATTTTTAAATATTCATAAGCTCCCTCATTTCAATGGAAAGCAGATGACAAACTACGGTACTGTTATTGGTAGGCCTAGCTGTAGGCTTACTTGCAGACTTGACTCGTGTAAGGCAGTGGTGCACAACTCGAATGAGGATATGTGCCAAATTTTTCAAAATAATCTTGTCGCGTGCCACGCACAATTTTTGGTATTGTAAACAAACTCCCGTATAACATATATCAAACAAACTTCAATAATAATACATAATAACGAATATCTATTTATTGAAACGATTTGATCCCGTGTAAAACCGCTGATTTGAAGACGTTTTTGTTGGAACAAATTTGAAATGTTGAGCTTCAAGGGAGAAATAGCGATTCGCATCACTGAATCTATATGCTCATCTAGTAAACGGGTCCGTAGCTGGAATTTGTTTATTTTCATGATTGAGAATGCCTGTTAACAACTGTACGTGCTTGCAAATTAACAAATCCAGACTTTTGAATTTCTTAACAAAACTGGATAATTCTCTTCTTCGAGGCGAGAGTAGAACTCAAGTACTGTTGAAAAACATCCTGCAAAACTTGGTTTGACCTCAAATCCAGAAGTTCCAGTTGAGCGTCAGCGTCTTCAATATATTCAACATCCACACTCAATGGTCTTTGAAATAAATTCATTTGCCCCTTCCGGTCATTATAATCTTGAAATCGTTTTGAAAAGATTTGACGACGGAAACTCCATATTATAGCACACTTCTCAAAATCAGGAACCAAGCTTTTTTCCTGTAAAAATATTTCAATTTCTTCAAAAAGGCTAAGAAAGTGCTGCAAAAGTTTCCATCGACTTAACCAGCAAACTCGAGAGTTATGCACTAAGTCCTTGTATTGTGTATTCATCTCCAACAAGAATGCTCGAAATTGACGATGCTTCAATCTAGGCTTGCACGTAATTGACAAAAATCAATTCCGTAATTACGGACAAATCGATTACGTAATGACCCCGTAATTGCGATATTTTTTTCACACATTTAAACCTATCATAACAACCAATTTAATCCACTTCTATTCCGAATGGGACATATTCCCGGCATATTCCCGGCAGTACTACACGCCGGCGACAGATGTTAAAGACAAATATCAAGGAGTGAATTCAAAATAATTTTATTCTGATTTTTATCTTTTGTATTAGATTTGATTTTTTTATCCACTTTATCACCAAATTTTATGCGATCAATTTTATCATTACCAACACTGGTAATATATTTAAGAAACGATGGTTCACTTCTTTAAAATCGTATTAACGTATTAATACGACTTTTGTATTAAATAAAAATTCCGGGTTGCTAATTTATTAATCAACTACAAGCGTATTCTCTCGTTTGATTATACTTTCGCTTGCCTCGCGACGAAGACTTGTTATTTCACCGTTTTTTACAATATACGACTTTACTACTTAGTTAGCATTTTATAATAATTATTGATGCCGACTTATTGACGATATTCCGAATTCCATGCTTCATTTTACATTAAATCATTTCGCGGCCTAAAAGTTATAACATTATTTGCGATAAATTTAGATCAAATATTAATTATTTGCGCATTATTTAAAATACCGTACTTATAAGACATGCCTTCTCCGAA